TGCATCTGCTGACCGCATTTTAGAAATTACGAAACCTACTACCGAGGTATTTTCAGCCAAAGAAAAACCTCAAACGACTCAGAATGACATAACCGAGTTATGTCATGCACTCACGTGTTGTCTTAATCTTCGTACCGACCGTAAGAGATCGCGCACCCCACGTAGAAGCATTTCTCGTAAGCGATCTGTCTCTAGACCACGAGAGACAGATAACCCCGACTGGTGCTGGTATCATAACCAGTATGGGAAGTTTTCCAGAAATTGCAGAAAACCCTGCAATTTTCACAACACGAAACCGAGTGATTCGAAAAACAACTCGGGAATCTTCCAAGCCGGCACGCGTTAACGGCAACCGTAGCCGGCGAACATAGCCGTCCGTTATATGTCACAGTTGTGACAACGAGAGTTCGCTACCTCGTCGACACTGGCGCAGAAATTAGCGTTCTCTCAGCAAATCCTAACGACCGACTCCACGAATCGACCCTAAACTTACAGGCGGCAAACGGAAAACCGATCGCTGCGTATGGCAAAAGGTACGTTTACCTTAACGTGGGTTTACGCAAACCCATTCACTGGATTTTCGTTGTTGCTGATGTTTCTATGCCAATCATTGGTATGGATCTTCTCCAACACCATAATCTGATCATCGACACTCGCAAACGGAGGCTAGTAGATGGAAACACTAATTTGTCCGTTTGCGTAACTTCCTTTTCTGGTTGCAGATTATCCCCAGTCACAGTTAAGCATATGATCGACCCACTTTATCAGCCACTACTCGATAAGTACCCTGGGATACAACAAACTCAACCGTAACTACCGCGTGTAACCAGCAATGTTACACATCACATCACGACTACAGGACCATCTGTATTCTCTAAAGCACGACGACTAGCTCCCGAAAAGCTTAGGTTAGCGAAAAACGAGTTTGATCATATGATAGACTTAGGAATCATACGACCGTCAAGTAGCCCATATGCATCTCCGTTGCACATGGTCCCTAAAAAGGACAGCAATGATTGGCGTCCAACTGGTGACTATCGGCGATTGAACGCGAAAACCATTCCCGATCATTACCCGTTGCCTCACATTCACGATTTGACAGCTACCTTGAAAGGTACAACTGTCTTTTCGAAAATCGACTTGGTTAAAGCGTATAACCAAATCCCTATGGCTACTGACGACATACCGAAAACAGCTATCATAACTCCTTTCGGACTCTATGAATTTTTGCGAATGCCTTTCGGTCTAAGGACTGCTGCTCAAACATTCCAAAGATTCATAGACGACGTTTTTCGAGGTCTCAACTTCGTACACCCGTATGTTGATGACTGTCTAATCGCAAGTCCGGACAGAAAAACACATCTCAAGCATCTGGATCTTGTTTTCGAACGACTTCAAAAACATGGGATAACTGTAAAAATTCAGAAATGTCAATTCGGAACCGACTCGTTAGACTTCCTAGGACACACTATCGATGCTCAAGGCATTCGACCTCTTAGGACCAAAGTGGCGGCCATTCTGGATTACCCAGAACCGACCACCGTCAAGCAGTTACGCACGTTTAACGGCCTCGTAAGTTTCTATAGACGTTTCATACCGAAATGTGCATTACTTATGAAACCTCTGACCGACCAACTTCGTGGAAATGCGAAATCCATTAATTTGGACGACACCGCACGAAAAGCATTCTCCACAGTTAAGGAACTGATTGCTAAAGCAACAATGCTCGCACATCAGGACACCCGAGCACCCATTAGCATCGCAGTAGACGTATCCGACTCGGCAATCGGAGGAGTCTTACAATAATGGGTTAACAACTCCTGGCAACCCTTGACAATTTTCTCTAGAAGGTCGCTAGACACCGAATCGAGGTACAGCACATTCGGTAGGGAACTCGTAGCTAGGTATTGTGCTGTACGGCATTTCTAACACTATATCGAAGGTCGTGAATTCACTCTTTTCACGGACCATAAACCGCTCACTTTCTCGTTAAGCTCTCCTTCAGACAAGTACTCTCCCCGTGAGTCTCGACAACTAGACTACATTTCGCAGTTTACTTCAGACATTCAACACATTTCTGGAGCAAACAATGTAGTTGCAGTCGCCTTATCTCGCATAACTTCCTTGAACAGTTTCCAAGGAATCGACCTTCTTAAACTCGCCCAGCTTCAAAAAGAAGACACTGATCTTCAGCACGAGTTATCGTCTACAACCCTTAAACTACGCATCAAACAGATGGGAACAGGTAAGGAAACCTTACTTTGTGACACATCTACAGGTAGGGATCGCCCAATCGTGCCGAAACATTATCGACGCAATGTCTTCAATACATTGCACAAACTTTCTCATCCAGGCGTTCGTGCAACCATCAAGCTTATAGCAGAACGGTTTTGCTGGCCTGGCATGAATAAAGACGTGAGGGAGTGGGCACGCTCCTGTGTAAGCTGCCAAAAATCTAAGGTTATCAGACACAATAAATGTCCCTTAGGCTCGTTTAAAACTCCCGATGCTCGTTTCGACCATGTTCATCTGGATTTGGTAGGACCTTTACCAGATTCAAATGGATACTCTTATCTCTTAACCTGCGTAGACCGTTTCACTCGATGGCCAGAAGCAGTACCTATCAAGGACATCACTGCTGAAACAGTGGCCCGCACCTTCGTCGAACGATGGGTAGCAAACTTCGGTTGCCCTTCAACCATCACCACAGACCGCGGACGTCAGTTTGAATCTGAACTTTTCCGTCGTCTGACCACACTATTAGGAATCACTCGCTTCCGAACGACCGCCTACCATCCACAAGCAAACGGGTTGGTAGAACGTTTTCACCGACAACTGAAGGCTTCGCTATCAGCTGCAAACGTTTCACAGTGGACCGACGCTCTTCCACTCGTCTTACTAGGTATCCGCAATGCAGTGAAAGCTGACATTGGATACACTGCGGCTCAACTCGTTTATGGAACGACACTTCGACTTCCAGGAGAATTCGTGGATCCTTCGTCCTCTTCAATGAACATGGATCTAACCCTACACGAACAGGATTACAAACGCAATGCGTTCAGTTAAACCTGCTTCCACTCGACCTCAATCAACTGATGTTTTCATTCAACCTGACTTACGATATAGTACACACGTTTTCGTTTGCCGAGACTCGCATCGACGACCATTCGAATCAGCATACGAAGGACCCTTCAAAGTTCTTCAACGTGAATCTAAGTACTATATAGTCGAGAAGAACGGAACCAACGATAGCATCAGCATCGATCGCTTAAAAGCAGCGTATTTAGAATGAAATCCTATCTACGTGGATTTTCCTTCGGTACAATCGAACGACACGACTCCGACACTTATAATACCTCATCCGACAACCAACACACACGATGATACTTCGACAGTATCCGAAAATAAACTTAAAACGACGCGTTCTGGAAGAAGGGTGAGATTTCCAGAACATTTAAACGACTATTGCACGTAAGGCACTTCTCGACATTTTATATTATTTTTTTTTAAAAAAAAACAATTTTAATATGCTTATATGTTTTCATTTCTATTTAAAAAAAAACAAAACAAAAAAACAATTTTTTTAACGCTATTACGTGTTCATGAGTTTATTTTCCATTTTTTCTCCGCCGATATTGTGTTTTTACGCACATACGAGTGTATTTCGACATACACTTACACTTTCTTTTTTCTTTTCCAGGACAGCTGGAAAAGAACGATGACGTTCATGAGGATCCGAAATTTTCATTGTACATTTTCTTTTTTTACTATGTTGTACCTCGGTCCCATATAGTAAGGAAAGACGACCAGACGCTGCTACACTTAGTAAGCTATCAGAAGAGTGTTTACCAACGACAAACTCGTTGGGTTTAAACTTCTGGCTGGCCACGTCTTAGGGTCGTCACTGCCCCACTAGGGGGGGTGATCTGTAGCGGTAAATAAATCCCCAAAATAAATAGCACTAAGTTTTCGACATTGGATGCTGACCATATGTTTTAGTGGACTCACCTAGCTGAAGGCGCTCGGTCAGGCATCTGCACCAGATCACGTGTGGTAACGCCGTGCTCAACATCAACCGCAATCGCTAGCCAGATTAGATCAGAGAATTCCGATATATTGGTCATCGCCAAATATACTCTTCCGATCTCCTCGACTCGGTCTTTTGATTTCTCTGGGCGGGAACGAAATATATTAGAAGGTGTTACTGGTAGAAGCGTTGTCAAACACTGAATATCTGTGACATCATCACTTTTATTATTCTGCTCCCATTTAAGTATTCCCATGAATCTGAGTCTAGTTTAACAGGAAGACATACAAGCAGAGTAAGTGTCTGACAAACTAAAAGTCCCAGTTGTCAAAAAGATTCTTAAAATTTATCCACGGCCAGCTACATTTAATTGAGACACAGAACACTCATCTTGTAAGACTGTATACTGCTGTTTTTCGGGCAACTAAAAGCTCAGACGCTTACCGATGTTAATTGTTTTTAACATGTCTTATCTTTTCTTTCATTTGAGAAGACGTTCTAAGAAAGCTCGAAAGCCGAAATTAAATTAAGTTTCGAATATCTTATGCTTATATAGTAGATTGAAATTCAGTGATTACTAGTGATTGACTAAATAGATGTTAATGCTGCAGCGACAAGAGACATCAGCCGGTATAGCCAGACTTCCTGCTCAGCGTTCCAGCCATTTTAATTTTACCTTCAATGATTGCTATTGTGACTGATTTACCAGCAAAAGAAGACATCGTTTTTATGTGCTTGGATATACGAGATTTGTAATAGTGAACTGATGTTTCTAGCTGTTGGTAAGCAACGTCAGAAGTCATTTTTTCTGAGACCGTTCTATGTATGCTTCAAACAGGATTCAAACACAGTAATTACACAGTCATCTGTTTATACAAACAAACTTTGGGGTTGTCATCCTTTGGGTGCGCTGTTGGATTTCTGGCGGTACACCTGCGTTATCCGCAACCGCTGGTCATCAATATTTTTCAGGATGACCAAGCTTCTGACAGACGACGGTACCCTAGAAAAGTTCCGATGGATGTGCTTTTTTGTGTTTGACAGCTGCACAGATGAACGTCCAGTATCTGCAAAAGAAATCGAGCAATTACTGGAGTTCCTGTGTGACCTTGAAGGCAGCGAGTATGTTTCATTTGGTGTCATATTGATTTATTGTAGAAATGCTTACTGTTTTGAGTCAGAAGTTTCAAATAAATTGAAAACTACACTTCTATGTGCTACTTCAGGATTGCTTATCAGGAACGTGTCGGGTTTGTTGCAATTTGCTGATAAAACTTTCTCTAGAACTTACACATATGAACATAAAAGCTCCTGGAACATCAATGGTTCGTCAACTCGTTACGCTTTTGTCCGAAAAAAACAAGGATGACGTGGTGAGTAGATCAAGTTGTTTGTTACGACATTGAATCTTACCGAACACAAGTTGACTTATGACTTATGTGTGCTCTCTTAGTACACCCATAGTTTTGATTGTGAATACTTTCCCTGAAATCTAAAGATACACTGAAATACCAAAAGCATGTAAGCTTGTCGACTAGCTAGCTTCCAGTCTCTTTGATTATTTGGTCCATATTTCTTTTCTAAATATTCAATTAATTGTGACATCCCTTTATTTTGAAATACCCTAAGGGGTGGGGGTTGATTTATTTTATGAAGTGGAGTTTTTGGTTGTATTTGTAGGAGAGTTCGCACACACAAGGATAAGCCTTCGACCGATTGCCTTGTTTCGTTTTACAAATCTCTATCTGCAAAAAAACTAATTGATTGATAAGTAGTTAAGTCTTTTGGGTTAGTTCATTTGAAACAAGTGCGTGGGGCAAAATATATCTCTGTATAGCTTGTTTCGTATTTTATTAGTTATGTATTCCAATCGGTCCATGTAATTCTTTAATTTACTTTACTTTCTTTTCAGGAATATATATCAACAACGCTATGCTCTTTATTTTGTTTGGAGCCCATACCGGTGAATCAGTTGAAAATAGTTGAACGACTGCGTGACTCTGACCGCGAATTACTTAAAAAGTGGAAGGATATTGTACCTGATAAGAAAGGTAGTCCTAAAGGGACTAAATTACTAGTGAAACATCGTGAATCTTCCCTGGCCTATGAGTTATGGAATGAAATTACACGGAATACGGTAATTGGTCCATTCCAATGTAGTTAAATATGCATTGTAACTGTAAACCTAATTTTGTTGTCTTCATGTTTAAGTATTTTGTGGTTCTGTGAGTTGAAGTTAGGTTTTTCATAAGCCTTGTACAACCACTTCTTCTCGGTCTTTATTTTTGCGTCCTGACTTTTGGTTGTGTTTAAATCGAGCATAACGAGTTTATGACTAGACAGTTAAGTGCTGTTAAATGTGGTTCACATTTCGATGCCTAGCTTTATACTTGATTAGTAGATTTCTTTATAGTCTAGTTTTTTGATGGCTTATCATATTTTAGGATGTGGCAGTAATTTGTAGCGTTCATTTTTAGTGGTTTGGAGTCACGTAAACCTGATAGTATTTTAGGCTATCTGTCGTTGCATTGTCGAGTACTTTTTAACCTGAGTGTTTTACTAGTCAATGAACTATGTCAGTTTTTAGTTTCACCTGTCTGATTATTACTCTAGTAGAATGAGCTTTCAATATTCACTATGTTCGGAGATATGATTTAGAATTCCATGTCCTCTGATTATTTCTTAAGTTGTTTTGTTAGTTACAACTGTGATGATCATTAGCACACACCTTAGCTCTGTATTAAGCCTGCTAACTGGATAAACGACCAATCTGTGACATTAATTCAACTTTTTAGTTTCTTATTCGTATATATGTGGCGCATATATATTGGCGCTCTCTTGTACCAATATTCATGTGTTCAAATAAATAATAAATATTCGTATATACTGTTAACTATTCCATTCAATAAAAAAATTCGGAACACTATATTAAGACGACTTATAACAATGAACTTTTTAGTTTTCTGCATCCATGACTACTTGGTTACTAAGCAGCATTATATACTATGTTATTTTTACTGTGCACTCAAACCAATTTCCTCAAATTACTGGTTTAAAGAAATTCCACCCATTTGAACTTTAATGTCGGTTCATTTTTCCGGTCTTCATCTTGATCAATCACGAACTTTTAAAAATACGCAATTATGTGATTCAGGTTTTCCGTTGTGGGTCGAGTATACCGACTGTCAACATCTTTTTACTACATCAGTACGTTACTAATTATCTCCCTTTATATTTTGCTGAAATTGTTTCACTTGGTTACTTTGTTCCTGCTAATTTGCTTCCCGTTCTATCCAGTAGTATGATATCTTGGACTGTTATTCATTGTTTATTTTAGTGTCATAATATGTCTAATATATGTTTCTGACAAATGTTTAGAATCATGTAAATTACCTAACCTCTTATTTGTGATTGATTTAGAAACAGATTCAAGGGAATTCTGATTTTTGTACCGTCAATACGCGCAATGAATTTGCTATTTGTTGTGTCCAAACGTTTTGGAGCTGTGGTGGTTGGCAGCATGTGCTCAACAATTTGGATGCTATATCCCCTATTTTAGTCAGGTAATTTCACTATCTTTCACCTGTTTTCTTTGCTTGTGGTACCTGTGGTGTAAAGTTTTTAAACTGAAAGTATTTATATTCGTTTCCGGGAAGGGACACCGCATAACATAATTTCAAAGATTGGTGGTGTCGAAAAACAAGGTTTAAACCAGTCGACTATAGACAATTGTTTGATTTTGCAGTAAAGTTATTGGGGCAACTTTTTGGGATCAATGTTTTGCGAATGCACGCGTTTCTAATGCTCTCAATATTTTTCATTGATGGTTGTAAATAAGCTCAGAAGTAAACTTCTTTACCTCCTATTTATATTCTCTCGAAATATTTAGCATTTAATGACGTATAGGATTATCTTAGTGGCTACTTTCGTTACAATGTCGACATATTCATTTACATGCTTCCTAATGTAAAAATGAATAATCTTACGATTTACTGTTTACTTTTAAATTTCAGTGATGATGTAAATAATGTTCATGCTCGACTCAAGACCATTAGCTCACTTTCACAGTTGTTCTTGATCGCTTCACTTGAAATCCCGTATATACAGTTGACAAACACCGTGCCAACAAGCGACAGTTTGTTGCTGCATGATAATTTTAGACCACAGCAACAAATGTTTGTTTCTGTCCCAGAAGAAATTGTCACTCACTGGATTGAATCAATTTCTAAGGCTATTCAATCTTGTTGTTTATGGTTTGCAAATTATATCTTATATTCAGAGTTAAGTGATGTTGTATTGAATCGAAGGGTGCTGTTGGATGAAATCCTAGTTGATTTGGTGAGTTATGTTTTTCAAATGTGTTATTATTGAGTCAGTCTCATATTTTCGGAGAATTGGAGACAGCTCAATAAAGAAAATGCTTTTTTTCTAAAATTTTATTTTACCTAGGCCGCATAATCTTATTAACAGTTAATTTATTTACTAGAAACAATAGTCCCATGTTTATTAATTCACAAGTGTTCAACCTTGTGTCTTTTACAATCACTGGATTTCAATGACGGTATGTACAATTAGAGATAACGGTACTGGGTCGTCTATCCTACTCTGTAACTGCAACAGATATTAAGTTCAAAGAAAGTTCAGAAGAGAACAAATGTTTGGTAACTGACGCGCGTATGAGATGAAAGTGTTACCTTAGTAATGTTGAGTTTGTAAATGAGTTTGAGTTGAAGAAAATAATTTGGTTGCTATACTGATGCAAACAACAGCTTTTTCTATATGTTCAACCAAATAACTATCTACCTAGATGTTCAACACTCCATAAAATAAACATTGAATAGAATAAGTCTTACGGTGGTTATAAGTTCATTGTTCGTTAGTCTGGATTTTATGAGTGAAATAAGCATGTTGACTGTTTTAACTATCAGTATTCAGCTATTAAAAAGGGATTGGGTTACACATACCGATTAAGACTCAGGATCGAGTACCTAAATAGGGAAGGGTTCTTTCTTAAGATACAAATTCATTTTTAAAATAGAACTATTTCTAACCATCATTTCTATTTTACCGTGTTAAATCCCAATATGAGTAGTTCGAAAACCGGCACTTTGCTTTGTTATGCCTGTCATTGCTTAACATTCTACAACTTAGTAATGTATTTATTGAACAAGAACTTTTATCATAACTAATCAGTGTTAAATAGCTCCCCTGTCTAAGAAAAGACGAAATATATGTCTTTCATCTCCTGAAGTTAAACAGTATGAATTCTGAGAAGAATAGTCAGTTTTTACTAGACATGAGTAGCATAGTTATTAATTTTAATTCCATACGAGGAAAGTAAAACGAAGTTACCAATGTTTATCAAAACTTTATTCCAGACTTTCCTCTATCAACAACATCTTGGTCGACTAGTATCCTGCCAGGTAAGTGGATCATGGTTGTCGTATTTTGGTTTCATAATTAAGTATTTTTACTTATTTATTTATTTGAAAACATAAATATCGGTACAAGAGGGCACCAAATATATATGCGCCACACAAAACAGTGAGAATTTGAAGAGAAGAAGGAAAAAAAAGAAAGGTTAGGAGCGTCAAAGAAAGAACAATAACGAACAGATTAGTGTAAGGTAGTGTATTAATAATAATAATAGAGGAAACGGAAAGGTACAATCAGAAGTGATCTTTCAGTTATGGAAGATACAACCATTTTTTATGAAGAAAGTAAAAGAAGGTTACAGCAGGATCGCCACTGGCTCCTGTTCTGAGCCATATCTGATAACGTCTCTAGCCACTGTGTAGCACCATCTCTCGGACCCCAACCAGGGAGTCGTGAAGGACCAACACAAGCCAATCCTTTGCAGCTTTCTTTCATACCACACCATCATGCCATACACTGACCACCTCTCCGCATTTTCCAACCAGTCCCAGAGTCGGCAAATAATGCACGACGTGGAATTCTCTGGGACGACATTCGTAAGATGTGTCCAAGCCACCGAAGTTGGTGTTTCAAGATGGTGACATCGATTGCATTATCATCTCTGTGCCCGAACACACGATACCGAACCTCTGCATTACTGACATGGTGTTACCACTGGATGCCAGCGATCCTTCGGAGACAACGATGATCGAACACAAAGGGTCGTCTAACGTCCTCAACTCGGAGAGGCCAGGTTTCACAAGCACAGAGCAAGACTGCTCTCACCGACACGTTGTAGATCCGGCCTTTTACAGTCAGACTAACATCACGAAGGCGCCAAAGATGGCCCAGATTGACATAAGTCGCTCTGGCTTTCACCATACGTGGATTGATCTCATCACTCACGCCACCACCAGCACTTATGCAGCTACCTAGATACATGAACTTCTCGACTACTTCTATCTGTTCACCATCCAGGGTGAGTACAGGATTGGAATCCTGCTAGTCTTGTAGAAGTACGTTGCACTTCGAAGGTGCAAAGCACATACCATACCTACGAACACTGATTGATAATGCCTTGGGCATTATCGCACAGTAAGACAATATCATCCGCATACCCAAGGTCGAGAAGTCTTTCTCCAGGCAACAGATCCACACCGCCATTACTTACGTCCATCAGAGCTGTTTTCAGGAAGTCATCGATGGCAAAGTTGAAGAGGAATGGTGAGATTGGGCAACCCTGTCTAACCCCACTGCTTGAATGGAACAACGGAGAGAGGTGGTTGTATGCCCTCACTCTGCCTGAGGTGTTTGTGTATAGGGCTTTTAGGATGTTAATGAACTTCTCAGGCACACCCTTCTTCAATAGACAATCCCAGAGAGCAGTCCTGTCCAACGAATCGAATGCAGCCCTGATGTCAAGAAACACTACGATTGCTGGCCTGTGATAAGTATGGTGGTGTTCTAACATTTGGCGAAGGATGTAGATATGATCAATATATCCTCGACCAGAACGAAAACCAGCCTGCTCCTCGCGAGTCAATCTTTCTCGAGTTTTGGACAATCCACAAAGTATGACGGGAGCCAACAGCTTGGACGCAATCGGAAGTAGACTTATCCCCCGATAGTTGTTACAGGAACGACGTGAACCCTTTTCAAAGATAGGGACAACTATCGACTCATTCCATAACGTTGGTACACTCTCTAGTTTCCAGACCTTTGTAAACAACGTCGTCAGTTCTTTAGCCAGAAAGTCACCACCTCTTTCAAAAGGGCCAGAGCTAAGTCATACGGGCCTGGCGATTTGTATCGCATCAAGAGTTGGAGTTCCTTGCGAACTTCCGCCTCATTTGGTGGATCAGTCGTCACCGGCCATGGAGGGCAGGACAGTCTGACCAATGTTGCCGGAGCAACAGGCCAGTTGAACTGCCCTTCGAAGAATCCTGCCCATCGTTCAAGACGTCAATGGATGTTAGTGATTGACATCCTGTCATCCTCATAGATTGTTTCGCTCACACCAGACTTCTTGCTGCCAGTGGCTCGGATGAGTTGGAAGAGCTTCAGGTAGTTATCAGATGCAGCTGCTGCTTCCAGCTCATTAGCACGCTCTGACCGCCAGGCTTCTCGGTCCTTACGCAAGCTTTGCCCAATTTCATTACGTAACATCCTTCGTTTGTGGTCAAACTCACGGTCATTCTTTGTCTTCGTTTGGAGCATGAGATTAAAATTACTTTACATTTTTCTTTCTACTAACTAATTCTTTCTTCCTGTACTATATCCTTATGCACAATCTTTTTTATATATTATTACCGTTGAAGTAACTACTTCTATGATTTTGGTATTCATCCTTTTGTGTTAATGAGGTGTGGCAACTTGGACCGATGCATATATGTGCCTGGTCCTACATTGTAACTGATTGACTGACAATAATTCACTCATTCCTGTATATAAAAAGTTAACCATCCATATGTTATGTTTACTGCTCACTAGGATTGTGTCTATATTGAATCAGTAGTTTTATCAGGTGTGGGATGAATTTCAAAATGCTTGTATAGTTTTATGAGACTCTTCAGTTCAGTATGCAAATTAACGGTTATATATAATGGGGTCTATTTTGGTGATTTTTTGAATTAGATTAATCAACATTAACCAAGCATATAATCGAATGGTTTATGGAGAAAAACCCAGGTATAAATTACGATTCAGTAGTTAAGTTTTGCTATTTAATATACCATGATAACAGTACTTTATTCGACTCTTCCTAGATCAGAATAAGAACTGAAAGAGAAAAATATCTGTCCCAGCTAACCTAACAATATAGGTACAACAGTAAAATCACTAAAGTTTATATAGGATTTGCATAAAGATCTAGAATATTGATTCTCCCGCTGGCGCTTATGACTTGAAAGCCGATTAATCTACTTATTTCGGTATGAACTTGATCGGATTATTCAATAGTCCTGTCCTTCTAACAGACTTTTTTATCATCTGAAGGTGATGGTGTCTGTTTGTGATAAATGATACATGATCTCTTGATTGAGCTTTATTTTATGTTTAGCTTTGTTAACAGATTGGTATACTTCATGATTTTAATCATTATGCTATGACTTTAAGCCTCTTACTGTTTTCATGATTTTAGTATTTCATAGTTATTTTCGATATTCCACTTTTTAAGTTCCAGTTCAATTTCTTTTTTTTCATGTTCTGTTGTAAAAAATTAGATGAATTCAAAATTTTTTGAGATAACCAAATCCTTAAATTTTGGAACTGGCTTAATGATGCTCAACTTATTTGCCAAATCGTTACCTAACATTCTACCAGCTGATCAGTCAGATTTATTATGTTTGATTGAGTCTTTAAACAAATGGGATCGTCAGCTTAATTTAGTGCCAATTAAACCTTTGCTATTGAAATACTTTTCGCAGTTGTTTAAATTTAGCCTAACACTGTTGGCTTCTGGTGACTCTGAGTATTTTAGGTATGGGTCAGATTTCTCCGTTACCCAGAACTCTGACATCCTGTCGTCGTCACTGCCTTCTTTACCATTCTTACTAACGTCATCAGATGATTTGAGTTTATTTAATCGAAATATCAAATATTACTTAGATCAAAAATTTGATCCAAATGGTAAGATTTTTATAAGGTTACTTATTATCTGTCTTCTTGGTTTTTTGTGTATGTATTATTGTCTTGTTTCTATCGTTGGTTAATTTGTTCATTTTGGACATTTTCCTCCATGATCATCACTTTGTTTTGCAAATGCAGTTAGGTGGTGTTTGAAAAAATACTGAGTGGTCAGGTGTAAAAATGACACCAACTCATAGAGTCTTTATTGATTTGGAAATATTGGCTTCTCGATAGTCGAATCCTCGAATCAACGTGGCAAAATTGACCAGACTAATATTGCCACATTTATTCTATGTTCTCTAAATTTCTGAAACGTTGTTGTTCGTTTACTTTCATTATTCTTACTTCTCTTTGTTATGTCATTGGCTATACGTTTATTGCGAAATACGATTGCTTTTTAGATATGCTGACTCATATGACCAAACTAATGACGCATACACCAGTGCGAACATCCTAGAGTCCTTATTGACGTTTTCCTCACCATGCTTTGCCTGTTAAGTCCAGAACGCCAATCTCAGCCTCCGCGATACGAATCATATATTTCAATCACACTTGGTTTATATACAAACAAAATCAGATCACATCACACCACAAAATAGAAAATAACATTTGTACGTGATCTATCCAAAAGTGGCTGTGATTGTGAGAAACTGTTACTAATAAATTGGGAATATCTCAAGAGTAGTAAATCGTGTGATGATAGTCAATAGATTAAATAAAAGCTTATAATGTAGGGAATATGAATATGCATATAATATAATCACTTAATAGTCATACATTAAGAATATACTTATAATATTAGTCCATCAGTGCTTTCTTACGGTTACCATTCATTTATTGTCGTCCGGATATAACATTCTTAATATAACTTCCTGCTTTTCTTCCATGTTATGCAATATTCTGTACTGTTGTATTTATCTAGATTATGTTCTTAACTAAAGGACTTATTTTTCAAGTTCTAAGTGTATCACACTGGTTTACTAAATAGGTACTTCTCCACAATTAAATTAGTATTGTTGTAAATTACTTTGCAAGTTTTCACATAGTTTATAATCGTACACGCTTCTAGTTTGGCGATAGTCTTTGCCGTGAACTAGCACATCAGCTAAGAGAACCACAGGAAGTTAAGAGACACTGGACAGTTATTTCATCTTACTTTGAAACTCTTTTGGAGTTCAAATTCTAAACCCCATAAAAAATGGAATTCAGTACCATTTTTTAATCTCCAGATCTCACGAACATAGTAGACTTAAAACATCAAGTTGTAATCTAGCAATAGTTCGCATTTCCAAATTTAATCTATGAATACAAAAGCTATGGTTTCTTAGTTGCACTTTTAGCTCAGAATCAAATCTTTGCTACTTTTCATAACTTGCCATTTTATGGTAACATTTAAAGAATATGTTAAATATAACGATAAGGTTTACCATAGAATAGTCACTACGAAGACACTCTTTCGTCTCAGAATTCATCTTTTAAAATGTTTCAGCAGTGTTCAACGTATCCCCTAAATGGTAGTGTTTAAGAATGTTGCAGTCTTTTGATTGTGTTGTGTTTTTCTAGTGGTATTTCATCAACTCGTGTCCGTCTTTAATATAAACTATATACGTACTATAAAATTATAAATTGTCTGTCATGCAGTATCTCTATCAGATTTTTTTTTTAAAAAAAATTACAGAGTTTATAAACCAATCAGAAAAACCCTCATCGTTATCTCGTTTATTTGTTATGTGTGGTCATCATCTTCATGTTGATTTAATGCGCATTCTATCAGAGATGTTTAATGTGGTAGGTATATTTGTGTAGAAAAAGTATTAATCATCAGTTGACTGCTTCATTTTGTTTCTTTTTCCTGAAAATACAGTGCTAAAACTTACAAACCCCCTAGATAAAGTCACGATATGGTCTGAACACATACTAATGATTTAATGGTGTAAATTCATGGTTTAAATACTCTATCTTTTATGTATTGTGAAAGTCAGGACGGCTTCTGAAAACTTCGTTAACACCATCCTTAACCATCTTTAACACCGGTGTGACGTTATCACGGCTCTGAAAAGTCGGATTTATGATATAACGGTTAGACCGGTTCAATTTTGTGTTTGTGATACCTGTCCTCTCTAAGCTGCGGGTGTTCAGTGACTCTGTGTTCGATCGTCGTTGTCTCCGAAGGATCGCCACCATTGAACAGTAATGTTAGTGAATTTTGTTCACTGGGAATTCCGCTTCTTCTACGATTCCAAGTTCACCTTCGTGATAAGCACCATTTAGCAATAAGCCTAGGAACATGGTTTCCTTTCGACTAAATCCAACCACCACACAGTAGAGTTTGCAGTTGCATATTGTTGATATGATGGTGGCCAAAATATTTTACTTTCAACTAACAGATCGCATGTTCAAACCCCATTTTTTGTACTGACGTATTTAATTTCTTATATGACCACTAAGTAGTTTTTAACTGGGTTCCAATAGTTTTTACCATAATCGATGACGAAAAACTCAAAAGTTAATTGCTAAGTGGGAAGATGGTTTAGAGGCATCAAGTATTGTACTTTGTGTCAAGTAGAGACGAAACTGGATTTACATTGTTGCCCATAAATGTTTTCTCACAAGAAAGTCGCATAGTAAGCTTACTTTTTCCTCTAGAACCGATATGATGTTCGAGGAAGGTGATTATCTTTATTAAGATGTTTGTTCCTACATAGATACACTGTCTTATGTTCATCATCGATTACTAAATGTACTTTAAATGACTCATTACATAAAGTAAACATTTGCTTATATTCGATCATTTTTTCTAATGCACTTTTCATTTGGTTTCATGAAGTTGTATGGTAAGTGGCCTTTTTTGTCGAACTTACTGTTCCATCTTTTTTTGTTTGTTATAGATTCAAGAACATTCTCGAAGATTGTCTTGTAGTAGTTATCAACAATATTTGCGTAAAGGTACGGTTGTGTGTGTGTAATCGACGTTTACCATCCTTATTACTTATTCAATGTAGTGCTTAGTTTTGTTCTCACTTTGCATTTGATTAGTCCTATGTTCTTTGGGGGTCCCAATGAGATATGTCACATTGAGTATAAAGCGTCATTTTTAGAGTAAATTTACTGTCCTGAATTTTAGTTCGATCGCTAAAAGGCGATAATATATCACACAAGTATTAGGCTTAACTGTCAAGTATCGACTCATTGACCAGTGAGTGACATACAAAACCTATGTCTTTCGTTTGGTTACAACATTAGAAAAAACATTTTGCTGGCTATGTTGTTGTTGACCTCACTTTTATAAGAACGAGGTATCATAGATGTTTTACGAACAGATACGAGCAATATGAAGCAAATATTTTTGGTTTTAAATGACTATGGAATGCACAATCATAAAGAAATTGTTGCTTGAAACATTATTGTATTAGTACATCGTAAATAAGTTTATGATGCAAAAAACATGCTATACATGGTGGTAATCTGTCTTAGAACTGACTCGGGAAACGAAATTTGTTTTAATATTAGATAGTATAATGTATAGACCATTTTAAACACTTCAAAAAATTGGTCCGTACACTACCAGGCTATCTGTAATTAATGCTTCTGAAAAGTAAAAATTTCAAGCATCGAGACTAGTATGTTACTCTTCAAACTCTGGACTAAAAGACAACAATGAATTATTTCTAAATTTAAAGGATCTGTAATTTTACCGTTCTTCGGTATAATCAATTGATCCTTTCCTAGGGCTTGTGATTTGATAGACCTTTAAAGTTTTCGTTTTCTCGTTAGATGTTTGGTAAACTTAGGTTCTCGGAAGAAATCAATACTTATTGTAACTCTTTAATTGCAATACACAACTGTGTATTGTAAATTGAGGTTGATTTTCTATCCTCTTTTTCAGTACTACTGATAAAGGGTAAGGCGTCGATTTAACAAATATGTATAGTCTAAACAATTTACATTTTACTAATCGTATAGCTAAACAAGTAAAAGTTCCAAGAATCATGTTGTAAGATATCTGATTGTTCATTCTTATTTACAAATCGGTAATTGTGACTTCTTTTATTTTATCTTGTAGACTCTTCTACAAATCTATATCAAGACTTGCAGATTGATGTAAGTTCTATATGTTTAAACATTGTTACGGTTATATACCGGTAGCTTTCATCAACGTTTTTCTGTTGTTATTCAGATCTTGTTTTTCTTTCTGATAAATTTAATGATTTTTTTCGAAGTTTATGTCGAGAATTAATCTTGAGTGGTTGTGTAATAGTAAAAGATGTCAGTTAGTTGTTAAAGCACTTTCGCCTCAACTTGATTTGTTGAATCGTAGGTTTAAACACTGCATCCATTCATCCAATTTCGATCAACTGGATAATCTTACTAGCTATTATATACAAAATGTGACCTGAAATCGGGTGAATTGACCTGTATAGGACGGATGAAATGTGGCCTGGAATGGGTCTAGTATGAGCGTTTCGTCCTACTTGAGACTTGTCAATCGGATGTATGCCAAGTTTTGGTCAATTATAATAGATAATTACTATATTTTATTGAAAAAAGCCTCTTTTCCCTCTAATTTTATAGGATTTTAAATTTTTCTTGAAATGCACAAAACAAGGTTTACACTTTCTCAATGATTTACTGTTGGCTCGATCGAATCTTCTAAAATACCAGTTATCAAATGATTCCATGCCTATTAAAGAAAGGTTTGTTTTATTAACTCACTAAGCTATATTTATAAAATATATTTATTCATGGGTTTACGGGGTTTGTGGGGATTGTCAGTGTTTCTGGTAAACATCATGGACTAACTTTAGTTAGAGTACCACAAAAAATTAACGAGCCCATGTATGTTACTCCTTAGCGATATGTAACCATGATCATATCGGAGTTTAAACCCAGGACTTCCAGGTATCCTGGCAAGGCCTAAATTTTAAACTATTGAGTCTACATCTATTGGTTTACATGTTGAACTTCAATCATTTCACGTGTGGCAAGCCCATTTGGCCACTGTATCATCTGTCTATTCATTGTAACTTAGACTCTTAATTCACTATGTTAATTTCGGTGTGTATGATCGAATGCATGTCTGTACATTAACTTTTAAACTATTTTCCTATTGGTTTCAACGTGCAGATAATCGATAATTTATCTACACCCGATTAACCCTCAAATATATATGGATTTTTAACAAACACACACTCTCTCTGTTCCCATCGTGTGCTTGCTCACAATACGCTTGTGGATTATCATTATTCATTAATAATAAACTATCTCCATAACTGGTGTTCAGGCTTCTTAATAATCTCGAGTAAATCCGTAATTCTACTAGGAGATTAAGCCTATCTTAAATACTCAGTTACGGAATATTATTATTTGGAGTCAGATATTAAGGACCTTATCCACAACATATTGGTGACCCGCCTTTAGAACGCGCACCATTTTCCTCCAAAGTCTGCTGCATTCTCCTCAAGAGTATCATAAAGAACTTCATATTGGAATTATTATTATAATTAATAACAATCCATTGACAGTCATAATAAATTCACTCATAATATTTTCCCTTTGGAATTATTACTGTATATTCTCATACATATACCCAAAGTGACAATTTTTCTTTTCGGTGAGTCTTATATATATTTTGTTGTTGTTATTTTTGATTTCTCTTCATATTGTATATTACAATCCTCAGCTTATTATTACTATTGCTTTTTCGTATCATGGCACTTGATAATTCGTTAAGCCTTTCATCTAAATCTATTTCCGTGGGTGCCATCTCTGTACCTTTACCCATTTTTAATCCACGAAAGGCTGAACTCTGGTTTGCTCGTTTGGAAAGCTTTTTTGTTGCAAACAAAATCACAAACCAGAGTACGAAATTTAGTTATGCGAATTCACTGCTGCCAGATGACGTCATTGAACAAGTGCCGGATGTCATTTTTAAGCCGGATCCTGACTCACCATTCGATTGTCTAAAAAGAGAGGTCATTCGTGTCACATCTCTCACCGACCAACAGACAATTGATCAACTTTTAGCCAACGTAGAGCTAGGTGACAATACACCGTCACAGTTAAAACGCCACATGACAAACTTATTAGGAAATCGTACAGTAGACAAACGTCTACTATATCAATTGTGGCTCAGACGTCTCCCTCAAAACATTCAACAGATACTAGCAATTGGAGACGAAGACGTTGATTTTGATAGACTAGCAGACATAGCCGACAGAATTTACGAACGGTCCAAGACTCACCTTGTATCTCAAATCCAATCAAGCTCAGCTGACGAGATCGCCGAGTTACGACGATCAGTTGATGCGCTTACCAAACAGATAGCTCAGATCCAATTATTGAATGCCTCTCACAGCAAGCGTAGAGGAACATCCACAAGCCGTAGACGACGTAGTCCAAGCACTACTAGACACAACATTTGCTGGTACCATAGAACATATGGCAAACAAGCTAGAAAATGTACTCCGCCTTGTAACTTTGCAAGCACACAGAAAAAGGAACGTCAAGACCGTAGGTTAATGACGACTGCACTCACTGACCACAACTTCCAAGACAGTCGTCTATTATATGTTACAGACAAAAGAACCGGCACACAGTTTTTAGTCGACACTGGGGCAGAGGTTAGTGTAGTACCACCTACTGCATTCGAGAAAAACACACCTGACCCCAAACTAAAACTACAAGCTGCAAACAGGTCTGACATCAAGACGTACGGAAAAAGGCGGTTGCAATTAAATTTCGGTCCTAAATCTAATTTTTCCTGGAGTTTCATCATAGCGGACGTCCTCGTTCCTATAATCGGCATTGATTTTCTGCAATTCCACAAAATACTGGTAGATGTCAGAAATAGGAAACTTGTCCTTGCCGAACAGAGTAAGGAAATTAGAGGAATTATATCAAATGAGACTTCCATACATTTATTAGTTAAACCTCATCATGAGAACGACAAATACGTCAATTTACTTAATCAGTTTCCAGATTTATTACGACCGAGTTTCAAACACGACAAACCGACGCATACCGTCGTACACCACATAAAGACAGAGGGTCCACCTGTGTTCGCACGTCCAAGACGCCTTGATCCCTCTCGTCTGGCTATCGCAAAGAACGAATTCAACAAAATGATTGAGTTGGGCATCATACGCCCCTCCGATAGTCCGTGGGCATCACCGCTTCATATGGTACCTAAGAAAAACTCTTCCGAAGTTAGACCATGCGGTGACTATAGAGCTCTCAACAGCCGGACCATACCAGATAGATATCCTCTCCCACATCTACATGACTTCACTCATAGCCTATCTGACGTGTCGATCTTTTCAAAAATTGATCTCGTCCGTGCTTACCATCACATTCCAATTCATCCAGACGATGTTCTTAAAACAGCCATTACTACCCCCTTTGGACTATACGAATTCGTCCGCATGCCTTTCGGATTAAGGAATGCTGCACAAAGTTTCCAGCGTTTTATTGACCAAGTGGTACGGGGCTTACCGTTTGTGTATGCTTACATAGATGACCTACTTATAGCAAGCAAAGATGAAAATGAACATCTAACTCATCTGAAAATGCTTTTTGAGAAGCTAAACGAGTATGGGTTAGCGGTCAATCCTGACAAATGTGAGTTCGGAAAACAATCCCTCACCTTTTTAGGTCACGTACTTGATAAGCAAGGCATTAAACCAGTTCCTGAGGAAACACAAGCTATCAAAAATTATCCTTTGCCTGATTCATTCAAGAAACTACGACGTTTCCTTGGGATGATAAACTTTTACAGACGTTTTATCCCTAAATGTGCAGACTTAGCAAAACCACTAACTGATTTATTAAGGGGACGAGCTAAATCATTAGCAATGACACCGCAAGCAATTCAAGCATTTGATCAGTTGAAAAGCGCTTTAAGCACAGAGGCATTACTCGCACGACGAAAGGTTGATGCACCTTTAGCAATAATGACCGACGCTTCTAACGTAGCAGTAGGTGCTGTACTCCAGCAACGTGTCAATGAACAATGGCAACCCCTTGCATTTTTCTCAAAAAAGCTGAACGCAACGCAAACGAAATATAGCACATTCGGTAGAGAACTGTTGGCTATCTACTTAGCCATCAAACACTTTCGCTACATGTTAGAAGGCAATTCTTTCACGATATATACTGATCACAAACCCCTAACTAAGTCCTTGATGCACAATCATGATAAATATAGTCCGCGCGAAATTCGTCAACTAGAATTCATTTCACAATTTGCAGCTGATATACGCTATATTAAAGGCAATGCAAACGAGGCAGCAGATGCACTATCGAGATTAAATATCAATACCTTCTCGATCCCTGACATAGACTATCAAGAAATGGCAAAGCATCAAAAGCTCGATACGGAGCTACAAAAGCTTTTGCAGTCTAAGGAAACGAAATTATTATTCCAAAACATCCCCATAAACAACAAGGACACCTTAACTTGTGATACCTCAACAGGCAAAACTCGCCCTTTTGTACCTTTCGGTATGAGACGAAATATTTTTGAGAAAAAACAGACAACTGTAAAACCATCTAAACCTGCAGCAGAGCAAGCACCATTCAAACTACCTGCAACAAGCAACACTTCAAATCGAAATTCAGCAGCAGCACAAACTACAACAAGATCAGGAAGGAGAGTACATTGGCCAGATAGGTATGTAGCAACCACTATATTTATCTAGACCAAATCCTGAGACTACTCTTATAACACATAAAAATCCTATTTTATTTTGATTACTATTTTTTTTATTGGCCCCACGGATCATCATTATGCTTACATTTTAACTTTATACAATTCATTAATGTTAAATATACACTTGTATATACATGATATGAAACGTTTCAACACACAAGCTGTTATTACAGTTTTACGCTTACTCATCATATTGAGTTGTACTTTTATTTTAAAAACAGTTCCGTTCTTTATCTCTTTGTCGAACATAGATGTTAATCCAATTTTTTTTTGGTACATAAAAACATCAATGTTCTGGATGGGAGCTTATGTGGCAAGCCCATTTGGCCACTGTATCATCTGTCTATTCATTGTAACTTAGACTCTTAATTCACTATGTTAATTTCGGTGTGTATGATCGAATGCATGTCTGTACATTAACTTTTAAACTATTTTCCTATTGGTTTCAACGTGCAGATAATCGATAATTTATCTACACCCGATTAACCCTCAAATATATATGGATTTTTAACAAACACACACTCTCTCTGTTCCCATCGTGTGCTTGCTCACAATACGCTTGTGGATTATCATTATTCATTAATAATAAACTATCTCCATAACTGGTGTTCAGGCTTCTTAATAATCTCGAGTAAATCCGTAATTCTACTAGGAGATTAAGCCTATCTTAAATACTCAGTTACGGAATATTATTATTTGGAGTCAGATATTAAGGACAATACCCTTAACACACGATATTTTGCAAACATCTTCTAATGCTATTGGTAGATAACTACCTCACACTGGACACGGTTGGACTTCACTACTTGTCACGGCTTTCCATTAAAACTGACAAATACGTGTCGAAATTAATCACTAATGAGCACGTAATAGTTATCGGTATAGGTGGGGGGGGGTTTCGAAAACTGTTGAACTTTACATTTTTACATTTATCCATTGTTCTTGGTTTTCAGTAGTTGTCTAACTAAGATCATTTCGTGATGTAAACTTATTTGTGCATTTATTTATTACTGCCAAGTAAGTCTGACGAATCAGTTGACAATGTAGTGAATCTTTATAGACTGAGATGGTTTTAACATGTTTTACATATGTCCATCCGCTGACTACCGCAATGTGGAATGATGAATGATTTTGGAGTATGTTGGAACAGAGCTAGAAGGAGCCAAACCATGAACTCCCGGCATTAGTCCATGAAGACAATGACTGTTGGACTACGCCGTCTAGGTCGGTACGGACTACCTGATTGAGGTCAGCGTGATTATCGTAACCAATCATTGGAGACCTTGAATGATGTGGCTCCAAATTGTTCTCAGTGGAGTAGGTGCATTCACTCTTTTTCTTTCCTTACCTCTTACATTTCCAAATCGTTCACAATCTTTTTTCTTATCATCTCAATAATTTATGTTTTCCCAGATTTTTATTTTACACGCATAATCTTTTCTATTACCATTGTTATTGTTATTATCTCTACTATTCAGGGATTCTCCATGACAATTTCATCTCACTGTGCTAATAGGATGTGGTAACTTGAACCGATGTACATACGTTCTAGGTCCTACGTTGAGTATGACTGAATGGCTGACCTGTTTATTTAATGTTTTCATCAACAGTGCTTTAGCTTTCAATATGTTTAACAAGGTGTAATCCGCAGATCATTAACTGTTGAAAACACTTAGTAGATTTAAAGACAAACTATAGTAATTGTGGGACATTTATCTTATCGTTTCTATGATGTAAAATGAACTGATCAAATTATGTTATAATACTGTTTACCCAGCAATAGTTTTAGTCCATGCAGTTATCGTTTGTTGAATTGAACCATTTCAGAATATGCTGACTGCCTGGTTGGTGAGGTTCATACGACAGTCGTTATTAACAGTTGGAAATGTTGGGTGAATTTGTTTAGAATCGATTAAAATAGCTTAAGTATATAAATTGTTTCTTTGTTTCCATCTGTATCTTGAGCTTTACTTATTTAACACATTTTTCACTTTTGGCATTTTTTTGCGGTAAATGTCATCTCTAACATTTCAATTTTCAATTATATTTGGTCCTTTTGGGGATTATATTTATCATATTGAGATTTTCATTGTAGTTGGCTTTTTTTCTCTCGATTCTGTAGTCCTGTTTTAGTCTTTTACTATTCAGTATTCTATGGCTACTATACTTCACTCGAGGCTTTCGCAATTCAAACATGGATTAAAAAAACAATGTTTGTTCTCAAAAACTTGAATAACTGAGATACCTCAATAAAATATTATAGTTTATGTAAATCTTGTATGACAGTCTTCTCGGCTTGTCCATTCGTGCCGATTAATTGAAAAGGGACCAATCAACGTTTTCTGATTTCAGCCCGATTAGATCATACAGTAGTCAGTATTTTATTATATGAACAAGCTCTTGCCTCGTTATTTACACATACTGTAATATTGTATTAATCACTTGATTTTATCTTTCTGTTTACATTTTTATAGTTCTTCAAAAGATAATTTGGAATTCATATCAGTTATTGGATTTTATTTATCTAAAATGATTATCTATGCTGATGAAACAGTAATGCACGAGTTAATCAATCCAACATCGTCATCATCTTACAGTATGGAATGTAGATTCAGTATTCTTGATGAAGAAATATCACACTTAATCTATGCATTTACTTCATGTCATGGAATAACTGATTGTGCATTAAAACATTTAGGCTATTCATTGAGTACAGGTAGTCATATTATTTCAAAAGAACCAGGATTTTCGATGAATTCAACAATGTTAGTGAATAGCTGGCCATTATGGACAGAACCACATGTTTTCTGTTTATTATCTGGTCATATGCTTAGTATATTACGAATTACAGATTCAATAATTATCTTGGAAGATTCTATCAAATCCTTTTGGTCAAATTTTTTGACAAGTATACAAAATGCGATCTTATCAACATGGGAATCATCAATAATTAAAAAGATCACTGTTATTGAACATTGCATGATGGATATTCATCCTAATTTATTACAATTTACTTGTTTTCTTGCTGGACAAACACCGGGATTAACAGCGAAAAAGCAATTACTCATTTTATTGACTCAATTATTTTGTGATTTACATAAAACTATTTGGAAAAAGCAATATCAACAACAATTCATCACAGAAAGCAGTAATGTTCACATTTCCTCTGTGAAACAACAAATCACGCATGTTTATTATCTTTGGCTGCGTTTAATTGTTATTTTACGCTATATGCTACATTATTTCTACATTCCACCAAATTACTTATCACATCAACTAAAACCTTGTATGTTTTTACAACCTGATCAAAATAATAATAAACAAAAGAAATGTATGATTTGGGAATATTCAACTATTGCTCAATTATCATCAAAAATACACCCATACTTTTTACCTTTACCACTGACAGATAATAACAATAATATCCCATTCTTTTATGATCTATTAACTGCAGCCAACCAATCATCATCAGGCGTTGATCAGTCAACAAATTTAACCCCTGTTGGGAGTAGTAGTTCTAAAAGAACAGGTACAAGTTTAAGTCTCCCGTCTCCTGATGGATTAGTAAGTTTGAAAAATACATACAGTGTTAATAGTTTTCAGTATTTTAGCAGGTGACGACACAAAATAATAAGATTTAAATCAGGTTTATTATTTAGGTTGAATTATCATTTCATTGAAAAATACTCAATTGTGGTACACAATGTTCTTATGTTAGACTGTTACTGTGATCCAACGAAGCTATAGATCACTAATTAATGCTTAACATTCAATCACCAATTCGCAGGTTCGGGCGAGCCTATAATTTCTGGACGAGCTAATCAGAATGGAGTAAGCGATTTCAAGGTCATATGCCTAGTTTCATACGAAATACTCACCTACGATCGGTTTACTGCGGTTTTCAAAAAGCGTTTTATAGTCGAGGGGCTACAACAAGTGGGATTACTGAGAAGCTCCATTATTTGGGATTTTGATGTCTAAACGCCTTCTGGACAGTATTATGAGGACTGTCGTGGCGATATGGTATTTCGTCGCAACATATATTGGAGGAAGAAGTCTACGAGAACAGGGACATTTTTTGTTCAGTCCTGGGTGACAGGCTTTGCTGATCGTTAAAAACTTGGTAACAAAAACAACATTAAAACTCTTCGCATCCTTTGCAGATACCAGTGCAGCTACGGTGGTTCATTGGTGCGGGTACTGCAGGGTCACTTGGAGGAATCGGAATGATCGTAGAAATAGGTTAAATCGGTCGTCAGAAAGTGCAAATTCCATAGAGGAAAAAGTGTTAGAGTAGACTGGGTAAGCAGGAGTACCTTAGATATATATTTAGAATATCTTGGGCATATATGATAATTCATCACCAACAGGCTACAAATCTGAAATGAGTTATACGGTAGTATGTCGGGCCTGTTACCACCATATACACAAACTAATAGAGGGCATATACATGTCAATCTAAACTTGGTAACGTACATCCTGTTGTTGTTCTCAAGATACATTTTGTTGACTTCACAAAAGGAGTACACACTAACTGCATAGAAGCAATGTGGTTGGGGCTAAAGGAATTTCTACGAACTTGTCACGGCCCCGAGTGTCAACTGTTGTGGAGTCACATGGATTAGTTCTTGTACCGTATGCATTATGATTTCAGAACTCCGGACTCTCTAACATGATTAAGTTTTTAAATCATGTTAAAGAAGAGTATCCACTTTAATTCTTTTTTGTTGCATAATGAATTTACACTCCATACCAATTGTTTTCTGATTGGCTGAAACCTCTCAGGGTCACTTGGGTTTCATTCGAAGGTTGTCCATAATTTAGTCTCGTCCCTGATCCTACTATATGGTTCATCATTTTTCTAGTTAGTCACCTTGTGATACATACTTATATTTTAGCTTTACATTAAGCTAGAATAATCAACCACAATTTTCTCAAATTATACACTTGGTTTTTTTTAATGGATTTAATTTGCTTTACTGTAATCACGCTTTTTTATATTTTCCATTCACAGGCTGTCTCATCATTAGCATCACTTAATAATTATCATGACCTATTCACCTCTCTCCTTGATTACATGAGTTCTCTTCTGCTGACGGATTCATTTGATAAAATGTTAACTAATCCAGATCCTATTCTTATCGAATGTTGTCAACTACCATTGTGCACTTATGGATTAGCATTAAACTGGAGATTATTAGAAATTCTTCCACCACCACAAGAACTTTTAAAAGATTTAAGTCTTTTCATTGATTTATTAACGATAAAACCATCACAGAAGACAGTTATCAATCTTCAAAGTGTTTCAAAGATATTCTTGTCACCGTCATATTATCTATATTTAATAATTTTGTTAGATAGAATTCAACAGAATCCTACTCAACCAACTTTTCAGTTTTCTTCAGGTATCTAAATCTTATTTTATATTCATTGGATGTAGCTAATCAATTTTTATTACTAAATTTTATTGTTGATACTTTCTACTCATGTAAAAACAAATGAATAAAATATGCAGTCAACCAATCTTACTAGGTGAATACTTCATTTAAGAATAATAATAATAATAATTTTTTTTTAATGGAACTATGATTTAACCATGCGTGGATATTCAGTTTCTAAGTATACATTTTCTTGAAGTGAATTCTGTTTAAACAGTCAACTTATTATCTCTCTAGGTGTTATATAACTGTTTTTAGAATTCGCTAAGCTATCTGTTTAAATTTGATTCACGTTTTTTGGAAACAAATAATTATTTATGTTAGTGAAGGTATAACAATGGAAACTCTTGACCATGAAATAGTACTATGCTGTCTACTATGTTTTTTTAAATCTTCCGTTTGTTAATAGATAAATATTTCCTTTTTTTCTACAACCTAGTAAGTACTCCATAATCTGTTTTTCGATTTAGGCTTTACAGCTGATGATAGCCTACCGCCGAAATCGAAGTCCGAATCATCTACTGTAAAATCCACAAATACTAGTGCCATTACGACTGGTGGTGGTAATGCTAATATACCTTCAGTAACCAGTAGTCGATCATCGACGTCATCATCATCAGCTTACTCTTTATTGGATTCGAGAGCGAATCTGCTGGTGCGTTTATTACTATTTCTATCAGTCATAATTTTATAAGTATTCTCACTGAACAAATTAACTTCCTGTATTTCCATTATTTTGTTTGTTACTGATGGTTTCCAGTATGTGATACGGGTCGTTATGATTTATATTTGATCTTTTTGGTGGAGTTTTGTTCTCTGAGCTGGATGGTCGTCCACGACCAAAATCATCCACCTAAGCTATAAATCTTCTCCACCATCTCAATATTTGATCTTTCCTTTCGTGCAATATCAATTATCAAGGATTATATACCAGCTAACCTTGGGCTGGTTTCAGATTGATCAAGAATTATCTGATACCGTAAGAATGCTCACCGTTGCACCTCAATTGGTTGGAAGCTGTGGTAAATATTTAGTAAATACTCTGAGATGTGTAGTTTGTATCAGTGTGATCGCACTGTGGTACTTCTAAAATATCAAGCAATAGCTTAATAATCGGAGAATTCAACTTTTAAACACAAATTTCCACGTCCTTACCCCACTTTACACACTTCACTTTGGGGAATCGGGTCGTATCACTGGCCATCACACTTAAAATGTGGCCCAAGTCAAGTACACTAATGTGTACTTGGTGAATAAGTTAGTAGAAAATATACGGCTTAAAAAGTGAATATTAGTTTTTACTATCTACATAAAATTATTTTGTCTTGAAGATGAATGATACATCTATTGTTAACAGTTTGTTCACGTAAAACGCGAATGGTTTTGGGCATGATGCTTTTTCTGTTGTTGATATTTGAGAATTCTAATCAGTCTTTGTTGGCGTACATAAATCTTGTGCGGGTCGCCTCTATACAGCCTATGAATACATATAAATGAGGAATAAATTAGTTAACTCTTCATATTTGGTGCATATACGTGGTACGTAGACATATGCATATGATTTACCAGATGGATTTTATAATCTTAAGCGATTTCCAAGTGGTTAATGGATTCGGCTTCCATCAGTTAGGTCGAAGGTTCGAACCCAACTCCTGACAAAATATAGTGTCATTTTATTAAAATCAAATAAGAAAGTGAATTTTCCATATCTAATCTCAATGTTTTCACTCGATTGATTAAACCAACATTTCCATCATTAGTTCAAAATAAACATTACATAACATTTATTTTACCATTAGTCTTCATATTCATTCATGTATCACAAATATTTATTAACAGTGTTAATTATACTGATGACATTCCTGACCGTTTATGTAAATTAAAGTCTTAATTTTTAGTGAACTTTATCACTCTCAATCTTTTATTTGATATCATTACTTACAGAAAGAATTGAAGCGTTTAATTCATGCTCAGTGTTCAAGCAAACTATCAAATGATGGTGAGTCAGAGGAAGCAAAGGCTAATGTGATTGAAGGAGCAATCAATAAATTAATATCTCTAGTACATCCTATAGCCTTATTTTCATTCTTATTCGAATGTGGTTTTCTTCAAGTGAAGTCGTTTTCAGTAAGTTTTGTTGTTATACACTATGAGTTATCTGTTTTTTTGAAGATAGTCTACATTATGGAGTAATTTTAGTTAGTCGGTTGTAGTGTTAGCCAGCCCCTTCAGATGAGTGACGTACATCTATCATCCACTGACATTAACGATATCTGCCTGACAATCCTGACCTGGTTGAACTCCACTAGTTAAGCGGTTTCTCAATTGTAGAATACTGAGGATTCATCTGAAAGTCCGTAAGAACTAGTGAACTAGTAATTGTTATGGGAATAGAATGTTTGTAGTTATTGTTTAAGATAGAAAACGAGTTTGGATCACAGAATGACTTCAGTTAAATGACTAATGTTAACTAGGGAGGTCTTGGTGACTGTTTCATCCTACTGAGTAGCATATCGCTAACTCTCATATTTAAAGTGTGGTCAGATGTCAACTACACGAACCTGCATTCAGCACATGAGGTGATATATATAATTTGTTTTTAAAAGTAATAAAATATGAACTTGATATTTCTTTTCAATCATTTTGTCGTACTTTAGCTAACTGCTAATCTCACTTTTCTTTCTGTCTCTCTCTCTTGGGTAGCGGTAATTCAATGTAATATATTTGCGATTAGCTAATTCTATTTTTCGATAAAAGTTTGTAGTTATCATTAACAGCACAGAATGCACAAGTTTAATCTAAATATAAGAATAACTCAGATGTATCATGATAAACTACTAGTTGCTTGTATCCTTACTTTGCATACACATTGAATATGGAGCATTTTTCTGAAACGTAAAGTAGTCATCTATGGTTATTTTTTTAAAACTTTTTACCAGAACAATGATCGTAAATATTTATTTTGACTACCGATAATTTATTTCTTAATTTCTCAACCCCCCCAGTTGGTGTTAGATCCAATCAAGAAGAGTTTCAATGGAATTACTGTTGGGCAGTTGTCTTATTTATGCAGCTTATTTCAATTTCTAAGTACTTTAACATCACAATTGTCAGTATTAAATGATTCTAAAAGCACAAAACCAATTAATACTTCCAAATCATATACTGACACTGTAGAACCTGTAAAACGTGCTGGGAAGCATAGAACACGTCATGCTGCTGGTAAAGGACGCACCGTTTGTTCTACAGAAACTACGAAACAGTCTAATAACAGTACTGAGACAACTACTCCAAAGGAAAAGAAAAGTATCTGTCTTTTAGATACAGCAGTTTTGGACTCAACTTTACAAGATACTCTTGTTTCTTCTGTAAATTCTACGATTGGTAATAACACGAATACGAGTGGCGATAAAAATCTGACATCTAAAGAGGTAAGAGTAACTTAAGCTAGGTTACTTTTACAGTACATCTTATCAATACCATTTATTAATGTATATGTGTTTCTTTATGTCAACCGATTTCATCATTACCGATGTTGTACACATGTTTTCATCAGACTTAACCAATGTATGATAAACGTGACTTTTACCATGATTTGATACCAGTCAACGAAATATTGGAAGCAAGGTAGCAGTAAACAGTTGCTTTGTCTTTTTTTGAACACACATCTACATTAAACCCAAGATCTTGCTTTCCACTCTATAGTATGGTAATAAGCTGTACTTCCAACTCAATCGTCAGCTGTCCACTTATATCGCTTGTAAGTTTCACTTAAATAAACCCTACTGAATTCGGAGGCTGTCAGAAGTATATTTCGGATTCTTGAGATACATAATGTGAAATACACATGTGGTTCTGTTTTTCATGAAGATTAGTATGAAAGATGATGGGATCATCAACAAACAATCGACGTTATACAAAGACAACGAGAAAAAACGACTAGTTCAATTGAGAAATAACTAATCGACTGTTTTTGTTGATTCTAATTTTCTTTTTTTTTAAATTGAAGTTGGTTTGTGTTATATATACTGGGTCAACTGAGTCCCTATTGAAAATCAGAACACATAAAATATATGTTTTGTCATAGTATTGTATTCGAGTGTACTCACCCATGACCTCCATCTGTAATCGAATCCAGAGCCATAAAGTTTCGTTGCTTGTTGATCGTTTGTTTCGAAATCTAGTGATTTGTAGTTCATGTGGATTATCGTTGGCGAAGTTTCGTTCTTCGAGTAGGATAGCTTAATCGCGAAGCTTTCATTGTTCTTCTGAACAACATCAGCACAAACTCCAGGTAAAAGTGAGTTATTTAAATGTTTCCACATATAACTGACAACTTATCCCGTCGAACTTGGCTGCTCATTGTTGACCTTTAATCGTCTGGATACCGATTTTGATTGTTTCTTTTTTAACTTGATTCTGGATCCTATCTTTATCCCTGATTTCTCCAAATGCGTGATAAATTAGATCAATTTCGATGTTTTTTTATTGCTGATTGATGTGAGTGCCAGACTTCTAAAAGCTATTTTTTTTATATTACTCCTGTCCAAAGTTTCAACATTCTTACAGTCCAATATGTGTCCACAACTTTCCACGTGCAATAATATTAGAGAAACTACATCGTTGGGTTCGACGGTTAGTTAGTGTTAATACGGACAGAGATGAAGAGGACACCCAATTTATCCGATGTCGTGTTTCTCGCAGTTGGAATAGTTTTTTTTGTAGGTGATGTTCGGCTTTACTTCCTTTGTATTTTCGTCCTTTGGTTTGTATAAGATTGGTTATATTCAGCTTCATGATTTACCATTCAAACTCCACCAAAAACGCGATGTCATCTAATACCATTAGAAGGTATTTGGTATCTTATCCCCAACGTAGTTAAACTCTACCGGTCAGTACTTCTCACTAGAACTTTAGTCACTAGTTCATTTTTGTATTGGTTGTTTGAATCTTCCCATTGATGTTTAGGACTGCAATTCATCAGTCTCATATTGGCATATGTGCACTCTGTGCGGATTGCTTTGATATTGCCTGAAGTCACAAGCACTATAAGCAGAGATGGATGGTGGCTAGCAGTGGAATCCAGGACGTGCATTTCGTTATATTTAAGGCTCGTCAACTGGATGTACCTGCGTCCCAGAGTTGATGTTCACTCCGGAACTTGAACCCAGTACCGTTCGCTTCATAAGTCGTCGCATTATCCACTTAGCTGCTTAGTCACTAGTGAACACAATATTGGTATTTGATCGAGACGTGGGCGTGGAACTTTCACTTGGAGTTTTTTTGTCAGAGATCAAATTCACTTTAAACGAACATACATTATAACGACAGTTAATTGCTGTCTGAAATATTATAGATAATTATAACTTGTCCAAGTGTATCTGTGTCGATAGTTGATCTTTTTCTAATGTTATTTTGTTTGTGTATTTCATGTTTTCCCTTCTTTTCAGTTATCTGCTATGTATTCACATTCGTTACATACTGGGCACAATTTGCTAATAACAAGCTTACAGATAATGTATAAATTATGCTATCATATTCGATCTGAGCTTGGTCTACCTAATTGGAATGATGTGTATATTAATGAATCATTTGTATCAGGGCCATCAACTATAGAAAATATTGGATCATTAACACTGTTGTGTCCCAATCGTTTAATGAAAGAGAATTATTTGCCGTTCAATTTTACTTCAAATCTCTTAGCTCGTAGGCGATTGGCTAATAGTCTCAGATTAGCTACAGTTATTTACGGTAAACAGTTTGACCTATTGAATGAAGTTGCAACGAAATGTAATTCTAATAAATGTATAGAATTGAATCAAGTAAGTTGTGGAAAGGATCATTTTAACTAATGTTTAAGGTATTATTGTATTCTGAATTTGGATTATTTTCACGGTGATACTACTACTACTACCACTAGTGGTTGCAAATTTTAAGCCTCTGAGTTGTACGAATATTCACTAAAGAGTTAAGGTTCATTATTAGAATGATGCTAATATTTATTCGGGATTGTTCAATAGAACATTTCATAAAGCGTTTACAAAACCAAAGGTTAGATCATAATATCAGGTTATATAGTTTTGTCACTGAATAGAATAAAAGTGGTACGAAAATTTATTTCCCAATGAGTATTGATTAAGATTGTATACATTTAATTATTTTTGTTGTTATTTAGCTCTCTAATTTGGGGAATGTAAACAAATATTCGTTAGTTATAAAAAATTCTTCTAAAAAATTCGTACGTTGACTGTTTGTCATATATTTTTATGGTGTATGCTACTTATGTATGTCCATATAAGTAGTATGTAAAACCAATCTGAAGTAGAAAATCTGACAGCAGAAGCCTAAGAAGGTCACGTTGAAGAGAATAGAAGAGAAAATAGAAATAATTTGTGAAATTAAAGAATCGTACAGAATGTTAGGAACAAGTGATGGAAATTAGCAAATGAAGTATTCAGTGTATGGTTCTTATATTTTATCACGATACTCTGTAATTTGTATTAAAATACATTAGTTGTCCCCACCTGTGTTCTCGTTCATTACACTTCTACTGTTTAATATCTCATGACCACGATACTCCACTTGACTCTTCCTAAATCTCTAACTATAATTTATGGATGAGTCAATCAGATTTAAGATAACGGGTGTTGGATTTTAGTGCTAAATTCATCCACTCATTTGGCTAAATACTATTTCGGCATTATAACTGGTGTCCGTTCGTGATGAAAATCCTACATCTAATTCCTAACCCTAACCATCAACTGTAAATCATAACTTTAATTCCTCACACTGCTTTATAACCCTCATTTAGTCCTAGTTAGTAGGTGGACATTGTAAAGGTCATTTTAGCGCTACTTATAGGTCGTCCATAAATTATAGCCACCTCTTCAACTATCTTCCTGGTTCGTCCGCTAACATTGATTGGTTGAAAATTTACTAATCCTGATGTTCAGATTTGAGCCTTATCAGAACATGCAATGATTGGAGCTCTAACGTGCTAACACTAACTGCGATCATTGATGATTAAAATCACAACCTTCCACATGTTCCAGGTTAAATTTTCACATTGTCATATATGAGCGATGTATAGTAGTATATTAGTTCAAAGTTTTTCTGTTACTGTTGCATATGCTATTATTACCCACTAAAATAATTATTTTTTCCTCTGATTTTTTCTCCGATGGCTATTTTAGTCACTAGGCATTCTTTTACCATCTTAGATGTTAAATTCTTACTCTCAGTCTAATACAGACAAGTCGTCAGGATTTTCTATACTTTATGTGTTTTTAACAAGATGAAACTGTGTTTTTAAGGTTGTAGAATGTTTAGATATGGAATTTGTAGTCCATGTAAAAACTAATATATAGATAAATTACTACTTTGAAAAGTGTATTTATACGTAGAATTGTAGATCAGGCTTTTTTTCAATACTTAGGACACTTGTTTTTCGATAGTTTTATTTCCCGTTTCACACCGATAGGTAATAATGTCTGGGCATCTGGGTAATATTACCAGTCCTTACATAAAGGCTATGGTTTAAAGTCGAATTTTCAAGACATACTTGTTGACAATAAGCTGAAAACCTTTGATCAACGCTCACTTTATAATGAATTTTTTAATTGATTCTATCCCGTTACAGTTTAATTAGCCTTTGTTCAACACTGAGGTACGCATATTTTCTAACTTGTTCTATTTATTTTACTACAAACAGTCGGACAATATAGTGAAAACCTCATATACTCAAGTTAGATGCATCTATTTAAATTTCTGTTACGATGTCGATTATAATGTTAACATTTTAAACAAATAATTTTTGTATTGTCCCAACATACTGTGAATATATTCTGGAGTTGTATTTACTCTTACCTTATTTCTGTTTTCTTATCTGCCATTTACAGTTTAATTCAAATTTATCTCAATGTTTCTATCAAATATTAACATATCAGTATGAATTAACTGTTTATCAGTTGACAACTAAAAACGACCATTCATCTGATGACGGTAGTATCAAATCACCTAATGCCACAACCTCAACAGTAAATGAAACAAAATCAACTACTGCCAACACTACACCTGAATTTGCTAAACATCTAGCTAATCGTTTGAAATTATTTCAAGCATGTTGTCTGTTAAAACATATTTATGAATTGTGTACATCATTAGTAAAACAATTGTTTAATTTACAAGAGAAAATTTGTTATTCAAATGATTTTGATCTAGAGCCTACAATGTACAAAGAAAGTCATTATGGTCTACAACTTATTGCTACTATGCATTACGATCCTATTTTCACTGCTTTGCATATTGACTTGATTTGTAATAATGAGGAAGTAGAGAAAATGTCATTATCAGTTGCACAATATTTAGCATATCTTTGTTGCATACATGGAACTATATCAACATCTAAGTTATCATCACCTTGCAAAATAAATAATGTTGAAGGTCAGGTGAAAAAGATTTTAGATTCATGTCAGTTGAAAAAATTGATAAGTCGTTCGTTGGAAGACAGGCTTGTTTATATTGTATGTTATATGGCTAGATGCCTTTCAAATTCAGGTAATTTGTTGCTTTATTCAATTTAATTCACTTTTAATTGGGTTTATTCATGTTCAATTTGTTTTCATTTACTCTTTTGTTGTTTGTCAAATAATTGAGGTGTAAGACGTTAGGAGTGGTTAGTGCTAATCGAATTTCAAATGTAGTAAAGCTTCTTTTTAAAGAAATGATATTTTAATAACACTGTCTGATCAACCAATGATTCTTACTATCCATCATACAAAAGGTTCATTGTTTATTTATTGGTTGGCGCAATTCCTTTAATAGGTCAAGTCATAAGTTTGAACCCTGTTTTATCTATTTGGGCTTGCGAAATCTGATTGTATCTCCATCCTTTACATAAAGCGTAGCTCGAATCCAACTGCATGGATCTGTACTTTTATACATAATTCTATCATCTTATATTTTTAATCTATAAAGTCAATAAAGAGATAAAAATCATAAATCGACAGGGAATATGATGCAATTGATTATATCTTTTTGCCTTAGAAGTATACTTAATTAATGATGACTTATTTACTATACCTTGTCTACATCGTTGTTTCTTCTTTTTATCTTTCTTATAGGCAAAAGTCCCCTTGAATCTCGTGTCTGTTCATATGTCTGTCGTGAAGTTATGGGATTTCTAGAAGTTGTATTAGGTAATCACCGCATCCTCAAGCAATTTTTATTATCGCCATCGTCGTCGTCATCTATTGATGTGAATAAAAATAATAAAAATATTACTATGAATGAAAATTCGTCAAGTGTTGCTTCTCAAGATTCAACTACACAATCAATATTAACGATAATTCAAAGAACTATCTTCAATAAAGAGCTTTTCATGAGTTTATTCTCATCATCATCTATGTCTCGTATTCCACATCAAGATGTTTATCTACTGAATGGTATACGAATATCAAATGGACCTCCTTCACTTACTTACCAAATGTCATCCTTACGTTTATTGTGTGTTCTTCTTATGCGTGGTAAGCTGATGTAAAAATGTGAATGTTCAATCATCACATCATACTTCCAATTATATTTTTTAGTTATTAGGTTATATCTGTATTTTAGAATCCTTTTCAAACTGAGAAAAATGCAGACAGTATAGTGTACAATTAATTTATTCTTAATTATTTGTGACTTTTTATTCCATTATTATATAACATACAGCTTGACAATTTCTACTTTACTAACAAGTTATATATGTATGCGAGGTAGAAGTTTAAAAAGATTAAAGATGCATATGTATAGTGATCTTGAGTATTTTTTCTGTTAATATTGTTTCTTCACTGAAACTATCTCTTATTATACCAATCGGGATTTGAAGACTTTTTATATCATGTGTGATTAAGTAGCAGTAAAACTTACTCCGTAGCCACGTATTTATATTCAATTATGTGAAAAAGTTGGTGGTTCTGACATTAATTTGGTTATCAAAATGTTTGTAAATGATCGATATCGTAGTGGTTAAGGGATTTGACTTCCAGCCGTTAAATTAGAAGCTCGAAACCCACTCCACCTACTTCATTTTGGACCACCGAGTTGTACTACAAACCCTCTCACTCTGAGTGTATCTCGGAACCACCTACACTAATTTGCACATGGTAAATGAGTTAAAATGAAAGTAATTTTCATTAAACCGATGCTGTCTATTTAACCTGTTTACCAGGTACATATTCATGTACTTGACTTCGAGCCACACTGTAATTTGTAGGACTGGTTATATTAATTGGTTGCTTAAATTGAAGTAAATGATGCGAATTTCGAGCTTGCAACTTGGTGACTGAGAGTCGAATGCCCGCCGTCCTGTTACATTGTCTACTGTCCAAAGAAATGATACAAGTTAATTAAAGTTATTAATATGAAATATTGAATTTCAACTCTTTTTAATCATGTATTTCATGACCAACGACAAGTATTGTTGTCTCATACTCAGTTGAAGCCCTTTTCTAAAAGAACTTTTGTTCTGAAATTTAAATTAATGGCTATTTTGTAACTTTATAAAGTTTATTTCATTGCTAATTTTCTTTACAGCTATCAATGCCTCTTCAAAAACTCGTTGCAATTTCACTGAACTTGTAAAATTAGCACTAGAATCGTGTATATTTAATCCGTGGAAATCACTAGTATCTGAAACTAATAAGACAAAAACATTATCTTCTTATTGGCTAGAAAATATACTACCCAATATGGAGTTATTTGATCAAAATAACGATACTGAACTATGGTTTACTGATTTATTAAATAATCATAACTATTTACTATCACATAATCAAGATTCATTTCTATTGTCATTTGAAACTGAAGAAGATCTACTGACAAATGATGTATTTAATAGTACGATAAATAATATTAATACTGCCTATCGAAATTTGAATTGTGAAGATCATGTTAACGTCAACTGGTTACTTGATGCAAATGTAGCCTCGATGGTGAATAATACTACACATCTGATTAATGAATGGAAACAGAAACGATGCTTATATTACATAGCTTTGTATTTTGAACGTTTCACAAGACTTTTAACATCTAATTGGACAGATGATGTTAGTTTACGCGAAAAAGTGAGTTGAAAGTTTGTTTTTTTTCCAAAGAGAATTATTATCGTCATCGAGAGGAAATTTCCAGTGTTGATCAATTTACTGGAATGGTTTAATTTCATAGTTTACGCCACGAACTAATCATAGTTAGAAAACCATTCAAAACTCAGAAACACTGGATAGCTGTTTCGTCTCATTATGGGACTTCTTAGCAATCCACACCCACAAACTAATTGAGAATCGAGCATAGGGCTAGATACATAGTGAAGTGAAAACGTTTGAGTTGGTTCGACATTTACTCTGAATTTCCTTTTTATAGTAAAAAAAATGGTCATGTACATTTCATGCATTTTCTACCCCAGATTTAATTGGAAATATTTTATTTCTGTAAAATGTTTCCACTATTTTTATTGAGTACATGGATTGTGGCCTCGTGGTGTAGCGGTTATCACTCTGGACTCTGAATCCAGCGACCTGAGTTCGATTCTCGGCGAGGCCTAGTGATGTGGGCACTTTTGTCCCCGAATGCCCTGGTACGGCCGAGAGTGGGGTGAGTCCGCTCTCCCTCTCGAAATACTCTCACACGGCCGCGCGTATACAGCCTCTGCCAGGGAAGTCCTACTCATTGCCTTCTCGTGGCGGGGGTGTTGTTTACAAAAATGAGAGGACGAAAAGCGAATGTCCGGCGCTTTAACTGGATCACAAACCAATGGTGCACATGGGCTCCAGTATCCTGCGGGAACAAATGGCGTATGAACCAATCCTTGGTCACCGGCTACCATGGGATTGCATCTCCTTACGATGCTCCACTGCCTTGTGGGTTAGACCTTTAGGTCAAAGGCTCGGGGAGTGGCCCCCTAAGAAAACCACCTGCTTCGGTTTGGGCACCCGGGCAGTATCACAGCCCACACACAAACGATGAACTCTATGTCTTTGGCAACTACTTTTATCGCTCCGAAAAACAAAAACAATCAATCGATTCAAATAATTATCATTACTATTATTGTCATTATTAATACTATTATTATTACTATTATTGTCGTCATTATTATTATTATTATTATTATTATTATTATTATTATTATTATTATTATTATTATTTCCCACATTATTCACCCTCTTTCATACTTATACAGCGGCTCGGCTTTGGTGGAAATCCGACTGTATCTAAACGTTCTCGAGTCACTGTCCGGTTGAAAGTTGTATGTTACCATCGAATATGAGTACTGAAGCAGTTTTTCTGAAACCACGTGCGCCATTCAAACTGGCTGCCTTCAACGTTCGCACACTTATGCAGGTTGGTCAACAGATAGGGCTGGCTATGTCTTTGGAAAGTCTTAATATTGATGTTTGTTGTCTATCCGAGACCCGTATTCAAGACTCTAGCGAAGTACTACAAATTCGCTCTACATCTGTCACTTCAAAAAGCTTGTTTTACGTGCGCTTATCCGGGGACCCTGTAGCATCTTCGTCTGGTCTTGCAGGCGTTGGTGTCGCACTAAGCGCTAGAGCTGAGGCAGCACTAGTCGATTGGATCCCCATTAACAGTCGGTTATGTGCTGTTAGATTAGAAAGTTCCATCAAAGTGAGAAGAAATCGGCGTGAGAAACGATGTCTTTTCGTCATCTCCGCCTATGCCCCGACAGATTGCAGCCCGGATGCAATCAAGGATGAGTTTTACCACCAATTATCTGTTCTTCTCCAGAAAGTGCGTTCGACAGATATTGTAGTACTAGCCGGAGACTTGAATGCTCAGGTCGGGCGTCTAGGCACAGAAGAGAGTCGTTTAGGTGGCCGATGGGGACTCGTTGGTCGCAGGTCAGATAACGGGGACCGTCTACTGCAACTATGCACAGACCACAACCTGTTTCTGGCTAGCACTAACTTTCGGCACAGTCATCGCCGATGTGCCACCTGGCGTCCTCCCTCTGCATCCCAAGCCTGGACTCAGATTGATCACATCGCGATCAGCTACCGCTGGCGTGGTTGTGTAAAAGACTGCCGCTCCTTTTGGAGTACCTATCTGGACTCTGACCATGCCTTAGTCTGCGCCAATCTTGCCTTACTTTTCAGTGGACAACGAAGTGAACGCCATCAACGGATTGATGTTAGCAAGCTGGTTGCAACTTCTGTTGCAAGTAAGTATCGAACCGAGCTAGCCTCTAGGCTAGCTACCACTCCACCGAAAAGTATAGATGAGCATTGGTTGCAATTGCATGACGCCATGAAAATGGCGGGAACAGTCAGTTGTGGATTTGCGAAACGTCCCGCTTTTAAGCACTGGGTTTCTTCTGGTTCCTTACAACTCATTGAAGCCCGTCGGTCTACTCCGGGTGACCGTGAGTTTGACCATAAACGAAGGATGTTATGTAAGGAAATCGGGCAAAGCTTGCGTAAGGACCGAGAAGCCTGGTGGTCGAAGCGTGCTAATGAGCTGGAAGCAGCAGCTGCATCTGGTAATTACCGGAAGCTCTTCCAGCTCATCCGAGCCACTGGCAGCAAGAAGTCTGGTGTGAGTGAAACAATCTGCGAGGATGATGGGATGCCAATCACTAACATCCATCGACGTCTTGGACGGTGGGCAGAATTTTTCGAAGGGCAGTTCAACTGGCCTGCTGCTCAGGCAACATCAGTCAGACTGTCCTGCCCTCCATGGCCGGTGACGACTGATCCACCAAACGAGGAGGAAGTCCGCAAGGAACTCCATCTCTTGAAGCGATACAAATCACCTGGCCCAGATGACTTACCTCCGGCTCTTTTTAAAGATGGTGGTGACTTTTTGACTAAGGAATTGACGACGTTGTTCACAAAGGTTTGGGAACTAGAGAGTGTGCCAACGTCATGGAATGAGTCGATAGTTGTCCCTATCTTTAAAACGGGTTCACGTCGTTCCTGTAACAACTATCGGGGGATAAGTTTACTTCCGATTGCGTCCAAGCTATTGGCTTCCGTCATACTTCGTAGGTTGTTCAAAACCCGAGAAAGATTGACTCGCGAGGAGCAGGCTGGTTTTCGTTCTGGTCGAGGATGTATTGATCATATCTTCACCCTCCGCCAAATGTTAGAACACCGCCATACTTATCAAAGGCCAACAATCGTAGTGTTTCTTGACATCAGGGCTGCCTTCGATTCGTTGGACAGAACTGTTCTCTGGGATTGTCTATTGAAGAAGGGTGTGCCTGAGAAGTTTATTAACATCCTAAAAGCCCTATATAAAAACACCTCAGGCAGAGTGAGGGCATACAACCACCTCTCTCCATTGTTCCATTCGAGTAGTGGGGTTAGGCAGGGTTGCCCAATCTCACCATTCCTCTTCAACTTTGCCATCGATGACATTCTGGAAACAGCTCTGATGAATGTAAGTAATGGTGGTGTGGATCTGTTGCCTGGAGAAAGACTTCTCGACCTTGAGTATGCGGACGATATTGTCTTACTGTGCGATAATGCCCAAGGCATGCAATCCGCACTTAATCAGTTGGCAATCAGTGTCCGTAGGTATGGTATGTGCTTTGCACCTTCGAAGTGCAAAGTACTCCTACAAGACTGGCAGGATTCCAATCCTGTACTCACCCTGGATGGTGAACAGATAGACGTAGTCGAGAAGTTTGTGTATCTGGGTAGCTGTATAAGTGCTGGTGGGGGTGTGAGTGATGAGATCAATGCACGAATAGTGAAAGCCAGAGCGGCTTATGCCAATCTGGGCCATCTATGGCGCCTTCGTGATGTTAGTCTGGCCGTAAAAGGTCGGATCTACAACGCGTCGGTGAGAGCAGTTTTGCTCTATGCTTGTGAAACCTGGCCTCTCCGAGTTGAGGACGTTAGACGACTCTCTGTGTTCGATCATCGCTGTCTCCGAAAGATTGCTGACATTCAGTGGCAACACCATGTCAGTAATGCAGAGGTTCGGCATCGTGTGTTCGGGCACAGAGATGATAATTCAATTGGTGTCACCATCTTGAAACACCGACTTCGGTGGCTTGGACATGTTCTCCGAATGTCGTCCCAGAGAATTCCACGTCGTGCATTATTTGCCGACTCTGGGACTGGTTGGAAGAAGCGGAGAGGTGGTCAGTGCATGACATGGTGTCGTGGCATGAAAGAAAGCTGCAAAGGACTGGCGTGTGTTGGTTCTTCACGACTCCCTGGTTGGGGTCTGAGAGATAGTGCTACACAGTGGCTAGAGACGTTATCAGATATGGCTCAGAATAGAAGCCAGTGGCGATCCTGCTGTAACCTTCTTTTACTTTCTTCATAAACAGTGGTTGTGTCTCCCTTACCTGAAAGATTTCTTCCGATTGTACCTTTGCGTTCCCTGATTACTAGCACATTACCTTACACCAATCTCTTCGTTATTGTTCTCTCTTTTTTTTGTTGCGCTCCTTAGCTTTTTTTTTTTTGTATTCCTCTCGAATTTTCATTGTTTTGTGTGGCGCATATATATTGGCGCTCCCCTGTACCAATATTCATGTGTCCAAATAAATAAATAAATAAACTTTGGAAATTTTGAACTCGATTCCAGTGCCTCTTTTGCCCTAAACACTCATTGTTTCATTTACTAGGCTTCTGTGCAAAGGTAGTCATCAATGGATTTGACGTTTATATCCTTATTGGTAAGGGTTTGGATTGTCCACTTGTTGATATTCTTGATTGTATTTTGATGAGTCGTTATTGGCATATTTGGGTCCTCTCTTGTTACATATTTTTTTCTAATTCAGTTAGCTGATCTAGGAAAAGCCAAAAAATCCCAGTTTTTTAAGTACCTGTTGACATGCTTTATCAAACAAATATTTCATACTTATTGGAGGCATAAAGATCAAGGATATATCATAAATGTCTCTGATGTTGTCCTAAAGTTTTTTTTCATTTAAGAAGATTACATGATAATCAATCGGTTGAATTCGCGTCTCAAGTTGACTTGTTTTTATTCTGACTGAGGTTTTTCACTCCATCCAATAGTCGTATACATCTATGGAAACGTTTTTACTATTGGCTAGTTACTTACAGTACTTAGATATCATGAAGAAGTAGGTATAAAATAACACTCAGTTATCTATGTTTATTCAGTTGATCAAATAGTTGTCGGATATAACTGTTTTCTATTTATGCCTAACTTTAGCATTATCGATTATATCACTATTTGAGTTTTTTATGTATGGTGTTGTTTTTTTTTCTTTTTAGTATTGTAATCACTTACTAACTTCAGCTATATCTATCTGGCGTTCTCGTGTAACTTCAAAAAGTAGTAGGAATAATACTGTTACTACTACTAAGTGTTCACAGTCACCCTCTTCATCTACGTCTTTTACTTCTGCCTCTCAAGAGGAACCCGAAAACGTTAAACAGTCTGCAACAGTTGAACATTTGTATGATTTGACATTTCTACCGTATGCTATTACATCGTTACATTGTTTGTCATTTGGTTTTACCACAGGTTCTGTACATAGTAAATTATTCGGTTTCTTTACATATTGTGCTAACATTTGCTATGAGTTAATAATGAAACCAGAGATGAATAAAGAAGTGGGCGAATCAGTATGTCTGAATGATATTAATTTACTGCTTTCAATGAGCTTACAACATTATAAACAGGTAGATTTCATTGTAGTTACACTTACAGTTCGTTTTTAATCAGTAGAGCTAGATCCGTTTTCGTTTTTTTTGTTATATGATTTATGTCATATGTGTTATTATATACGGTTGTCCAAGCCTAATGCTGATACATGTTTTTTTCTAAATATGTGCTCAAACGAGCTACTTGTATGAAAAAAAATCGAGAGTGAATGGGAATCTTTTATTAGCTAACCAAATTTAGAACATATTCACTATTCATTCATCAATACAGATACATATCCCTCGGAAAATTGAGCCACACTGTCAACTAGTGGCATATGTTTATTTTCTGAGAAAGTGGAGCCAAATATTGACTGATAGTTTTCATCTGTTAGCATTTCTCACTTATTATTTGACTTGTGTTTGATTTGTGGAGCTTATCAAAATGTTCTCGTTCTGCTCTAGTCGTCTAGAAATTAACGGTAGCTAAAATTGTTATTTTAATTTTATTTATCTGTCTTATTTATCACTATTGCATCGTGTCATCCGAGTGAAAATCAGATTTTTTTCGTTAGTTAAAATGTCAGAGTCTACAGATCTGTTTAATTAACCATAGTTAGAGTTGTTTTCCAATGACATGCGCTCTGCTTCGTTAGTACTCAATGAAATAGTAGTATAGTGATTAAGACCGCTGATTTTCAATCACTAGGCTATGCGCTCAAACCTTCTCCACGTTAATCAGTTTGAACAACAGAGTAGTATCACTAATCCTCTGTATATTATAAAGATTGCGAACATAAACCTTCACATGGTAATCAATTTGTATGTTTGTATTAGTGTATGGATTCTTACTAGTTTCTGTTTCTCGTATTGTTTAATTTTGTGATCTACATAAAGTTCTGAAATCTGCTTTGATGTTATATTCATTCGATATACTACTGTCGTAAGAAAGGTTTAACTTGAATATATATAGAAAAGGGAATTAAAGGATGAATAAATGAAATCATCGACTGAGATAATTGAAACACATTTTACCTATGCCCCGATCACTGCCTACAACATTTCGTAATGTTTTTTAGTGTAAGATTTGGTTTGAAGTGAGCTTAGTGCAGCCAAGTCATGAAATCATTGGTGTCATATTTCTGGAGACGATTCGATTGACCTAAGGTAATTTTCTAGTCACGATCGACTGAGATTCTACTATAATTAGTAATTGATGCGAACCCAATAGTGGTGTTCTTGTTTTATGGCGCTTAAACGGCCAGCTCAAACTATAAAACCCACGAAGGCAAGAGTTCAACAAAAAGCTTGAGATTCAACTCTGAATCCGCAATAAAAAACATTGCCTTGAGAGAGAGGAAAACAAGCACACTAAAAGTGTTAACAAACAGTCAGAAAGCATCAAAGGTCATGCGGTGATCTGAATAAAGAAATTTTACTATTAGTTATCATTGCTGAAAAGAAGCCAACATTTATTAACAGAAGCATAATAACTTGCGATCTTTTTAACGATCGACTATTTAGAAAGCCATATTGTTGGGTGTCGAGTAATTGGTTTGGTTCACGTGATTATTGTAGTTAGGGGTTTGTGACGTTAAATGATATGGCTCAGAATCGACCATAACCGTGTACATGCACTCACTCTCTTTACCTTACCGTAGTTTCTTGTTGAGTGTCTAATGCTTCTTAGTTTTCAGTAATGTAATTGGTTAGAAAACTTTTAAATGTTTGGTTTTGAATACTTTTAAAGCTAGATAACCTTTACCTATTCATCACTTGTGATTAAACTAAACGTCATGGAGACGGTTCTCACCCTGAAAAATTGTAAAAATTTTCAGTCTATATATTTTTGGTTGATGGTTTGTTTTAATTTTAAGGCGTAAGTAGTACAATAATCTTTTTTTTCTGTACAAATTTTCCGTTGTTTTTCTAGGCTTCATTAATCTGTAGTTTGCAATCAATTTATTTCTATATTTCTACAATGATTGTTGTATTAAATCCGAATAGTCAACCAAAACCCACTGATAATATTTATTCATCGTTGATGAACGCTACTTCTTCCAGTGTCCGATTAGACTATTGGCCAAATTTTGTTTACGCACAACCTGGTTTATTTTCAAATACTTTTATGAATAATGCTGAATCTGAGAATTCGGATGCGTTGCCTAATTATTTAGCTAAAAGTTTCTATTCAAAAACGCGAGCTTTCTCTCATTTATTAAGTTTTCATTTTACTCATAACTGTAAAAGTGCATTTCGAAAAGTAAGTGAAAGTTGCAAATTTCCTTAAATAAATTATAATGTTTTGAAAATTCTTTAGTATTATTCACTCGCTCTAACGGGACTCTTTTCATATTTTTAGTTTTTTCTCTCGTTGTGAACATTCCTCGCGTATCATCGAACGGATGGGTGATCAATGCTGAAGTAGGGTATCGAGTACTGAGCATAGTTAACAAATCAGCCAGTGAGATTGTAATTATTTCCTAATGAGGTGTTTAGAGCATGCGTTAGGTATATTTAACTACCAGAGTATGGTTGCTAACGTAGAATTAAGCGTAAAATTAAGCTGGAATAAAACTAGAACCTGGCTAAACCAAAAACATAGAACTTCATCAAGTTATTACTTTTGGTCTGACTTACGTTGGTAGATGCAGACTACCCTGTTGAGGCTCTTATGATAACTGTGCTCAGTGGTTAGAGACTGTGTATCTTGACTCGTACCCTGTCACACAGTCACATATGCATTCACTTTTGAGTTTTCTTTAGATCATGTGTTGCAGTATTTCCTCATATATGCGTTTTCATTCCGTCTTCTCCTACTATATTCTCAATATGTGGTCATCTTCATGATATTTTACTACGTCATTTCGATGTCTTTCACTGTTATTCTTTCCAATTTCATCTCATCGTGATACTATGGTATAACAACATGAACTAACTCACATCTCTACCAGTTTCTATGTTCATGTTGTCAGTCTATCTTTAGAGTACTTACAGTTAAAAGCTTTGTTTGATAATGTATTGGCAAACATCTTACTAACGCTTTATTCATTATCCTCGGTACATTTTAACAACCTGTTAATAAACTTAGTTTCATCAACTTGGCTATTTTCTTTTATACTATCTATATTTTTCATTTACTGGTCATAAGTGGTCATAGTGGTTAAGACATTTAACTTTCAGTTTTTAGTTCCCATATTCAAACCTCATTCCACTTACTCTTATTTGATCAATCATGTAGTATTATTAGTCATCACACGCTAAATGTGGGTCATATTCGAGTACCTGGTGGACAAATTAGAAAAAAAAAGTACTAAATCCAAAGTTAGTCGAACCTTGGTTTATAAAGTGATCTTTCAATTCGTAATGCAATGATTAAATTCTTAGTAATTTATCATGTGAATTGTGTAAATAATTTAATTCAACTAGTAATATTGTAGATAGAATTTAATGTATTCTATTCAATGTTCAATTCAACAGTTGAAATACTTGGAGGAGTTTTATTTACGTAATATTCCTAATGAGTGTATAATTATTATTCGTTCATGAAGAATGTACAAATTTAGACTTTTTGTATACTACTCTGTTATTCATATATTTTGTTTGTTTTATTATGTATTTTCGATTTTTTGTATTAAATAGAATTGGAATAAGTTAGGATTATGGAATGTTAAATCTCATTTCCCAAATGTTTCTGCTCAATCAAATGAATTTTTGAAAACAAAGTTGACTTATGAAATTGATCAATTATCTGACAACGATACAAGTGATGATTTTGATGATTGTTTAGAAGATGAAGTGTATTCTTCATTCCCAGGTCCATTGATTAACGATTCAATGTGTACTTATGTTGCAACTCAGAAGATGTTTATTGATCAACATTGGTATCATTGTTTCACGTGTAATTTACAAGAATCTCACGGTGTTTGTTCTGTATGCGCTAAAGTTTGTCATTCAGGGCATGATTTAAGTTATGCTAAATTTAGTGGATTCTTTTGTGATTGTGGCGCTGGTCAAAATGGTGATTCGTTTTGTCAAGCGATGACATCACGTGTTATATCTAATAAAGATTCATTTCCAGTGAATATGATAAAAGATAGAAATAATATATTTCTACAGTATATGAATGATAAGGAATTGAATTATTATCTTCCGTGGTTGACAGGTAACTGCTTGTTTTCCCTACTTAATCTGTTCATATTTAAACGTATGTTTAGTAATCGTTTCTGGAATGTTGTCATTTAATTATGCACGCGAAAGTGAGAGTAATAGATTTTCTATATGTGAAAATAAATCCTTTTGTTAAGACATTGACAAAATGTCTTGACAACGTGGACAGATGTATATATGTGCCTTGTTCTACGTGATAGTTGACTGACATTGACAAAACTAAAAACAAATATATCTGTTTTAATGTTTTTGAGCTCTTCGGGCTTTGATTGTCATTGTGGATGACATCATGTATGTATAAGCCTACTTCTACAAAAGCTTCGATGAAAGCTATACAATTGAATCATATAGAGTTTAGAAAACTCATCAACATGAAAAACACTCGTCTGAGTTGAAAATTTTGTTCATTATTTCGACATCATTAGACATCAAGATTTCATTTATTGCCCTGCTATCGTCTGCATATTATTGGTTTTACTGGCTGATACTGTACTGTAAGCACACAGTATTACTGAATAACTTTTGAAAATGTAATTTTTTGATTGTTTACTAATGTTTGTTTGTAATACTTGAACTATCACACCTAACAATAGATTTGTGATAAAGTTGATTAAAATAGGAAGAGCTGTGCTTTGTGCACAGCGACGATGATTCAGTTGTTACCACTATCTTCGTAAAAGTGAGAGTAACGTTTTTAACCGAAAGGATTTTTTCTGGTTGTATTTTTACTAACTGAACTGTTTCTCCCATTATTATTATTATTATTATTATTATTATTATTATTATTATTATTATTATTATTATTATTATTATTATTATTTCACTCGCATTCACTAGTTTCTGTTCATTGTTCCTTTTCTTTTTATCAACCTCACTTTACATTCTCTATCCTTTCACAACCTCATATGTATTTGGTACCCCTTTTGTGGCAATGTTTATATGTAAAGATTTCTGCAAAAAGCATCACTATGTAATAGTTTGTAGTAACAGTGACAATAAATTGACTGAATTTTGATCACTCTTTACTTGTATATATGCACCCTGTGCGAAATGTTTCGATATAACCAGTTTATGATTTCTTAGCATAAATGAATTTCATATTTTATTCATATGCTTCCAACTGACTAGTCTGAAATAGGAAAAATGCACTTCCTGGATTCTACCTATTTTAGAAAGATCCATTTGCATATTAAATGTATAGATTTTTAAACGTGAAAACGTTCACCCATCATCTGATTGGTTTCCACATAATCAGTCATTAGTGAAAATAGTTGCTTTTAAGTAGTTATTTAGAATAATTAACGGCTTACCTCGCTTGTAAACCATATTTTGTGAAGTTTAAATGAATGAAAGAATGATTACCTACTTTATTTTTTAAAAAATTAATTGTAGATGGCTACCATCCATTCATCTTATCACCTGCTTCATCAAAGGAATTTCATGATCCATATCATCATCATCATTCATCTATCTCCAATGCTAACTCTACTGATGGCCATCGCACATCTATGCATTCAGTAATTGATAGACACGACTCCCGTCTGATTCCTTTGGGTTCTAAATTAGTTAAACGACGCCGTAAAGAATCTTCAAGTCTCATTGAGACACAAGATGATACTGCAAGTATGGGATAGATTTTCTTTCCTAATGTCTGTATCTGATTTATGGTTTTCATCTTTCACATTTATTTTCTCATGTGAAATATTGATTCTTATTTCTGTATGTTTTAACTTCGTACATAGGTGAAATGGTTTGCTTCTCACCTTTAAATGATTATAACATAAATCTGATTGTTTAACTGGAAACTGCTTTTTCTTCACTGTGTGTACATATACGATTTCTGAAGACTTTATTTTTTTACAATTTGTCATTTGTTTTGAGTGGAACATGATTAGTGCATTGGTTCTTATATCCTCCTACTGTGTTCATAATGAGCATTTCTTGCTTCACTCGCCTTCAACACTCAACATTTATGTGCAAAACAAAATGCAGTTAAATAAATATTTCATTTAGATTGACTTTAAAATTGTTCATAATCCATTCATAGTTTTCCATCAATAATATCTACCTTTTTTTCTTACTTTGAATGTACCATGTATTGAATACATGACCCTATACATTTAAGTGTTTGAAAACAATAAGTTTTTTTTAAATATTTTACTGTTAATCTTAAATAGTCTTTCAAATCATAGATCGGAAATTATTTTCATTTTAATACTATGTAGCTTACTGGGATAAACACTCCTCTTTCAGCTCAACTTATCTTCACTTAACTAAAAGGCTTCTGGATTCGCTGAAATTTACATCTTTTACTGTTCTTTTAATTAAGTTGACATGAAATATGCTTAACTGGAAATTCTTACGCAAAAAACTAACTTTCCGAGATTTACTTTTCACCGTCTGATTATATATTAAGTACGATTTTATTTTATGTTCTTTTTTATCGTTTAATGATTGACAGATAATAAAATTAACACTCGTTCGGTAATGTTAAACGGATCATTTTCTCCCTGTTTGTGTTTCAACGTCATATATTTATTACTATTTTGTGAGTCGTTTCGAAAATGTTAGTAAATCTAACTAATCACTAAAATATCAAATGGTAAACTAGAAATAGTTATCTATTTTCATTCCATCACACTTATGTTTATCTTCAAGTCAAAATAATAGTTTGATAATTATTTAGATTACACTGTGTAAAAAGTTTGCATGCTAGTTGGCATTGTTTAGAAAACCATAGTTTATGTTACCACCAAGCTATTTAAGTTGTCGCAGATCGCTTGTAGGACTGAGATATTCATATTGGTTGATCACTGATTGGTAGCCAATCCAGTATTGGTATATTCTTTTAGTGACGGTCGAATTCTATCGATAAGTTTGCTTTGTCGCTGACTTAACATCTCATGCACTTTTTTTAAAGTCAGGTGGTTGCAGATAGTCTATATAAAATCCTGAACCTTGGTTTTGTGCTAGTTAACACTCACACTAAGGCATACTTAGAATATTGAGGCGACTTGTAGTCTCTGTGGGGTTTTCATGTCCAATGAATAAAAATGTTTACTCCGCGTACAAGCTCTCGTAAGATACCTCTACCTTTTACAGTTTTGTTTTTCGAAATCTGTACTGTATTGAACATAAAACTTTCCACCCTTTTTTCCTTTTGTAGTTTCACGCCCACGTTCTGTTCCAGGTATCAATAATTCTGGAGTAAACACGTCTATTTCTTCAGATACTTCAGTAAATGCGCATGGAAGCTATCAGTCCATCAACCAAAGTAATATTCGCCCGCTTTGGCGTCCGATAACTTCTGTTGGCGGTACGGATTCATTTGCTACTAGATCTTCATTAAGTCATCAACAAACTTCATCATCTGTCAGTAATCGACCTAATAATCTCCGACGAACTGGTGCAGTTCGCTTAAGGAAAATCTCTTCAGATGTTCATTCTGGACCAAGGGTGTTGAAAACATTTCAAATGACTCAGCAACAGTCTAAAATATCCATTACTCAGCCGACTCAACAAAATGTTTCACATTCATCTAATCACTTGTCTCATAATGTCGATAAATCTTGTAAAACAAGTGTTATTATACCTATCACTTCGTCAATATCTTCAAGGTTTTCACCTTGTTATGATAATAATATTGATAGTATTCATAATGAACAAGATATTGGTATACGAATACGAAATATTCATCATTTTTTAAATGTATGTGACAATTTTAATTGTAGTGCATTTAAAAGAAAACGTAAATATTCTAAACGTTTAACTACGAATACTACTACCATTAATACTTCCACTGGTTCATTAGAAACAGATTCAAATCGATTTCATTATACTCAATTAGTCCCTAATGAGATGAAATTAATTGAACATGTTCGTAGACAAGTAAGCGTGTATAGTTTAACAGTTTAATTAACAATTGGATCTAGTATTCATACATAGACTTTCGTTCTCATAGTAGAAATAACTGTTTTCATTTAAGTATTTATTTACATCCGATACATATCTTTTATCAATAAAAGCTCATTGGTTTATTGTCGTCTTACTTTTTTCCCTTATTACCGTACTTCTAACCTTAGTATTGAACGCTTGATTTATTTTTATGCAAGCAATGATTTGAAAACACCTTAATGTATTTAACTAATTTTTATTCAAGTTATGCAAATTTAAAACATGACTCTACTTCCCATAGTAGTGTCACTATGTATTACATTATAACATAACGCAATGTTGAATATATATCAACCTGTACTTGACCACTGGGTTGCATTCAGTTTATTATTTTTTATTGGGCGAGACTACAATTTATGGACGAACCAATCAGATTTACGATAACAGGTCTTGCATTTTGGCGCAAAATTCATACACCCATTTAGCTAAATGGAATCTTGGTATTATAGCTGATGTCAGTTCGTGACGAAAACCCTAAATCTAATTCCTGACCCCAACCATCAACTATAAATCATAATCCTTATTCTTCAAACTGCTTTATAACCCTCACTTAGCCCTATTAAGTAGGTAGACACTCTCAAGGTCACTTTAGCGTCTCTCAAAGGTCGTCCATAAATTATAGTCTCACCTTTTTATTGTTTTAAAATTACTTGATATTACCGAACAGAATTGATAATCTTATTATTCACTAATATAATTTTTTTATAAATGTATTTTGTCTAAGTGATATTTTAAATATCACATTGGTTCAATGTGAAATTTAGCTTTTAAATAGTTTGTATTTATTATATCCTACGTGTCTTCTCTTACGGTCTAGTTTTGTCAATAAACATTTCAGGCAAAATGGAATTTATAATGTGGATTAATAGTACTCTTATGAAACAGTGGTGTAATTCTTCTGATGACTGGATTAAAATTCATTTAATATTCTCAACATAAACCTTTCCCATCAATAATCTGATGGTACTTAAATTTGTATGTGATTGCCAATAATATCGAATATTGTTGGAATTCACACAATCATCACTTAGTACTTTCGGTCTTGTGTGCGAACATTTAACCTCTAAACCACTGACTTGGAATCCAGTGGTATACATGTCTATACTACAAATAATAATCATATGTTCACGAGTAATTGGCTTCAAGATTCAGTTCCTGGACTTCTCTGGAAGGCCATAACTAGTGGAGTTCAACCACGTGAAGTGTAAGACTTACGCACCACAGACTGTGGAACATGGTCATGCAATATCGTGATTTTATCGGAGGTAAACATGTATATCATGGGATCCTGGGTCAGTGGTCTGGAGGGTAACTGTTTGCGCCCATAACGTCGTCGTGTTTCAATTCACTTTGTAAGATGGTGAATACGAAGGGTCCACCTAGGGGAATCGGAAAACCCTGATTCGAAATCAATGGTGCACATGGGCTCCAGGATCCTGAAGGAACAAACTGCTTATAAGCCAATTGTTGGTAACCGGCTACCATGGGGCTACATCTTTTGACGTTTCTCTACTGCTATGTAGATCAGACTTTTTGGTTGGAGGCTCCGAGTGTGGCTTCCCAAGAAAATCCTTCGCTTCTGTTTAGGCACCCATGCAGTATCGCAGCCCACTCAAATCAAATGACAATTACTACTAGAAACATTATTCTTGCTTCAATTGAAGTTCAGACAAATCATATTCATATTCATTTGATAACATCCATTTTTATTTGTTTTATATACTACGTCACTTATCTACCCTCTCCTTTTCTCACTTTATGTATACTTATTTTTCAACTTATACTGCAACTGCCTATGGTGAAAACACTATCATATCTAAAGGATCTCGAGTCACTGTCTGATCGAATTTCGGATGCTACCACCGAATACGGATACTGAAACCACGTATACCATTCAAACTGTCTTACTTCAACGTTCGCACACTAATCCAGGTCTGACAACAGATAGGGTTGGCTGTGTCTTTAGGCGGTCTCAACATCTATGTCTTTTGTCTATCCGAGACCTATATTTAAGACTCTAGTGAAGTATTGCAAATTCACTCTCCATCTGTCGCTTCGAAAAGTTTGTTTCACGTCGTTTATCCGGTTAGTCTGTAACATCTTCGTCTGGTTTTGATGGCGTTGGTGTCTCACTAAGCGCTATTGCTGTGGCATCACTGATCGACTGGATTCCCATTAACAGTCGGTTATATGTTATTAGATCAGAAAGTCCCATCAAAGTGCGAAGAAATCGGCGTGAGAAACGATATCTTTTCATCTTCTCTGTCTATGCTCCGACAGATTGCAGTGCGGATGCGATCAATTATGAGTTTTACCACCAGTTAACAGTTTTTCCACAGAAGGTGCTTTCAACAAATATTATTGTACTAGCCGAAATCTTGAATGTGCAGGTCGGGCATCAAGGCATAGTAGAGAGTCGTTTAGGTGGCCGATGGGGACTTCTTGGTCACAGGTCAGTTAGTGGGGACCGTGCACTGCAACTGTGCACAAACCTCAACCTGTTTCTGGCTCACACTGACTACCGGCACAGTAATCGCCGACATGCCACCTGGCGTACTCCTTCATCTCAAACCTGGATGCAGATTGATCAGCCACCGTTGTCATGGTTGTGTACAGAGCTTCTGCTCGTTTTGGAGTACCTATCTGAACTTTGATCATGCTCTTGTTTGCGTTAATCCAATTTGTGGATTCGTAGATTTGAAATGCTGAGGAAACCTTTACTTGAAAGGAACACTAATTCAGTGTTTCTTGGTTCTCAGGGAACTAAAATCGACTCGTGGTTTTAACTATAAAAAAACATCTATTGACCTTACTGATTATTTTTGACAACTTTTTTTTATCGTAATTTATTAAGTTTAAAAGTTATTATATCTCTTACTGCTTTTTATGGACTTTAATCAAATAACTGGATTTTCTAGCTACATATTAACATTGATGCACATCGGTCTTAAAACAACATTTTATATTCAGTGAGGGAAATCCTTATTAAAAATTTGTTCTGAAGACTATTTTTCTGTTGTCTTCAGCAAACAGAAAAATATCACCTGGATAGATTGTAAGCAGAGATGGACGGTGTCTTGCGGTGGAATCTAGGATGCGCGTTTCGTCCACTGTAGACTCGTCATCAGGATGTAGTACATCCCAAGGTTGATGTTCACTCCGAGACGTGAACGCCGTATCGTTCACTTCGAACGCCATCGCGTTATCCACCTAGTCGCCGATTGTACATCGAATCTGGAATGCAGGTAAATCCAGTTGACAAGTCTCATATGAGATAAAACGCGCGTTCCGGATTACACTACTAGTCACCATCCATCTCTGCTTCTAATACTTGTGACTCAATGGCAGTATCGAGGCATTCTGCCCAGGGTGCACACATACCAATATGAGACTGATGAATTGCAATCCTAAACATCAATCGGAAGTCTTAAGCAACCAATACGTAAATGAATTACTATTATACCTTTACTAAGTGTAAGAAAGTTATCTTTTGGGGGTATATCTATAAAAAATTTGTACACAAGTAGTGAAAGTTGATGGTCTTCACAGATATTGCTATCTTACTCCGTCAAACTTTCCTATCACATTGACTGCTAATTATTCATTTATTAATTTATGCAATGATAATCTAAATTTGCTACTCGAAGTATTTTCTGCTTCATTTTACATAAAATACTGAGTGGTGGTCAGATAAAAAGTGACATTTTAAAAAAGTATTAACATCTTTTTTGTATTATCATCCAGATCGATACTGATGAGACCGGTGCATGCCGTTCCCAGTTGACGATGATGTTGTTTACATGTGATATTGTTTCACAAGCAGCTGAAATACTAATGGGATTCGGTAAATTAGAGGCTAAAGGTAAACGTATGTATAACAAAAGTATTTACATATAACATTTTGGTATTAATCAAAATCTATTGCTTTTTCGTCTATATTATTCTTCAGTGTGCTGTGTAGAAAACCCATTCATGAATTTTGATTGCATTTTACAAAAACTGAACATGTACCTAAAATATTTACTAACGGTTTTGTGTTTACCGATTTCAAAAACTTTCTCGTCTATTCTTGTCAACTACTTGTATGAACCTGATTGATTGATAAATCAAGTGGTTGGTATCCCAAGATGTTGAATTAGATCCTGGAGAACCACAGGATCGTTTCAAACACAAACTTTAGGTTGTGTAAATAATACTTCTTACCAAGCCAATCTTTTCACATATCTTTTGTTTGACTTTAATTAAAATTGTCACGCACTGATGTCGAATGCTTCGTTATTGAACTTTTTTTTTCAGTGTGAATGCATATTGTTAGCTGTAAGGTAATGTTCATTATATACGTCGGTATCTATGGTGAACTTATTGATTCTGTTCATTGGAAAACTTTCATTCAATAAATTAAGAAAATACGGGATTTTAAAACGATTGAAGGTATTATCAAGACAGGAAATTTAGAAGATATACTGCGCTATTGCAACTGATCTCATCTAAGGTCTTCAGTCATTAATAACAACTATAACATGAACCTGAAACATATAGTCGTAACCTACCAACATGACCTAGTTCAATAGTCCATGATTATGTGGAGTCATGTCATATTTTATTTTATCCTCCGTAAACCCTGATTCTATTATCTACACTAGGGACCTGATCACGCCGAAATATATCTATGCAGTGTGCATGTGTTACACATACCCAGCCACCTTGGTCAATAACCGCTTGGAGCCTTGTTAACCTACGATTCATCTGGTGTCTTACTAACCGCTCCTGACTTGTTTTCACTGTAGTCTAGTAAATACCAGATGCCTGCAACAAGTTTTATATATACATATGTATCATACTCATTCTCATTTCCATTTAGGTTTACTCAATCACTTTATGAATTGTTCGCGTACAAATGAAGTTGAATTAAAAAGTTCTACCCGTCTGGGTAAATTGAAACGAATGCTTTTAAGTGGACGAGATAATAAACCAGTAATTCGAATGTGTTCAAATATCACGGTTAGTTAGCGGTCTTTATTTCTATGACATGCACTGAGATCTGTAATTCTATAGTTTTTTAAAAACAAAATTCTTGTTAAAATCACTCAGTATTGTTGTTAATTATCATTTTCCAAAAATCTCCAAAAAGTGTAACAAATATGAAACCATTCAATCAGTGTAGTAGTATATAAATATTTCATCTGTACTAGATAAACAGTAGTGCTATATATTTATTTTTTAGGAATTATTTTAGCGTAATGTGTAAATCTTTATCGAAGAACCTTCTGGATTGCTCACACTATCTACCCAGTTGTCCTGTTCAACTAAATAACGGTAACAGTTACATGCAATAGCAGGTTTCGGTTGACCCAATTCACACCTTGGTGGTGGTAATCCTGTGGAATTAGATGACAAGATGTTGATTATTTTCATCCTTTCCCTAGACATATTGTTGTGTCATGAAGTTGGGTTCGGTGTGGCTTTATGTTGATTGCTATTTACAGAACGATTAAGCTAGTTCTTTGGTGAACTCGATAGGATGTTATTTGCCAATCAGTAGCATTTCAACTTTAATGATCTACATGCCAGCATGAGATAGAGATGACAGGACTCTCAGAAGAGCTTTATATTATGAACAGAAGAAAAAGGTTGTAAAGGTACAACTCTGTTTATATCGGAAAATGAAACAAAACTGGAGCACTATGAAGTAAACGCAAAGCATTACCAACCAACCAGATTATTTCAGTGGTTAATATGGAGATTCAACTTTTAAAATGTCATTGACGTTATATTTTAAAGGAAGAACCAACTTCTAATAATACTAAGTTTTAGACAATCCGAGTTCTTCTTAACATATATGCTTTTGGTTTAATTAGTCAACATAAATTCATAGTCTTGATTATGTAGCTTACGTGATTTGAAACCGAATGGTGAACGTTTAGTTCCGACATATTTTGGTTGGTAAATCATATTGCGTTATTATAAGTGTTAAGAAGGCAATGGGCTGAAGAAATCTATAACTATTGTGAGAAGTTATAAAGCATATACATAGTACATATATATATATAATCTTCAATCGTCCATGTTCATCTTTTGTTGTGTTCTATAATCTGAACAACCTTCTAATCTGTTCTCTAAGTGTTCTGCCATCGCCGTGCTTGTACTGTAATGGAACTCTGCACTCCATCGGACAATTTCTAGGCCTTGTTTCTCCACATACTACTTACAAACAATCTTGTGAGTAGCGTCTACTACACTTGTTTTAAAACGTAAAGAAAAACATGATCCAACATGAGAATAATCAACAGTAGTTTTGCATGTCAGATGTTGTATCTGGAAGGTAATTCAGTGATTGTTTTTTTATTTACTTTCCAAATTTATTCACTCCCACTGCATCTTAAATTCGAGTACTTACATTTTGTTGGTTTGACACAAAATTATTGGTTTTGATATTTCACTTACTCAACTTAGAAATATTTATTGGTTATTTGTATTTTTTTGTATGTTGAGTAGACACCAGTACCATCTATGTCAGTACAAGATGTAACGCTATGGCGTCGTATAATTCTTGCTGGTCATCAACTCTTTCGCTCTACAGCTCCTATTTCTGCCTATGATTTCAATAAGTATTTAACACCTCACTCTCCTCGTTTGAGAAACACTTCTGAAGAGATTGATCACAGCACAGTTTCAAGATCAGTTCAACCAATCCCTAGTAATCGTCATACACTTACATCATCTACTGATTATCTATCATCTCACAATACTGTTTCGCCGGGAAGACTTGTCAAACAATCACTGTCTGATAGTATGTCCACTAATGTTCCACCTTTATCGTCTTCTTCAATGTCAACAACACCAATAAATGCGATTGTTTCGTTGCCTGCATTATCCATGTCAGCTACAAATAATGCTCCACGTGGTACATCTTCCTCTTCATCTAATCCAGTTTTACTTATACAAGCATTAGCGAGTATTCTAGCTGGATCTGAAAGTCCTACTTCTCGTGGTGGTTTAATATTTCCATCTCTCTCAAGTGGTGTTTCATTGGATGCACAACATTTAAATGGAAATAACATATCATTCCTGCCACCTAGTACAGCATTATCATTGAGAGAATTGTTTGGTTCACGTATATCAAACAATGGTTCTTCATTACCTACTACTGGGTCTATAATGAGTAAAACAGCTACATCTCTTAATGGGGCTGTCGGATCTAGTGGAGCGGCTGTCACTTGTGTTCTACGTTTGCCAACTCCAACAAGATCTACATGTTCTTATTTCTTAGTAGTGGCTAGTACAGGACCCAGATCTCTTGTTTCTGGTACAGATACAGGAATAATATCTAATACACCTACATCAGATGGTTTAAAGGGATCAAGATCACCATTTGGTCAACGTGGATTAATATCAATCTACAATTTAGATAAGTTACTAATACAGATCGCAGAAAAACAAGATCGAGGTTTAAAAGAAATTGCTAAATTGAAATTTATCACTGCATTACTTCAATCAAGGCATAGTGAATTGAAAATTGAGTCTGATAATGAGAATAAAGGTGAGGCCTTTTTCTAATTTCTCTTTATATCCCCATTTTCTTTTATTCATGTATTGTTTTATACATTTTCCAGACAATATGTTCTCTTTATGATGTCTCAGATAACATTCTGATGTAATAGTCAGGGTTGTACATCGTGACGGCGAAATAGAATTGTATTAACTAGAACACATGTTCTTGAGGTCCCATCATATCACGTTGGTCGACTTTAGAGCAATAAGGACAAAAACAACAAGTTCATCATTTGGTATATCAACAGTACGGGGTTGTAACGACGCTAAGATTTTTCCTCCATACAATCAACATCTACTGCGATATCACCTCCCCACAACAGGAGTGAGTTCTGAAAGATCGACTCTTGAAATAGTACACCTCAATCTTCTCCACAGGTTCCTATCATCTTCAGTAAGGTCTTAAAATAAAGAATTGAGGTATTAAGATCTATTCACTCAAAGGTCGAGTGACAAGTCTCAAGCAGTTGTTCTCTGGGGTACTACGATCGCATTTTACGGTTGTTAAGACCACCTGTAATCCAGCTTTCTATAAGGGTCCATCCTTTCACAAGACGGGCAACCGGTAAGTGATAATCCCCTCATACGTCTAACAGCAGTTTGAGAATTGATAATTATAAGGGAATAATGTTTCCTTAACTTTTTGGTTCATAAAGGTTTTGGTGTCGATAAAGAGAATATCTTCATTTATCAACAAAATCATATTTTATCTTTAAATCGTGAAGCGTAATAGATGTTTTGTTGTTATATAGAATCTCGAGGTAACTGGTGTTTATTTTTTTACGTTTGATATGAAAACGAAAGACGATATCGTTTTAGTTTTGCAACTAAAGACGATTTTTCACAATCTTATACTTAAACTAAATGAATCATATTGAATCACAGTGTTTACTGGCTTTCTTACAAATATTAGAAAAGAATTTGTAAGGACAGGAATTTCCAGTATTCGATCCACATACAAGAATTAATCTATTTTTGAAGAACAGATAATCAGATTGATTATTACATCAGTTATCCTTGGCACAGAATTAGTAAATAGACTTCCTTCATGTATTTTTTCCAATTTATTAAAAGTTTCTACTTTTTGTCGTGAATAAGCATTATTCTGAGCTGTTTTCGTTTGTGTAATATTGAACATTGAATGGAAGAATGAATGAAGTAGTCAGTTAGTGTTCGGTTCAGGAGTATAAAATACGAAAAGATTTCTTAATTGACCAACCCTTAATGTTTTTATAACATTAAAGGTAACATTTTTAGATTACTCAATAAAAAGATAAAACGCATTTGTTTATGTAACAAGTTCTTTAGTTATACCATTATGAATATACATATTATTGATTTACTTTGCAATATTGGTATTGCATTACTTGTCCTATAAATGTCTTTTTTTACAAGTTTAACTGATTATAATGAGTATCTTCCGTTGGAAATCTGCTGAAACTTCTAGACCACTTATTTTCAGATTTTTCTGATTTAAAACCTGATTGATCAATTATTTAAGTTAATCGCATGTACTCGTGATTTAATACGAAGATAATCCACCAGATAACTAAGCTGACTTCTATAAAGTTTAATCGAAGCCACTATAGTGGTTGCTAAGTTTACCCCACCTTGTCTGTTGTTTATTGAAACTTGAGGTAATTACTATGGAACTCATACATTTAATATATTGTTCTGGGAAAAAAGAAACTCCTCGAAAAAGTTCACAAACAAAGATTGATCGATAGCACATCACTGTTTTTAAAATCTTTTATACGTCTTTTTTGTTTGTTCACAGGTTAAATGCTTTATGAATGCGAACGTCAATTGATATCATCTGATAAGGTTCACCAAAAAGAATCCTGTAATATATATCTATCGACTAACTTCTTAGTTTTTGACCGTTCGCTTGTTATGACAGATACGATTAAACATTGAGTTATTGTCAATATAATCTTAACTTCCATTTGTTCAGTACATATACTATTCTACTGGTCCATTCCCGTGTTCAGTAAGTTAGAATGCAGCAGACAAGCTTCTATTTATCTGCATATCAGTCACTTAGTCGTTTTAATTCAAATAGTCGGTACTTTCTAGACAAAAATCATCGGACTACATCGCATCCCAAATAAAAAACCATACGTAGCACACAATGAAGACATATGGAACGAAAAATCAAGTGAACGTGACCTTATTAATTAACAATAATTTAGGCGTAATAAAACAATAATTAATTGTTCCAATGTTAGCTCACAATTCAGGCAATATAGAAAAACAACAATCCAATTGCCTACTAATTATTCGAAAAAAGGTATAACTGTTAATAGTCATTTGAATAACTTCACAATTTCAACTTTTCCAATACTCGCTCCGTTACAATAAAATGAATATAAGACAGGAATTAGTTACAATAGTCTGTCTATATTGCTCCACGAATTAAACCTTGACTGTAATATTAGTGTTAAATACAATGATTATTTTTACTTTTTATAATATATTTAGTTAAATCCAATACAGATATTATTACAACAGAATTAACAACATCATTAAATTCAATGTCAAAAGAAATGAATCAACATTTGAAACAACTTTCTGTCAGTTTAAACAATTTGCCTAAAATCAGCACTGCAACAGCTGGTATCCTCATTTCAAGTATGACAGTCAATCCATCATGTTCATCAACATTTGTTATTTGTGGTTTATGGGTGAGTAAATTGTCATTTTTTTAAAAATACAATATTTAGTTCTTTTTTGTTTCTGTTTACCATAAATAAATCTTGATCAATAGGGTTACTATCTTTTCTGTAAAAATATTTTGATTCTGAAGCATAGTTACTATTCAATCATCCAAAGGTATTTTTTAGTACAAATATTGTTAGCTAGACTAAGGTAACTAAATCATTGTGTGTATATCAGTCAGTCAGTCAGTCAGTAACAACGTAGAACTTCGTACGTACGTACATCAGTTCGAGTTGCCACACCACATTAGCACAGAGATGCACTTGTCGATTCAAATCCCGTAGTGGTAGAGGTAATAAGAGTATAAGCAGTAATCGGGAAGATTAGGGTTTGGAGATGTTATTTAAAGAGTATAATCCAGTGAAAGAAATTTGGAAAGAGGAAAAAAGGGACATGAAGAATTCAGAAGATTAGAGTTTGGGAGAACACAGAGAGTGGATGCACCTGCGCCATTGCAAACGATTTTGAGCCATGTCATTCAGGGTCTCTAACCATCGGTTGCTGTCATCTCGCGGTCCCCAACCAGGTAGTCTACACCTACCAACATGACTCAGTTCACTTGTCAGTGACTTCATGGACTTGTGCCATGTTTTGGTTTGGCCGCCCCTAGCTTTCTTCCAACCTACTCCTATACCACTGAACATAGCACGTCGAGGCAGTCGGTCGTTGGGCATACGTAACACGTGTCCCAGCCATCTCAACTGATGAAGTTTCACTACGTCATCAATTGATTTGCCATCTTTACCTAGTGCCCGTTTCCTAACAACTGTGTTACTTACTCGATGGTCCCATGATATACGAGCAATGTTTCGAAGACACCTATGATCAAATACTAGTAACCTACGGATATCCTCTACTCTTACCGGCCATGTTTCACTGCCATAAAGTAGGACGGAACGAACTGCTGCGCAGTAAACACGTCCTTTGGTTGATAGACGGATATCTCGCCTACGCCATAAATGACGCAAGTTGGCAAAAGCTAGTCGAGCCTTCTGTATCCGTGCTGAGATTTCGTCACACACCAAACCACAAGGGCTGATGAGACTTCCAAGATAAGTGAAGCGGTCGACACACTCAACTACTTCACTCCCTATCACTAGTTCGGGTGTCGATGTAACCCAATCCTGAAGCAACATTTTGCATTTCGAGGGAGAGAATCGCATCCCGAACATGCTTGCATTGTTGCTTATAGTGGTCAGAAGACTCTGCATTTTGTCAGCGTCTTCACCAAATAAAACTATGTCATCTGCATATTCTAAGTCAACAAGTGAACCTCCCGGTAGAAGTTCAACCCCTGGAAATTTAGATGAGGAGAGTGTTATCTCTAAAAGTACGTCAATGACAAAGTTGAACAAGAATGGAGAGAGTGGACAGCCCTGACGAACACCACTTGAGGTAATCAATTCTGATGACAGTTCGCCATAAGCTCTCACTCTACCAGTTGTGTTCGAGTAGAGAGCCTTTATAAGGTTAATGTACTTCTTTGGTACTCCTTTCAGTGACAAACACTGCCATAGAACCTCACGATCAACGGAGTCGAATGCCGCCTTAAGGTCGAGAAATACTACCATTGTGGGGCGTCTGAATGTGTGTCTGTGTTCTAGAACCTGACGTAGTGTGTGTATATTCTGTAGACCGATACAAGACATTCGGTCAATATGTTCTTTGTCTAAGTCAAAATTGTTAATGATCAAGAAAATCTTAATAATGTTAATTCTGCCGATTTTGTAGAGCTCATATATATTTTTTCAAAAGAAGACCTTCTTAATTTAATTTACGTATGTTTAAAATATTTTACTGAATTTGATTATATCTCATTTTGTGGATTAATTTCTCAAATATAATTACAGGAATGTGTTGTTATGAGTTTATCGTCTGCTGGTCAAATATGCGGACGTATCTCAGTGATCCCAGTTGTCGGGACAAGACGAGAACAAATTATCAAGGCTATATGGTTACCGAATTCGATTAACCTGTTGGCTATTCTCACTGATCAGTCTGTTCAAGTAATAAATCAGTTATATGTTTGTTGTAATGACTTAATTTCACTATGATCTGTCAGTGATTACAAAATAGTTGATAGTTCTATATATATTCTTTACTACCTTAAAGTAGTTTGTACACTCTAATTTATTTAATGTATCACTACTGGATTACAGTTTTATGAATGAATCGATCTTCAAAGATACACCTTTATAATTGACCTATTGTGCTCCTAATGAACACGAGACGATCATGATCATAAATTTTGCAGTCTTCATAGTGTTAAACTGATCATCTAACAATAAACAAATATAAATTTTTGGTTTATCAATTGTGGTTTTTAATAAATGGGAAATCATTGGTTTGATACACTTCACTGATATGAATCCTGCAATATATCTTTAGTCCGTTTGCACCATTTTGTTGATATTCTAGCTCTGATCAACTATAAACTTCGACTGCTAAAATCAACCGTTAGTGAAGGGCCGAAATAAGCCAAATGTCTTTATTTCAGGATACACTTTCCACACACGCGACTGCGCAATAACTGGAGTAAAATAGGAATACTACATGTAGGCAAACGTCTACTATACAACTCAGTTTTATGACTCAACTCATGCTATAATGTATAGCAGATTCTTGGCCACATACCAACATAAAAAAATGAATTATAATATAGACATAAATTCGCCATAAGCCTAAGATAGGTCCGTAATTAATTAACAATAATTTTAGATATTTGGAACAAACATTAACAGTTTATGCGTGAAATATCAGTTTATAACTGGTAACTATACAATAAAAAATTGAGTAATTGTTAGCAGTTAGACAATCCTAAGAAAAACAGGAAAGTAGATTACTAATAATGATTAGACCTGACAAGATTCGGAGAGAAATTCCAAAGGAAATAAATAAGATTGTTTTTTAAACGTCTAAATTAAACATTATATATATATATATATATAATCCAATTTGCAGTAACTTTCTGCAAGAGATATTTTTTCTATTCTGCACTTCCTTCTTTTTATTTCCTCTCTTACCGCCTATCCAGATCTTTGATATATTCGTTAATCCAAGTAAACCGAAATATCATTTCAAACCTGTTGATGGAAGTTTTTGTGATGCAACATTTATACGCCTACCATTACAATCTGTGCAACAGCGGGGTAAAGAAGAAATACTCACTGATCATTGTGATACTTCGAAGTCTGAAAATGTTGATGATTACGATAACGTCCGTGGTTCGCATGAATGGGACATTCACCTTTTAGTTATGGCTAATATGGGTTCTATTTTACATCAGGTTTGCTTTTTTTTCTCTACTTCATCTTGTTATATTCATGAGTTTTGTAAATTTTTTCGGATCAATTTTTCGTTCATATAACTGTCATTTCTTTTGTATGTTATCTCATTTTAGTTATTTGTTTGAGTAGGACTAATTATAGTTTCTTCACACTACACTACTGATTATTTGTGACATGTGTAAAATGTGAATCCCAACTTCTTATCCACATTAATTATTACTTAAAATCGTCCGGAGGTTTTATATTAAAGACTTTGTTTTGAAGCAAGAAAAAAATATTGAGAAAATATTGCTAATACAATGTTAAATATTCTAGCTTGAACAGTAACAAATATACTATTCTCTACACAGAGCGATACAAAACTTAGCAATGACGATGTAAATAACATACCTATTTTGAAGAATATAAACTTTGTAAAGTGCATTTTAAGTAATTTAAACAAACAGTTATTGTTTTTCACATCAAATCATCCTCAATTATTTTTTGTATAACAAATGACTGACTTGTAGGGATCCATTTTTCGATGTAGTTCTTCAAGTACAGACAACTTCTGTTGTATCGTAGTCTAGAAGCGGTTGTTTGTGTATATCGGCTTAATGAATTGCAAAATAACCAAATAAATAAAATGCTCATCTTTTGTCAATATCTTTGAGATCCGTGTATTTCACCAAGTCTTGGACTGTTATACAGTTAGCTTCATGATCTGATTTCAACTTTATTTAATATTGTAATATCTAAATAATACAGTTGCATATTGAATTGTTAAGGTTGATCTGTACGTTTTGTAACTTCATGTTCTTCTATCTGGATATCCTATAAATGTAAAAATGATTCCGGACAGATTCTGACAGAACCAGTCATTTACTGATAGAGTAGTATAAAGAGCAATGATTTATCACTTACTTGTGTACCACCTTTTTTCGATTGAACCTTAGCTTTTCTTTTTACTTCTCCATACTGATTGGTTGAACTGTATTTTAAACGAAATAAGTGAGTAATTATTTCATCGGAGCTTGCATATGGTACGAACTTCTCTCAAGAAAATATAAAAGTCGTTTAAAAGTTTACAAGATACCGCAACCTTTTTAACTGAATTCTATCTTAACTAAACCGAAGTCAGGCAGCTTTCGACCCATGGGAATTAGTGGACGAAAGTCAAGCACTTTAATCAGTGAACAATGGATCCACCCAAAGTTTTCTAGATATATGGGGATCTAATGATAAAAAAACTGCCAATAATTATTCCTATCTTCATAAACAATGACAAACAAATATTTTTTAAATTTGATTAAACTATTTTTTCCTATGTAATTATATTATACTGGATATCTTTGTTTACTCATGAGTTATCAAACTGAGTGTTAGTGGCTCCATGGATAGTTAAAACATTTAGCTCTCAGTCCTTAAGTTGCATATTGGAACCAAGCTTTATCTTCTTCGGTTTAGGTAACTGGTTAGTATCTATCATTAATCAACGTTCACAATTAAAATGTAGTTTGACTTCAAGTACACAAATCTGTACCTGACAAATCATCAGTATGACACACAATTTATTGATTATCTTCTATTTATTTTTATCTTTCATTATTCAGAGACTGGGCCCTCTTTGCCTATCATTCTTAGGTCCATTCTTTCTAGCTGAATCTTTGGAATGGGATATCAACAGTTTAAAAATGAACCCCAATACAACCACATCGTCGGATGATCTAGGAACAATTCCAGAATTAACATTAGACCGTTTAACTGGCGTACTTGGCGGTGGTGGAGTTAGTGTTCAGTATATCAATTCAATGGGTCTTTTATTACATTCTTATCAGTCTGGTCATTCCATTGCTAGTGGAATTAAATTATTTAACACTACCGATAACTCCACAGCACAAACATTACAACAAAATAGAAAGGAATTATGTATTACTCATTCATTTCTACTGGCAGTTGGCCCAAGACGCGGAGATGGGAACGTACCAACCACGGGTGTTGGCTACGTCACACCATCTGCCAAATTTACCAAGTTAGTCCATCTACTGTTTCTTTCTTCTTGTTGTCGAAGAATATATTTATTATTATGATTTGTTTGTATGTTGCAATTTCCGTTTAATAGTATTTGTTATAGATCTGATACTAATTTCCTCTTTACCAATATTTATTTGCTGGTGTAAAAGTAGAATGGAAGAAGGCGTGGCGCAGTCAAATAGAAATGTGGCGCCAGTTCATGAAGTCACTGATTTTTGGTCTGAAACATGTTGGTAGATACAGAGTACCTGGCAAGACCTACGTGATAACCACTGTCAGTGGTCGGGTAATATAGCTTGGAATCAATTATAGTGGTGAAAATGCGTTTGTTTGTTATCGTTCTCTGGATCATGAGTCCCAATATTCTCATATACGTTTGCATTCCCTCTTTTCCCACTATATTCTCAACGTTGATTTATTTTTATTACCATCGTTATTACATTATTTCGATCTCGTTTGCTATTATTCTTGTTAATTTCATTTCATGGTATGACTTTAATAGTGCAACTCGTGTTGACGCACGTTTACATCAGGCTCTCGGTTGATTATGATTGACTGAAAATTTAGACATTGATCTACGTTTTCGAGTCATACTAATTTATTTGTTGCTTTTTTAATTTCTGTTGTTGCAGAAATTCACCTGTGATTCATCCGGAAACTTCTTATATGGATTCAGATAATCTTCTGATCTCGTTACTTTTAGCAGCTCATTCCGCTATTGATCCGTCATTACAACAGTCAACTTCATCATCATCATTATCATGTACTCATCCAAATCAAAAGTCAATAATTCCCAGTATCGGTCCATTATATCGTTGGACAGAAATAGATGATCATCCAGGTCTGGTGAGCGCACTATCTAAAATACCGCTGGTACCTAATTCGTCTTTACAGCATCAATCATTTCTAATGGCATTTGAACCAGATCAAATATGGATACAACATTTATTTATTCATCCTACTTCACGGTTATTTAATATTCATGATTCAACAATAAAAAATTTGACGACGACAACGACAACAAGTAAATTATTGCCATCTTCCACGACAACTGCAACAACAACTACTACTAGTAGTTCTACTAATACTACTACTACTACTACTACTACTGCTACCACTACATCTACCACTCTGACTACTACTACTGCCACCAATAATTTAAGCGGGAACGTAAATGTCCATAACCTAGATAGGTCTGAAGCAGGGCAAATGTCATGTGAGTTTTCTACCTTAACATTATTTTTCATATTTATTTTAGTTGTTTACTATTTGGTTTTTGTAACTTAAGATATTATACAGCCCATGCGTGTGTAACTAATTTTGAAACGTAATTTTCGAGATTACTAGCGAGAAACGATGATCGAGGAAGTTTAATTATGTCAAATCTATGAGGCAGTTATTTTCCAATGACACTAGAATGTAGCTGGATTGATTGAATCATTAAGTAACAACCTACGAAACAGTAGGTTAAATGCTCATTGAAGGAAACGAAGATCATAGGTTCGTTCTCCGATAGGATCACGGATCTGCACTGGAAATAAGTCTTATACTAGAATGAAACAGCTTTCCAATATTTCTTAATTTTGATTGGCTATTTAATTGATCTTAATTCATATAATTAAAGTTCGATATTTCAAAAATCACTTTACTTAGAAAATATATGCTTTTATCGGTATATAGTATTTAATATGTTCATAGGTTATCTGTTGCGAAAATTTTAATCTATTAATTTCTTAAAATAATATTGATATTAACAATAACTCATTTCATCAATTTCTAGCTGCTTCAACTCAATTATTAGATTCATTCTCGTTCCATTGGTTTGGCTCTCCAGAATACGTTGGTCGTACATTAACATTTTTACTAACATCAGATGGGCATTTACTAGTCAATGCTTCTGCTCCAAGGTGTGTTTATCGATGTTTATATATTGTTATTTCTTCAACTTTTTTCCTACTAATAAACTTCATTGATTGAAAAGATTGGCTAAAATGTGAAACCTGATCAGTAGTTTATTTCATTTTATTATAAATCCCATATTTGTTTATTGTTTTAATCTCTTTGTTAATAGAAATAAACATAAATCTTGTTTTTTTTGTAGACATATCTCATAATTAGACTTGCCTAATTAACACGTTGACCCCCTGTCAATTTTTAAATTTCATCGGTACCTATTACATTAGAGCAATACCAATTTCTGATTGGTTCTTATCTTGTTTGCTGGTAGGAATTACGATCTTAGCCAGTTAATCTGTATCAAGCCATTATATGATTATGTCTTTCAGAAAATATGTATTTTGGCAATACTTCTCATATATGATGACGTTATATTTTTTTTTACCATTTCTTAATTATTGCTAATTTGTTCGGTACTGTCTACCGCTTATGGTATTATTGTGCTCTAAGTCGGATTCCTTGTTTTGTTTACTGTCTAGTTAGACATTTTCAGTATGTTATTCCATGTGTTTTGAGTCATATTTGAGTTGGATACAACAGAGAACTAATTTGTGTCTTATTTATATCTTCTGATTGACTACTGGGTTAAAAGGAGGGGCTTGAGGACCAATGAGCTTTAAAATCTTGGCTTTTCTTTGCTTTTCAGTTTGTTAGTACATGATATACATCATAGGTCTAATTGGCTAAATAGCACTTGATACTGATTAGAGTCTCTAGCCATAGCAAAATCAGCGTCCTACAAAACGTTACAGGTTTTAATTCACTTTACTATATTGCTTCGTTCACGTACATCGTGTACAAAAGGTGCATAGAAATGCAGTATATTTAGTCATCCATTCATTTAAATTTTTTTCTTTAGCTTATAAGATTGTTAATCACCCCATTTTCTCACCAAAATTTGTTATTGTAACGGTAAACAAACTGTCTTTTTTATACAGCAGTCTTTGACACACTCGAAAAGTATCTACTTTTCTTTTTTATTTGTATATAATTCAACTACTTGACTTCCTGAAAGTAGTTTAATTTTATGCGTTTAATCTGGTGACTTTTTATTCAATTTACATATTGTTTAACACCTAGATCTTCAATTTACACTTCGAAGAATATAAACAAGTGTAAACCTGAAGAAAAAACGCCTAATTATCATTTATCTGTACTACCTGGACAATATTGGTTACAAAATGATTTTTCTGAGAAACCTATATCAGTTGGTCGTGGATTCTTATCAAATGGTCCTAATTCGATCGACTCTTTACTCTGTAATTTGCCGAAAGGTGTTTTATGGGATTTGGCAACAACGTCATTTTATCAGTTATCTGGAAGTTTTAAATGTTCCAACCAGCAGCAGAATCCAGTTCCTAGAAAGAGATCATTAACAATAATTGATGAAAACACGGTTGAAACACTGCAGAAATATCTTATTGAGTCACCGGCATTTGGTCCTTTACCTGTCGACTTTTTCGAACATGTATCCGAAACCCACGAAGTATGTGTACTTGTTTGCAATTCTTGAAGCTTATTTGATTGGTTTTGTCGCGACTGAATGTAGTTGACTTTTATGGTTTACAAGATAACTAACTTATTTATCAATTATAGATTCGTGTAATAGACTTCAATCTACATTTTGGTGTGAAGTACTGACATACTCCGATTGCATAGACCGTTGTAGATAAGCAGAACTTGAAATTGGGACTTGAAGGTCGAAAGTTTAACTCGTCAGCCACCAAACTAGATTCATAATCATTTATTTTATCGTATAATGATAGATCTCGTTGCTAAAAATCCGTAACATTTATTTTTTTTATCATGAATGACATATGGAGCATGCTTTTATTAACGTTTTTCGTATGCATTATTGACGGTTATGACTCAAATTTTCGTTAGTAACGAAAATTACACCAGAAGTTTCACATTATGTCTTTCATACTATCAATGAGCTGCAACTTGCAGAAAACATTATTACATAAATTTTCGATAATCGCTTGCAAATCATTTCTTTCCCTTTTATTTTTCACTTATATTCTTGGTTGTTTTTTTTCTTCTGTCTTTAACTAATTGATGTATAGATTGATTTTGGTGGTCCAGATCTCTTACAATTTTATAATTATGAACAGTTAAGACGGCGTTTAACGACACCAGGGAATATAGTCACTGGTGCTGGTACTTGCACACGTTTTATTAACAATTACTGTCGAGATGAAAAACTACATGTTGGGTCGAGAAATTCTACTTTATCGAGCGCATCAATTGGATTAAATGCTAAATCAAAAGATTCATCTACATCTATTGGACAACAATCACAACAGCATATAGCTTATATTATTGACATTTATAATCGTCGTTCTAATGATACTCTAATTGCTGGTCTCCGTGTAACATTGCCTGGATTATCATCACCATCATCAATCGATGAGAATACAAGTCGATGGCCAAGATTTTTCAAGGTATACGCTAACTCTTTTCTATTTGTTTTCCAGTCATATTAAGCGTATCTTACAAAATCTTATTTTCAACATCACCAAAGGCATGACTGTAAATAAGACAAAATCCATGTTTTTTGTCAGTGTTTTTATTCAGATCAGTATTGCACCTCATCATTAGGTAGCCACAATAGCCATCGAAAATCTTGTTCATCAATTCTTATCAATTACTTTGCTCTGTCATTCAACAATATTACGGCCAATTCGTTACATAAGGAATCAATTAAATTTAAATGTTTATTGTTGGGATCTTCATTTTTTAGTGGATTTTCATTCTTAGTGTTGAATTCATCGATATGACACATCTAAGTTTGATCAAAGTCAGAAAACTGCCTCGGCTTCTCAAAATATTAATACTCGAATCTTTACAAATAATAAATGTTTTTACATCAGAGAATAAATAGCTTAGGTTAAAAAAACTTCATGTTCAAATTGATAAACTAAGCAGCGACAGTCGAAAAACGACCATTTCAACACGGTGAGACAGATGTGAATTATATCAAGCAATTAGCGAATAATTAGTTTAACATTAATCAATGATACAATAAAGTAAGCTGGTTTTTATGAGTAATGGATTCGTAATAAACGGATCTAACATTTATTTACACTTTACCTTTAATTTTTAGTTATTCAATAGAACTATATTTGTCCCACTACCCTACCCTGGAATGACTTCAGGGCGTACAATCGATTTACCGTTGTATCGTTGTGAAATGTTAAAGTCAAGTGAATTTTTACAACTTGTTGGTAAGTTTAACTTTGTTATACTTATTATTTTTCTAATTTGAACTACCTGGAATTAATGTTAATCATAATAATACAAGTATTAGTTAAAAGTTTATAAATAAACTGTAATAACCTCATTCTTCTACGTAGTTATCGTACTGCAATATTTCTTGGGATGTTAGGTGGTTTTGAGTACTCAACAAGTAATACTAGAGGACCTAATTTTCGTATCGGTTGATACTCATCAGTAAGGTGTATGTACATTTCTGAGAGAAGTGATTCTTTTTATAGGATTCTATCCAGCTTCACAGTCTGTGACATAACGATTTACTCAAAAATCTCAACATAATGCACGGAATATCGGGTCACTCGGTCTAATCGTCCTGTTGAATTCTGATAAATAACGTATTATCTGCACCTAAAGATTAGTGGAATATAGTAGTAATCACTTTTCAGAGTTCAATCAGTTGTATTTTTATTTCTATATCAATTTTAATTGAATAATGCAGTTTAAGGTTGTTAGCAGCTTATTTTTGTTCACACTTGATAAGAATTTGAACAACTTCTCATCAGTATTAATAAAGTTATCGGCTCCATAGAATATCAACTCACTTGAACTGATAATGGTGTATCGCTAATTAATGGAAGCTTAAATTGTACTGTTTGACACTGGTCCACTATTTCTGATGGTTAGTCTTAGTCGCGAGTTCTGAATTTTCTACATTCTATCTCCTGTTGGTTCATGAGAATTCAATGGAAGCGAGTCCTATATGAGAATGATACAGCTGTTCACTGCTTTCTTCATTCCAACAATACCTGAACTATGACCAGTTTATAGCAAAAGTAACGTATATACCAAAGCAATCTTTACAAAATTCTTTAAACTGTCTTTAATGTACACATGTATTAGCTGACAACAAACTCATGCATATGAATATGTTGTTTGTTAAATAGTTTTGTGTGTGGACGAGTCATTTATGAACTCTATCCTCTGAATGATTACATCCTGACCGTTGTTGCTACCTTGACGTGCTGGTTGAGCTTGCCTATCGGGAATTGATAACCGCTTTCATACCTCTAACACCACTCAAAACGACTGACTGAATGATTATGTCATAATAAAAATCATTTCTACCTTGTTTACTTCAAACATTTGTAAATATTATCTTCACTTGTGTTCCTATTTTGCTTAATTCTCTTAACTAAATGATTCAAAGGTCAAATGTTCTCACACAAAACCGAAGATTTTGGGTTTGGTCCCTGGGAAGTTCGTTTTTTCAGATTGCCATGTAGTGACTTGCTAAAAAGAAACAGTTACCTAGTCCTTCCCGGTTTTCAGTGTTTGTAAAACTATGATCAATGAATATGGGTTATGGAAATTCCCATAACTGTTATTGTATTTCACATAGCACACTGAATAACATTTATTTACGGTTTTTAAATCTCTTATACACCTCCTATGCCTATAATATTAAGAATTTAATGTGATATCAATAGTTATTAATGTTTGCAAAAGTGTCGGTCACTTTTGGGAGTAATTGCCTTCTTTGTAATAGTCAGCTATAATATCCGCTTTTGTATGAGTTTACTATCATAGTTTGCGCGTTCAGAATTGTGATCATCTCCAGAATAATATTTTCATCGCCATCCTTATTTTTTTTCGTAGTCTTTTAAGACATCATCTTCACCATAAATTTGTTCCGAAGTTTGTACTGAAACCAGAGAACTACATCTAGGTGACGTATGTATATTCCGTCATCATTGGGTTAAATTGATAATGTTTAACTTATCAAATGTTCGATTCTTTCTATGTAGGCTGTATATAAGCCACAAGTTAAACTTGACTTTACATCAAAAACCTCATCGCTAAATATCTGTTTCTAACTGTAACCAGAAACAACATGGAACTTCTGAAAACTTTTTGTTTTCTCATAAGTGTTCGAGAAAATAGATGTTTTACAGCGTTATTGACAAATTTATATGTTGTTTGGTCGACTTACAGATAGAGATACCTTCAGAAAACTTCTATATATTTATTGATTGTGTAAAACACTTGTAACGTTAGTGTTTCTGCCATATAGTGTACAATAACTGTTTACTGTTTTTCTAACAATACGTTAAGATTTACCGTTCTTATTCATGATATCTCTATACTAAACTCTTACACAGGATGCATACATATTTATAAACTTGATTTCATTTTGATAATTGTTTCATCATCAGTCTTTTTTATATGCATGACATATCCACTTTACAGTTGGCACTAGTGATGATCCTGAAGATATGACATGTATCGATTGTATCATGGTTTATTCTATTGGTCGTGATCTAGTTTCATCTTTATCATCGCACTCACGTCCAACTGTTAAATTGTTAGGTGAAAAGCAGTTGATACATACAAATCACCACTTGAACCCTGATAAATTGTCTAAAAAGAAATTACAAACCTTACCGTTAAATGAGAGTAATTGTAATAAGAAAGTTAAAGGTCCAATGGATTTGTTTGTTTTGAAGAACACTAATACTTCTACTACTAATTATAATGATGATGATAGTATTGGTGAATGCAATATTGATGATAATAATTATGATAATGATATGCATGAAAATTTAAGTGATGCTGTTATCGACTCGGAAGAATTTGATAAAATAAATAACGTTTTTGGTAAGTTAATTGTTTGCAATGATGTGTTGATTGCTACCTCAGTTTTTTCATACTCTCATTCTTTCGAATCTATTAGGTTATTATTTGTTATGCTTTGTGGATGCGATATTGTTTCGCCTAGTTTATCTTTGGAGGCATCAAGTTACCGTTAATTTTTAATACTTACAATTGCAAGAAATATCCAGTTTATTCAGTAAATGCACCAACTGAACTTATATGATGGTTATCATACTGATAACTTATCAAGCGTCTTGTCCCGTTGTTTTTAGTCGATCATTATCCCAAGTCAGTGTGATATCGTCGATCTGGTTTTAGTAAGCTTACGGTATTTGAACATCGTTCTTCTACTCAACACAATTTTTTATGAGTGAACGAATTACTAAATACACATTGAACGAAGGTCACGAAACTTGAGACGATGATGCTATTTTCATAGACTGTTTTAAATGATGGAAACAGAGATAGAACACTGTTAAACAATTTTTAAAATTGCTTGTTAGTTTGATACTTTGTGGAGAATTTTTTTCGTCACATCCTAGTATCATACAGTTTTTCAGCTACAAAAACTACTACTAGGGCATGTACTTTAGTGTCGAATGTTCGTCTCACTGAGTTACCATTAATTAACTGTAGTTGAGAATATAGCCTATAACATTCAAATTCAGTGATTTGGTGGCATAGTGTGTGACGCTAGAATTTTTTTCAGGCTTCTAGAATGTATTATTGCCTTGAAATACCTGGTATTTTTTAAGTTACTTTAATGAATCAAATTTAATGATGCTTACTATAAGTAGTCAATGACTTTTAATAATCACCTATAAATTTAATTTTTTGTTGTTAAAAGTTAGTTTGAATGTATGTAAACTCAATAGGTATATCTAAGTTCATGTAGTCATAAATATACTCTTCTTCCAAATCACAATTTTTCATCATGAAAAATTTGATTGCTTGATGATTTATTCAGTAGAAGAATTCGTGACCATTTTAACTTAACGGTATTGGGCATGAGACAAATATCACCCATATCATTATATGGCAGTCCTGCTTTATATGGAATTCATTGAAGTTATGCATGTAGACTAGTTGGTCATGGTGTTTAAACCCTTACTGCGAGACTTAAAGGTTTTAGGTTTGATCGCAGGTGGGTTGTTGAGTGCTCACTTCCGTAGATTCCTATGTCAAGAGGAAAATTTTACCCTCCCTTTCTGGGTTTTCATGATAGTCTGATTAAGAGCATCCAGTGATCCAAAGTATAAAGACATTGTTTCTTTTTAGAACCATTTGTGTTTTAGTATGTACATGTTTGGAATGGTTGCTTACAAATCTATTTATTCGTATTACCTCTATCCCCCATGTACCTATAGATTTTAATTGCATTTTGTAATTTTACACTTACAGAACAGTCGTTAGCTTTCAGACTTGATCGCTTGTTCGGTACCGGTTTCGTAACTGAATTAGTTTGTAACGATCATAAAAGCAATAGTAAGAAAACATCACATTCTCGTTTACCACAACTCTCAATCTCAAAACCATTTCCACCTCCACCAAGTACCATATTTGCATTGTCAAATTCAATGTACTGCTCACATTTCATCTCAATGGATAATTCTACATTATTGACTACATTATCACCATTGTCTTCTGTTCCACTATGTTTGATTCGTGATTATTGTGGTTTGACAGCTTCAATTGCTAACATGTTGTGTGCGATAGTTAATATGGGTATCACCTCAAAATCTGAACATGTGAGTTTTGTGTACGGTATATTTTGAAAGTAGGAATTGAGTTGTAATCCATTCTTTACTTTTTTGTCATTATTTTAGATTTAATGATATGTCTGTGTATCACTTCATTATATTCATATTTTCTGCCAACGGTGTGTTATACAGTTAGTCATCTGTATATCAGACAGTGAAGTCATGCCAATTAGTATTCCAGTCACCATTAATGTAGGTCCTGATAATTACGTACATCTAAAGTTATCATGCATCATAACTGCACACAAAGAGAGGTAATTAACAAGATTCTCAACCACGTTGTTTATAAATTAATATAATCAAAAATTAGAATTGTGTATTAATAAAAAAACTGGATTTTTGGAGGAAGATGAAAATGGATACACTTATACCAACCAATCTTTTTTAAGCTACACCACTTAAGGTCTCCGACCATACATTAAAGTTTTATCAACAGTCTCAACCCGGACGTCTGCACCTCATGGTACGATTTGTTTGAATAATCAGTACATTAGTGAACCAATGCAGTTTCTTGATAAAGCCATCATTGTCCATTTTCCGATTTAGTATCTTTCACTGTCCAGTACAACACGGTTGTTTAGTGCATATTATCTACTTTATTCGTTGAATGTTCATAAGGTTTTTCAATCTATCTGACTTCTTGGTATATTTTTTTAAAAGAATTTCTTATGTTTCTGAACGTGAAAAACACCTTGTGACCGTTAGAATTTCGAAACTCATTCTCCAAACTACTTCGTTTCAGTACACCTCATCGAGTATATGGTAGTCAACTATGGTGATTTAGACTTTAAAATAGTGGATCAGTTGGTAGAGGATCAGAAACGTTTTGATCGTATATCGTATAATGGTTAAAAACACAGATTATAAATCAATATCAATGATCACTTTCAATGGATATGCCTATCTGTGTTACTTCATACGTTTCTATTATCTGTAGCGATTAGTATCTACTAACACAACACAACCTAACCTTAGCTGCTCCCTTTAAATAGTGATCAAGGTTGGCTACTGTAATGACCTATTAGATCTTCGATAGTTCCAATAATCCTTTCTTTATATCGTACTGTGTCAGACAAGTAGGTCAGAGAAAGGCGGAACTAACACTATCAAACATGAATTTCGGTCATCCTTGGTAATGCCTTATAAATACGGAACAAATAAATCCGAGGACGGTCATAATGCCAAATTTATAGAGGTGTGATGGCAGAAATGTAGTTTCATCGGACGCCCACCATATGTAACGACGCTGTTCTGTTCTAAAGGGATGGGTGCGCAATGGTTGACTCTAAAAACATCGCACCCCACTTTTGCCGATGGATTCCAGTCACTATCTGTAGTGGTTTTTATTTACAGAGGAACCATATCTACAACTAGTCAAAACAAGGACGTTTGTGGTTTGAAGCTGTTGCCAATTGGGTATTGTGATTCCGTTCCCCTGTCAAAAAGCCCATCACTAATCCAGTTTTATTTTTTGGTCTCAAGTAGCAGTGTCATTTCATGTTGTAGGCGATCGGGAAAAGGAAATCACTCACATATCTCAAGGCGTTTGTCATCGGTTAACATTGTGCAATTTCTGTCTTCATATTGCAATAATTCATGTTCTTAACGAATCATAAATCAACTAAATATTAAATATTAGACATGTAATTGATTATCGAGTTGGATTTAGGTAGATTCTTATCAAATTTGAGATGTATGTAATATATTTTACCTAATTTTGTCGTTTATATTTTTTTCTCCCTTATTCAGAATCCGAGTTTAACTGGATTCAAGATAATTTTGTCCAGTTTAAGAAAAACTCTCGATAAATACAATAATAATTCTGGTGGTTTCGATGGTAGTATTCAATTTAGACAAACAGTAGAAAGTGAAAAAAAGCCTCCTACCAGTCTAAATATACTACTTGTAGAAATAATGAAATTTCTCAATTGGATATCATTATTGAACTCATCAACTTGTAATCTGTTTAATATTCAACCGACACTGATGATTAGTTTATCAATGCATCTTTATCAGTTAGCTTTTATGACTACACGTTTTCTAAATATTGAAGAATTGAAAATATCAAATAATAATTGCTATACATATAATTTTAACAGTATCGAGTGTATTCTAAATGAAATTCTATATCATCCATTGAATTATTCATGGAAACAATTAACTGATAACATGAGTAACACTGATGCTAATGTTGATGATATGATATCTAAACATTATTTAACTATCATGTCAATTCGTTTAATTCGACAATTTTCAATGGAAATTTATCATTTTCTACACATCAATCCACTGCATTTAATTAAGTGGTTATCTAATCAACACCAACATTATCAATCTACAAATGATAATATATCATTTTATACAGTTATAAATCACTTATTCAATTTATTTATTTCTAATTTACCAGTGCCTACGAATACATCGCATATTATCGATCCTATATGGTCTGCAAAATTTGATTTGTTTTCTTTAACATTAGAACAGGATATAGCTCAGTTATCTTCAGTCATTAATAAAAATGTACAAAATTGTAAAGATTGTCTGTCAGTTTCATCATCGTCGTCGTCATCTCCACTGGATTTAAGACCAAAGTCTTATTATAATAAATCCATTCGGTGCTTTATGAATCCATTAACGCGTTCACTATATACACTATTTTTATGTACAATTATAGACGACCAATTACCAGATGATGATGGTGATGATAATAAGAAGTTAGATGAGTTGATTATGACAAGTTTAATTGAACTGCCTAGTGAAAATAATCATCACCATAGTAAACAGACTAAACCATTGAATATGGAATTCTTAAATTATTACGGAAAACTGTTAATCACAATGCTAACACATAGTAATATTTTAGTAAGTAGTAACATGTTACATTTTCTTTTTTTCTATTCTACAGAATCACTGTCAAGTTTTAGTTGTTCTAATGACTAAAATTTATTTATTAAGTTAAAAAAGTTACTATGCTAGTTTGAACTCAGACTGAATATTTTTGGTTGAGTGTGATAAGCAGGAGAATTCACCATTTTAAATTGAGATAGTTTCTAATATTCAATACACATAAACTTGTATGTGTTGAAATAATTACCTTACATTGTTCACTTGAATTAATTTGCAGATCAAACAAATTTGTGAAACTAAATAAGGGGAAGAAATAGCTATGATGTAGGACAAGTGTAATCATAATAATAAGATCATAAAACCCAATATTCCATCACGGATCGTGTCATACACTTAATTGTTAGAACGAAGTTATAGATTACAATTATAGAGTGCTAAATAATTCTGTTTAAGTTGCACGTGAATACAACAAAAATACAAGTTTGACATAGAGAAAGAAGTCAATGAAAGTGTTATATCAGAACAAAGATTAAAGTAATGATAATTTGCATAACTAATTATTTAATGAGTTCTTAATACATAATTATTAAGGAACTGGATTATTATGTACCTATGTTTTTTTTATTATAAGCTTTTGATTAACGCATTAACTAATATTGTTCGACTTTCTATTCGCAATCTGTTGCCAGTTTTCCTTTCCTAGTCTCCCCTTCCCGCACGACTTTGTTGGCTTAATCATGTGTAGTTGTTATTTTGCATTTTATGGTGTAATGTGGTCTGGTATACCTGTATATGCACTACGTGTGCTTGAAATATTATGTGGTGGAGGTCAATTGCTTACTAATGGACTCAAGGCCAGGACATACAGAGAAGCTGGGGAATCGTGGGTCAATGGGGGCTTAACAATTGTGTGAAAGTTACTAGTGCTTGTTAAGCATGGAATCGGTCAACTCAGAGACATTAAGTCGGAATTTTGATGCATGGTTTTATCACGTGATTCGGATCAGTGGTCATAAAGCATAATAAAATACTTCGAAATTAAACCATTCAATGCCAACATTATCATCTACATAAGCTGCAAATCTTCTTCACTTCAGCGTACTAAATAAGGTTTACAAATGTAATAAAATAAAATAACTCACCAAAGTTTAATGAGTTTAGATCTTAAAAATGTACAAACGAATAGACTATGTACATGTGCCTTATTGAGTCATAGTATGATAAAAATGACTTCGATTAGGTTGGTAAAGAGGTTAGACTCATTTATTTTTTAGATGGATAGCTCAAGGATTTCACCATTTTGCATCACAGTTTTTTTTGAATACCTCAAAGTCACATTTACGGATTATTCTTAACATGGTAGATTACTGAAAATGACAAGATGGTGTCTGCCTTATGATTCTACTTGGTTCAATTCGCTGGAATGGAATGGTTGATAGTCTCATCTATGCTCTTGTATGACCATACTAACAAGTGTTCACAAGCATACGAAAGTGAATTTTTAGGAGAGTTAACAATATAACATGCTCAGTCTGCTTGTGACCGTAAAACGCGCAGAAAACACCAATTGTGTTTTGGATATGTCAACCGGGCTTTAATCCAATCTGTGTAGTGTGGATTATTCTTTCTCTGAATGAGGTCATTTGCAAATGATTCGCTCATAAAAACAGATTTCTTAACGCATTAAATTGTTTTGTTTTGGTTTTAGCTTGTAAACTTCCCACAGTATCCATTGTCCCTGTAAGTATGACATAAATTACTCACTTCCCTTTCACTTGTATTTATAGCTTATATAAGTTATTGAATTTTTCTCAATTTTATCCATTTACAGGTGTCATCTGCTACTCGTGATGCTTTATGTCGTCTTATTATTAATGCAAGACCAAAATGTATAACTTGGTTTAAAAATCATTCCTCACTGAGTCATCGTTATAATTCTTGTTATAGAAAATCAAGTGTGTCACGTTCCAGTGAGAGCAAATTTGCTAAACCTCTCTCAGAGAGAAATATCTCTCAGAATACTGACACTGATTTGTTATCCGTAAAAGGCTCTAATCTTGCATATACTTCCCTTGGTTCAAATACACCAACAACCCCTACTGTTTCTTCTGGACGTAGTTTTCAATCAAGAACAACACCATACTCTGGTCGTAGACGTCCTCCACGAGAGTATCATTCTTTACATCCTAGTCAGTTGATTGATGTTTTAATAAATGAAGAAAATCCCGGCTCACGGGAACTAATTTCTCTCGATGATCTGGATAATGTCGACAGTCATCAGTTAACGTCATTAATTGACAATCATCAAGAAACTATTGGCCGTTGGTCTTCTCGATCAGGTACTACTAACAATAGGCAGCGAAGGTCAAGTCACTTCTTAAGAATTTTAGTAAGTTTTATATCAAATTTTGCATGTAAGGTTATCACAATTTTTTTAAATACCTAAGTGATTCTATGTTAGACCTTAGTATGCGCATAGATCTCAATTTTTATAGTCATCAGGAACGATTTAAACCTTAAAGAATTTCATTATCTCAGTTGGACGTGGATCCCCACCAATTACGTTTAAAAGGTGATTACAATATGAAGGGAATATGGTAATTCAAAAAAAGATGAATTACCAAGATGTTGGCGCGTAGAGTGTGCACAACAAAGTAACAGAGATCAAGTTCTCAAACCATGATGTCAGTCAGGCGTAAGATGTAATTTCCAGCAGTTTATCATTCTTAAGTTTGAAAATTATATTTGAATTAATCTCAGTGACTGAAATTTAACTAATTCCAACTTTTCGTCCAGCAAACGTGTGTTGACTTCTTCAGACAAGTTTGCTAGATGAAAAGTTGTAATTATTTAAATTACAATCCCTGAGAATAATTCAAATATAATTTTCATATATACTGACTTTTCTATACTCGGTGCCCATTTTTTTTCAAACTATTCGTTCTAATATTGACGAATATTCGTATAAGTTGATTATCCTGTTTAAATATCTACATGTGCTTAGCATAACAGAAAGCCATTTATGTACGATCTGATACATTTACGCTCGTCCCTCAATTAAACACGGTGTCAACATCTGAGTTCTGATTGAACTACGATATTTGGTCATTGTTCTGGCATACAACATACCTAGTGAACTTCATCGAATATATACTTCAGTGTAGGCACAAAGAGGAATGAGTGAGCTTGTGCAGCCACATTTCAGACACTTGCGTACAATACAGTGAACCATAGTTTGATATCCTGTTTGAGGCCGTGTAAATCCGCAGTTTAAACATATTACATCAACCAAAGTTTGGAAGGACAGTCTCCTTTTAAAATCCTACATGGACACCAACACTTACTCAGTAAACATATGTTATGAAACCATTCATTAAGGTACGATTGACTTCTACTCTCGTGCACCTCTTCGTTCTTAATCCTTGACGTATGATTACTGATCATTTAAAAACCAAGTAACAATGATTGATTGCTGTATTTCTGATCAGCAGGGAGTTCTTGTGTTCATGAAATGGAGATTTGTGTTTGTTGTTTCTGTCACTGCTTCGTCTGTATTTCTACCATCATTACATAGGTGAATAAACGTGCGAGTTGCGGATGACGTGTGTTATCATGTCCTTTTAACCGACCGTTTGTTTTTTTTGTTCAAGATAGTCAGTAACTGAGCATTTATATCCATCCAGAGACAATTCTATTGTTTGACTAGCAGTATGATCATTTCCATGGTGTTTGCTTGTCTCTTTGACTGTCGCAAACATTCGACTACAGTTTTCATGAATACATTTATGTATTGGTTCTCTTCCAATGAGCTTTGACTTGAATTTAGCAAATCTGTTTCATTTGTGATGTTTTTACAGTTTTTTATTGTTCAGTTTTGTTCAATGGCTTGGGTTGTTTTGTCTTATTTGTCCCTTTTGAATTACATTTCTTGAGTTTAATTTCGTTACTGCAATATATATATATATATATATATATATATATATATATATATATATATATATATATTGTTGATCCAAGAGGTAGGTGTTGAAATCTAAATTTCGCGTACAATCATGAAGTCATTGACTGCTGACTTGGGTCATATTGCTAGGCATAATTTACTTGATTGGGGCTCCTTATAATTATTATAACCAATAATTTAATAGGTTGGTCGACATGACTCAGAATCGTTCCCATAGGCTCAGACGCATTCACTCTATATCTTATTTTCGATCTTGAATTGGACTTCGTATGTTTATTCGCGCTTTGTCGTCATTGGTCAATCTTTCTTATTACCATTGCTACTACATTATTTCGATCTCTTTGCTATTCGTTCTGTTACTTTCATTGAATCATGCTTATGTGATATGATAATCTGGGCTCAATTATATCTACCTCCAACAGCCTCTGCATTGATCGTTACTGTCTGACTCGCCTTCCTGCTCCTTATCAGGTTTTTTGTTCTGTTGTGATAATATCAATTACTAGCAGTTTGAATTGGTATACATTCACGTACTTCATTATTAACGATAATGACTATGGAACCATTTTCGACTACTATTGATGAATGCTTACTGTTTAGTATATACCTTACTCTAATTATTTAATTTACAATAATTTAGAAACTCAATTTGCATTATTCAGCCTTCACATATATACAAGTCCCTTCCCAAGTACATAGATTCACATATACACTTAGTATCTCAACAACTTAGCCATCTTTAATATATTTTGAAATATAATTTCGAATATTTCATTATTAATAATATCAGTTCATCATAAGCAATCTAGAACCTGGCTCATATGTTCATCGATTTTGAATTCATGTCCTATAATTTCAAAAGATGTGTTTACCTTTAACTCGAATATTCCATTAGGTTATTATTCTGAATTTATAAACGTAGAAATTAAAGAAAGGTTATTGAAAAAAATTCACCATTGATATATCTGTGTTTAACTTATCCCTTTTTGTTTGCATAACATCTTGGTACTATATTATTAAATCATTAAAAACGAGAAATACATCAATGATTCCGTTCTTTTTTTCTTTATGTTTCTTCTTACTATGATAATTTTAGAATCAACCTCCTTCCATACCGATATGGGAGGGTGAAGCCAGATCACTTATCAGTAATAGTACAACAACTTTCAATGCTAATGAGCCTATTCATTTTATGGACATGGAAAATGATATTGTAGATGATTGTGATCAATCTGATATGAATTTAGATACTGACCTAAATAATTCAGATAATTATCTGTTATCGGAATTTCTTGATTTAGGTGGAATTGAACCATCCATTTCAGCATTACGTGAAGAAAGTGATGATGACAGAGCATATCGTATTTTACGGTTGTGTAGACGAATATGGGGTTCACGACGTATTGTTTCACTTCGACAAATGGTTGCCGATTCTGAATCTGGTGGTGAAAACGAATTCGACTCTCGAATCAATTTGGGATTGAATGAAAACGATGAAATTCTAGAAACTGAACCTGAAAATATTGGTGGAGAAGATGATGAGGATGTTGATGATGATGAAGAAGATAATAATGATGAAGATGACGATAATGACGATCCTGAAGACGAACAACATAATGATAACATAGAAATGGATAATGAGAAAGATGAAAACGATGATGTTGATGAGGATGATGAAGAAGAAGGTGAATGTCAGGATGAGGATGATGATGAGGAGGAGGAGGAGGATGAGGAGGAAGATAGTGATGAACAATTAAGGCTAGGTATTAGTGAAAATTTAACCAGTGAAATGGCTCTCTTGTTAGCACAATTGGTTGCAGAATCTGGTCAATCCATTGTAAATGGTCAAGAATCTCTTATCGATCAACTGGGAATAAATTTTTCTGAGTATAGTAGTTTTCTAAACAGACCACAACGAACAAATCAAAATACTAATACAACAACTACAGCGTCAACTTCAGGGACAAATTTATCAGTTACAAATTCACTGACCTCTACCACTCAGACAACCATATCGTCAGGAATTCATGAAGCTCAAGTTCATGAATCTTACGTAACACCTAGTAGTAGTAATCTTCAATCAAATACCTTTAGAGCCATGCAAAGGGAACCTAGAACCGTAACAAATATCAACCCTTCTAGAGAATGGCAAAGGAATGATGTTATGGATGAGGAAAATATACATGAACAAACAAGCGATAATATACAAAGACAAGAAACTAATAATAGAGAAGAAGCGGTCGATATAAATCAAGATCTATTGGATATCGAAGATGCACAGGAAGGATTAGATATGTGGGCTTTTTCAGATAATTTAGAAGAAGATGTGGTATGTAATTTCTTAATTTAAGTTTTATAATGTAGTCATTTTAAAAAAAATGGATTTATGCAATTCAGTGACGTTGATTATATTTATAGCTTTTAATTATTTTCCTACTACAAAATATCTCATATAATCTACTGCTATTGCCTAATAAATTTATATTGGTTGGATTACTTGTTTCCTAGGGTACTACCATGTTAAACAGGTCGATTGAAGAATGGTAAGAATAAAACAGGTGAACTCATGATTCGAGCGTAAAGTCGTACTACCAAATATACAGGGGTATGAAGGCAGTAAAGTGGTATCCTTGGTCAACCCCATTATCTGCAGCGATGCTACCCTCTGTAACCGGAGGATGGGAAATGGTTGATTGTTAAAAATAGCACAATTCAGCTTGTCCCATAAATCTCGATCACCAACGGTAATTGCTTATAAATACAGAGCGAACGCGTTTAAAAGTAGTTACAGCAAGGACATATGTGTTCTGAGGTAGTTGTCCATTAAATTATATGGTCATGCTGTACTGTCTACAAGATAACTACTCATCCAGTTCCATTTCTTGGTTGTTCAAGTAGAAGTATACTTCCACTGTGTGACCAGACGAAATGTAACAACCGCCGAGGTACCTCTAATGGGACTCCAGATGCGCAGGAAATTGAAAAGATACCCACATTTCATTGTGACCGGCTGAAGTAGTATTAAATTTCACCAGTGAACTTTTCTTGTTTCATCATGTTATGTAATAATTTCATATATTCTTTTTCTTGCTTTGATCGTACCTGTCGCCACTGCTGTTTTTTTGTTCTATAGCTGTTTACACTGGCCCTACAGTTGAGTCTGCGTGATCAAGGTGGTCCAGGTACTAGAGATAATGTTGAAGTGAACGACCAACAGTCGGGAGATACTTCATGCCTTCAATCTGTTTCTCAAGAAGTTGTCTCCTTACCCGGAAATGAAAATGCTGACCACACAGAACAACCAAACAACGAACAAAATTCCTCAGAATGCAGTCAGCTAGATCATGCAACAAGTTGGTCTGCTGAACCAAATGTTTCAGACACAGTAAGATACTTAAAAATATTTTCTTTGATTTCTCATATAATTTTTAATCCATGTTATACTTTTTGCTCTAACGTTGAGCGAAAAAACATTAAGATACATGATAATATATTGCGTCTTCAAGATAATACTATTTCACTGCATAAATGCTAGTTTTACCAGCTTTAAAAATTTGTCTAGTGGTCATTTTTACCACAGATTTGTATGCATGTGTGTGTGAATACTGTTATACAGTACATTGGCATTGTGAGAATTGCTAATTTCGTCATCTATTTAAGACATGGTAACTACTCCATATCTCAGTTCTAAACTAGATGAGATAGCATCAATGAAGTAGAAGCGTCAGAGTCATCAAATGTAGTCACGACAACACTATGGTAATTTTTGACTGATGGTACGACTTTTTATTACCTGCAGTTACAGATTTTCCCTTTCAGCAGCTATATCGAGCACCATGCACTAGTCAATTTTCGTTTTGGGTATCTCGGTAATATAACTAGCTCTCATGTATAAAGTGTACCACGAAGTTGATTACTTGGTCAATAAACAACATTACAAATGATTTCACAATTTGTCAGGAAGCTAGCATTTTCGCATTAAGCGAGAGTACACTAATAGTGTTGAGTTCTTATTTATTTACAATGAAAAAGTGACTTACATTGAGTGACGAAACATCAGAAATACAATATTCTACTTGTCGAGATATAACAAAACCATATTTATTGTAAACGTTCTAGCCAATGCGCCCAACTTCGAGACCAGCAGACAGGATTCCATAAGGATAGATCGTGTAGAGACCAAATCTCAACTCTACGGATCATTGTGGAACAATCAGTTGAATGGAATTCATCACTCTACATCAACTTCATTGACTAAGAGAAAGCATTTGATAGCATGAACAGGACAACATTATGCAGGTTCATTCGACTCTACGGCTTGCTTGAGAACATAGTCAACATCATACAGAATTCCTATGATGGATTAAACTGCAAAATCGTGCATACAAGACAGTTGACAGACTCGTTCGAAGTGAAGACCGGTGTCAAGCCAGGTTGCTTACTCTCACCCTTTCTCTTTCTCCTGGTGATCGACTGGATTATGAAGACGTCAACATCTGGGAAGAAGAATGAGATACAGTGAACAGTAAGGATGGAGCTGGATGATCAAGACTTTGCAGATGATCTGGCTCTTCTATCGCACACGCAACAACAAATGCAGGAGAAGACGACCAGTGTGGCAGTAGCCTCAGCAGCAGTAGGTCTCAACATACACAAAAGGAAAAGAAAGATTCTCCGATACAACACTAGACGCACTAATCGAATCACACTTAACGGAGATTAGGAAGATGTAAAAACCTTTACATATCTGGGCAGCATCATTGATGAGCATGGTGAGTGTGATGCATATGTGAATGCACGGATCGGCAAAGCAAGAGCAGCATATTTACAATTGAAGAACATCTGGAACTCAAAACACCTGTCAACCAGCATCAAGGTCAGGATTTTCAATACAAATGTTGAGAGAGTTCTACTGTATGGGACGAAAACTTGGAGAATGATGAAAGCCATCATCCAGAAGATACAAGTGTTCATTAACAACTGTCTACGCTAAATACTTCGGATCCGTTGGTCAGACACTATTAGCAACAACCTACTATGTGAGAGAAGAAACCAGATCCCAGTGGAGGAAGAAATCAGGAAGAGTCGCTGGAAGTGGATATGACACACATTGAGGAAAGCACCAAACTGCGTAACAAGGCAAGCCCTCACATGGAATCCTAAAGGTCAAAGAAAATGAGGAAGACCAAAGAACACATTACGTCGTTTTCTTTTATTCGATGTACAAAACTAGTAAGCGTACATATATATATAAATCAAATGTGAGAACATATTATCATAATATAATAATACATTATTCCCGTTATAGCTACCTATTACAGACAAAAATATTGTAAGCTTGCATCTATCATATTTTACGTCTAATTACTAGGAGTATTATTTGTGTTTAACCATATTTCCAGTGTATTTTAATTAAAATAAAAAAATTCAACATTTTTTTTCTCTTGCTTCATTTAGCCTGAAAGGACAATGAATTCTCCTGTTCAAGGTAATTTTTCGTATTAAAACAAATAGTTATAGTTTGTTTTCATTTTAGATTGATTTCGATTCGAGAGAGATACATATTGGAAACTTCTTATTTATTATTTGTTTAAACACACATTGTTACAAGGAGCCACCAAATATTTATGCACCACACTTCATCTTTCAGTTTGTGTGAGGGCTCGAACCGAAGCAGATGGTTTTCTTAAGGGACCACTCCCCGAGCCTTTGACCTAGAGATCTAATTTTGGGAATCTAATCTTATAAGGCATTAGAGCAGCGTTAGGAAATGCATCACCATGGAAGCCGGTGACCAGCAATTGGTTTACACGTGGTTTGTTCCCTCAGGATCCTGGAGCCCATATGCACCATTGGTTTGGAATCAGGGTTTTCCAACTCCCCTAGGTGGGTCGATCGTCCGTATCCACCAACCCAGTTAAAGCTCCGGAAATAAGTTTTTCGTTCTCTCAATTACGTGAACGACCCCCCCCCACCGCAAGAAGGCAGTGAATAGGACTTCCCTGGCAGTGGCTGTATATGCATGACCATGTGAGTGCATTTCCAGTGGGAAAGCTGACTCCTTCATTTCAAGCTTTTAAATATACAAGGCTTATCAGGTTGATCAAATGAATCATTCTACGTTATCATCTTCCACATACAATTTTCTTTTAAAAATTTTTCTCTTTTGCATTTAAAATTCCATGCATAATTTGATGCATTCATGTGTGTATTAATTCCTTTTCAATATCATCTTGTTGTTTTTCACTCAGCATCATCTAATCAACCAATGGTTTTAGCTTCATCAAATCCATGTCAATCAGTTGTTACTCATGAAAATGATTTTGAAGACAATTATGATGATGGTTTCGTCACTACTATTGTAGCGGGTACTGGTGTTGCTGTTCATGAAGAAGACCTCTCTGATTTGTACACTTTGTTTGATAATGAAACAATGTCTTCATCTAAACCTTGTGATATGACATTTAATGAAGCAACACATAGTGGAAATCCACTTACTCCTACTTCCAATGTTACAATTCGCACTACTATCACTACCAAAAACTGCGGCCACACAACTAATAAAAATCACGATTTACAATCAATAAGCAGTACTATTATGAGCAGTGATGACGATGATAGTGCACCGGAATCAAATATTTTACCAAATTCATATCGTTATAGTAGAAGAAAGTCGTCTTTTTATTCAAAATCTATAAGTCTAGACGATGATGGTGTTAATGATAATGAGGATGATGATGGTGATGTTCATGATCTTGAAAATACTTGTGCAGATCATAATCATGTTCAGGACACCAGTCATAACCCAAATTTCATCACTGATGACTATTCTAAGCATGTTAATCATCAGGTTTTAGATCATTCAGACAACAATAGTAATCTTAAAAATCTTCGGAATCAAGAAAATAATAATAATGAGGATAACAATGATGATAAACAGACTATTTTATCCTTATTGAATTACACTTTGAGCAATACAAATTTATACTCAAAATATCATAGACAAAATTTAGCATTATTATTTTGTTTAAATATATCGAATTATTTATCAAATGAATGGAATAATATTATAATTAAACAATCAAAGTGTATGAACACATTATCATCGATATCATCTGGTCATAGTCAACAATTTGTACCTATTCTACAGTTTATGATCAGTTTAATACGTATTTTACATGGAAATGCATGTCAACTTAATGCAGAGATAATAGTACTCCAACAACAACATGTACAATCTACTTCAGTGTCCACTACTATAAAATGCAATCATATAGATTATCAGAATAAATTTTATTTGGATTACATTAAACAACTACTGTATAAAATCAAGTGAGAAATTTTAAAATTATTAATTCATTGTTTTATTATAATACTTGTTATTGTAATCATAGTAATAACTTTACCTGTAAGATTTATAGATATCTTAAGGTGTACAATCTTGTGTCAGGATGAAGTCTTTTTTTATCTATTGTTTCTCTGATTGATGTACTGTTTCGTCTAGATAGTTATCTTCAAAGTAAAAACTCATCTTTAAATCAATAATTAAAACAAAATAAGATATATTTGAGGGAAATAAATTGTTTTCAATATAAGATATGAATTTCAGATTCTTAGCTCTCATTAATGTTTTAATTACTAGTAATGCAATAATTAGTCAAGTTGGGTTGTAAGTCAAGTGAAATTGTCCAAATAGATATGGACAAAATAAAGTAATTCGATGATAATTTGACTGCTAATTATTTTAAACAGACTGTTACGTAATTCTTGAAACAATATGAATTATGGAGGGGATATATTTGAATTGACTACGACTCTGTACACTTTCGAAACGACAAATCATCCACTTAATAATAATTTCAATTCTAGGTAAACACACAAATCAGCAGTCTTTATTTTCAAGTCATACACTATATGTTATGTCTGACAACCATCTTAGGTGGTTGATATTCACGTCCTCATTAAAAAATTTGCCACCTTTATCAGGTACCATATACCTGATATCTGCATTACTCATTCAGTCGTTTCACAATAGATGCAAACAGTGCTTCGGCTATCAAATGGGATAAAGGTTTAGATCTGTGTTCTCAAAGTTTGAAAGCCAGGTGCCTTACATGCAAAGGTTTCGCGCTATAACCTCCTTGTTTACTTGTTTTACTTTATTGGTTGCTTTGTGATTATCATTATTTCTATATTTTCTGTTTTTTTTCTTTCAAAGTTTCTGTAACGCGGTAGTCAATAGATTTTAGTATGAATACTTTCATTACAAAATGTTTTTATACTTTCTTTTTAGAATTACATTGAAGCAGCTCATTCGAGCAATTATTAATGGATTAATACTAATTGTTTCAACTTTGCCTACTGATAACGATGGGTATACAATAAAAACAGATTTGTACGGTGTCAATAATCTACGTGAAAATTTCGAAAAAATCATTCATTCCGATACCTTATTATTATTAGAATTTATAGTGCTACAATTATATGCATTAATAGAAATCTTTGAATCAATTCCATCATCAGCATTATTATCTTCCTCAAATGATGGTTCTAATTCATTCTCTTTAATTCATTTATGGCTACATGAGGAATGCAGTTCAGATAATGATTGTCGAAAAATGACACAACCTCCAACATTATCATCGGCTCCGTCTTCATCATCTATAGGACAACAACAGTTCAGCCAGAAAACTGTAACAACAACAGCTGATCAAATGCATGTATTGTCTAATGAGCTTGATTTGCGTGCATTAATCGATCAAATCATAGAATTTTGTTTAACTTTTATAGAAGTATTATATACACAATTGCTTAAAAGTTATGAACTAACTAGCGCCAGTTGTTCTACAAATGTAGGTTTTTGCTTTTTTGTTTTTGTTGACTTTATGTATATTTCGCTTTAGCAAATGCTAATTTTTAGCATAATAATTTGTTATTGTGTATGTAGAAGCGTATTCTTGAAGTTATTACTGATTGCTCTTTTGCATAGTGTCTGTAGTATTGTATCCACTGTCAGACGATAGGAGCTGATAACTTTTTTAAAATCCAAATTTCTAAAAATCCTTAGAATGTTTTGTCATTTTTAAATTAAACTTGGCATTATTCTGTTGGAATTTTCGAAAAAATTGCTAACCTTTAGGTTAGGACATTCTATACAAACATAATTTTAAATATAAAATGGTTATTCGTTAGGTCGTCAGGAAACCCTGGATGTAGGTTTTTTGCTATTCGACATTACTCAACAATTTGTGCTTGTAATCTTGTGGGGACTAGAGCTTTCTATTGGGTTCGATCCTGCGACACGTAGCTTCACAAACAGTCGCTACCGCTGAGTTATTCGGATTGCGACTATCATCCTCTGGAACTGAGATGTATTTACAATTGATTGTTCGCTGTGCATTAGTTTCCTTAAGATTACAGACATACTTTACTGATGAATGTCAAATAGCACAGAACCTGGTTCCAGCATTTCCTGTTGACTATAGACAACCTCCGCTTTGCGTCCCGACATAATACACACATTTTTGAGTTACTTAGACTAGCAACTACATTTCAACCTGATCGATAGAATTCTGTCAGCACCAAAACATACTTGACGTACATGACATTTGTCACTACTCAGTCATTGTAAATCGGTTGATTATTTAATAATGATAGCTATAATTACAGTGTTAAATTGAGCATGCTATACAACGACTAGCATCCACCTTTGAAAGTCGATAATATTGACAGTATTTCACAGTGAAATGTTTGGAGTTATAGCATTAAATTTTACACAGGACAGATGGGAGATCGAGTGAAATCCGGAATAAAATAGAAAATCATACATATTCAAATTTGCGAATTGTTTAAATTGTTTTGTTCTGCAGCGCTGAAATAATGCTACTGTTGTCAGTATAGGTTTGTTGAGATTGTTGACATTAGAAGATGCTCTCACAATATGGTGGATTGATTGAAGTTTTACTTGTACATGATTGGATCCTCACACAGTGGTCTAGAAATTAAGCGTTGACGCGTCCGACTAAAGGTCGTATGTTTGATTCGTGTTTGTGCGGTCAAGATGTTCCACAATAGGATGAAACAACCATGCAGTGCTTTTAGGTTTCCAATGATCGTCTAGCTTTGATCTGTTTGTGATTTCAATGAAATTGTTACCACTCCTTTTTTCCGGTTTCTCAATTTCAGGAAGTGGACATTACTGAACAATGTGATGCAATACGATTCAGTCATTCATATTTGAATAATTTTCCAAATGCTATAAGTAATCCTTTAGCATGTGGTCTTCTACAAGGTATCATGTATAGTTTACAGAATAGTGGTGAAACTGTAATCGGTACATCAGCTAGAGGTCTACTCAGTTGGTTACCTTTAATTAATTCTTCTCATTGTTTAGATTATATCGGTAATCCAATAATGAGTCAATTAGGTTGGTTAGCCACTAGAGCTTGTATTAAATTACCAAATATTTTATTATACCTTTTATCATCAACATGTAAAGATAAAAATGGATTATCATCAAACAGTGGGAAATCTATGTATCATTCTTTTAAAGTCTCTTATTTATCAAGTGAATCAGAAAGTCGATGGTGTTCTGTATTATTCAATTATAAAGATTTATTGCGTCATCCTACCCTATTTAAATCTCAATTTACTGCAACAAATCCTGTAAATATACAGCAACAGAATGGTAATAATAATAATTCGGATTATTGTACAAATAATGTAAAAGTTTCCAGTAAACTTTTTCAATTTATAAACTTGGAAGGTGTTCAACAAAATTCAAAGTTAATTTATCCATTAGAACGTGAATTACAATCGGTAAGTTGTTTCTTTTGGTTACTTTCTCTCTGCTAGCTAAGGACTTTTTGGTAGATATCAATTAAAATTAGTTACCTTTCTCTTTCATAGGATAAATTATATATATATATATATATATATATGATTGGAATTTGTTATTTGAAGTGTATATTTTAAGTGATTATGTTGTAGTCAGTGTGGTAGTTCTTATGTATCAGTAAGTGTTGATTGATATATTATGAATCATAAGTAATAATGTCAACTGTGATGCAAACTTAAATATACAAAGTGAATAAATAAAGTTCAAGAATATGACGCCTAACTCAAGATTCAGATGAAAAGAAATAACAAACAATAATGAATCATTGTGACCGATTTCAAGTCATGTCATCCAGTGTATCTAATCATGGTTGACTAATATCGCATAAGGTTTAGTCTAGAAGTTTATACCTTCCGACAAGACTCAGTATTGTAGTCAATATCTTTGTAGATTAATGCCGTTCGATGGATTTTCTAGTATATATGAAAGCTACCTTCATATTGGCAGTTTGTAGAAATCCATCGACTAGATAGTTTATCTTTTCTGCTTTAGAAATTTTCTTACTGTCTCAATTCTTTTTTTATGTACTCAAGAACTTACAATAACAATAAATGAAATTCATCTGGGTTTTTTAAACTAATAGTTGTATCAAGAGAGCTTACTGGGTACATTTTTTTCAACTTAACTTCTATGTTTATTAATATTATTCTAATTTATGCGCTTTCACAAAGTCAAAAAATCATAATTTGTGTATTTTATTACGATTTGGATCTTTTATTGTGTTTCCGTCTTTTGGTGATTTATGCACATACATTTTTGATTTAGTTTGTGAATTATTGGTTAATCAGTAAAATTCTGGCTTAGTGGTTAAATAATCCAACTTTCAACCACTGGAGAAAAAGTTCGACTCCAGCTCCCACCTATTTTAGTTTGAGCAGATGGCTATAATATCTCACCCTAGCCCTCATATATAAAGTATGTCTTGAAGTGGACCTCAATGAATCAGTTTTTTCGTATATATGCGTCCTGTGCGAAACGCCTCGATATCGCCATTAAGTCAACAGGATTTTAAGCCAAGTTGGATGGTGACTAGCAGGGGAATCCGGGACGTGTGTTTCATTCAGTTTAAGACTCGTCAGCTGGACGTATCTGCATCTCACAGTTGTTATTCACTCCGGAACTCGAACCTCGTACCACTCACATCAAATGTAATCGCGTGATCTACTCAGCTACTAAGTTCATAAATCCACTAGCTTGTGTGATGGCGTGAACTTTAATTAATTTGTCTTCACTGGTTGTGTAACTGTGATCGGTTTGTGTTTCACTGAAATTCAACATTGTCTACAACCTCTTACTAATGTGTTAAAAACTTGCATACAGCCTAATGAGTGTTGCAAAGAAAATAAATTAAGTTTATTGCTAAGAACGGTTTGTGTTTTTGTCTGCACTTTACGTGTAAAAGTATCATTTCACCAATAAATACTTCTCTACATGTTTGTTGTTTTTGTACTCTACAACTTGTGTCAAATATTTTATAAAAGCAAAATGGTGAGTAGCTAATTTTTTTTATCAGGAATCATGTTATGCCACCGGTGAAATAAAAATTCCACTATTCATCAATATAACCAAGTAGATTTTACTAAACTAAATGAATGGAAAAACTCTAATTTGTGATTATAAATATGTTGTAGGAGAAATTTTTATCTTATCAACCAACAGCTTAGAATGTTAATGTTTAGTTTGACCCAGTTCTTATTCCTCACTCATTCACACTCCTTTATCACAGTAATGTAGATTACGCTGATTCATGGTCAATCAATTAATTAATTTCTATTATATATCTTTATTTATTCACATTCCTTTTGTATTCCAGCTGTTAATATCTATAGTAGGACCTAAAAGTTACCGACAACTACAAGATGTCCATCGTTTAGCTAAACTGTTACAACGAATCCGTGATATCTGTGTCAATACTGGTGGTCTAATAATTCATAATGGTTGTGGATCTATGGAGTTTACGGCTTGTGGCAGAACATCAACAACACCCAGTTGTACTTCTTCAAATGAGCTAAATAATTTGTCAGTAAATTCTAAACCTAATCTTAGTACTAATTGTACAGCAACAACTGTTGATGAAGGTCCTCGATTGACTTCAAGTTCCTATTTGTGGTCACAGGACAAAGGTGTATTCGCCAAACAGCTACGTTTACCATATATAGCTCAAAGAGAAATTGTAAGTTATTAACTTTCACTAACTTTCCATTATTAACCATGACTATTTTTATCTCTACATAACGAAGACAAAGACTCGTGGTTAAACAAAGTTAGCTGTCGATCAATAAACAAGAGATTTCGCTTTTTAGATCAATAAACTATCATTACAATTAATTCTGACAACGGACAATATATGTGATAATATAAATGCCATAATAAATGTGTAACTGATATGACCGGTATTTTATAGTTCTTCGAAAGATATGGAAATGTAAATTGACTTCATACGGACATCGTTATTTCAAAATTAATGTTAATCTGACTATAAGTCTCCAATTCTTTGTTTTGTAATTTTAAACGAACTCATTATCATGATATATGAGCCAAACAGAGTTCATGTGATAAAATATTTTGTCAAGTGTGTGTAACCCACTGTCACTTGTCTGTTAAGTTATTCAAATTGACTAACATAGACGTATGTTCTTAAGGATTTGTTCTAAACTGAATTTGGATTATTAAAATACGATTTTTGTTTTTATTAGTTTGCATCGTGTGTTGAAATCAGTGGAAAACTTGAAGCACTAAATATTTGTTTCTTCCTAATTTGGAACTCATAGGCAATGAATACTCATAATCTTCTAATATGGAGCCCGTGACCTTTTAAGCTCAAAAATCCCTAAACTAAAACGAAATATTTCCAAATGATTGATTATTGAATATTAGTGACTAATCAAGACCAGTCATAGCCCAAACATTTCATTGATGACATCTCAAAGTGATTCAAGTTCGAATCCCACGGAGAGTATCCATTCCTTCAATATATGCAAGTACATTTCGTTTATGCGTAATAACTAACACAAAACCCTAGTTCATGCAGAGTTTCTTCCCTATCACTTTTAAACACATGACACGGGAACGAAACAGCTGCCCGGTGATATCTAGTTTTCAATCATTATCCAGTTAGTGTTTCTCTATGATGACAAACAATCCCCAACTAAATGATTTCCATAAATCTTCCTTCGACTTAAACAAGTAGTACCTTTATAAGAACTGTTGGTATTGACCATAGAATAGTATAGTATCTTGAATACTTTGCAAACTCAGGGTTTTCAGTGTGTCGTGCTAATGCCACTTATTTTATAACATCAAAAAAAACAAGTTCTTTCATAGATAACTTAATATTGCATGAGTTTAATGTAATTTAACTTGCTCACTAGGATTTGTTTTTTATGACTGACAATTCTATCTACCCTTTCGTTTAAACTGAAGTAGAAACAAAGTTGTTATTCAAATCTTAGACCTTTCATTTAATATAATAATATAATATAATAGCTACCATATTTTTCTTTGTCTAAGTTACAAAGCTAAGATTTATTTTAAAACTTTTGTTTACATTTCATAGTTGGAAGATATTTCATTATGTTTAGCGATAGCAGTGCGTAATACAGCTTACTGGCAAAGATTATGTCTTCGTTCATCAGGTTAGTTTTTTTATTTGTATAGCTTATTCCTTTTGTCCCCTTTTTGAATGACCTTGGTTTGAGTATGGATCAGCCAATCATAAGTAAGCTTTAACGTGTCATTTATGTTCATCCGTTCAAGTTGCTACACCTTATCATCACAACCAGATAGAATTATTTATACTTATACTATTTTAATAATTCTATCTGGTTGTGATGATAAGGTGTAGCAACTTGAACGGATGAACATATATATATATTTGCGATTGTACAGCTTTGAAAATGAATTCGCCGAAAAGAGAACTCTTCGCTGAACTAATCTTTCTTTCTTATTTAAGAACATAAATGAAACGGTTGACTTTAAGTGCCCGGCAAATATGATTCCCTACCACCCATTTAAAAAAAATTGTGGGGTGTGAATGAAAAATTTACATATCGTTGATTGGTTTACTTGTTTTGCAAGTGTGTACTGAAGTGAAAATGAACAAAAATTTTTGTCACCTTTAATAATTTTGTGACTGGTCGTAAACTGTTTATCTTTGCAATCTGATTAGTTGAAATCGAAATAGCATCAAGTGCTGTGATTGGATGTCATAATTTGCATTTGAAATTTGAAATTTAATGATAATGAATAATTATTTTTGTGTAATGTTAGTCTTGAAAATTTTTTTTAGAATTTTCAAGAAAAAAAAACAACTGAAATCGTACTGTTATAGAATGTGTGTTTGGATAAATTTTTGATTTCCGATCAAGTGATTTAACGTCACGAGTACTTATATATATCACATTGAAAGCAAGTTTTGGGAAAACGGAACTGAAAACCGGTTTGAATATTTGATAATAGTGATTACTGAATTAGGTCGGTAGTCTAATGTTGAATACCCAATTAATAAACAAACTATCACCGAAGTGTGTGCATAAGTTTTTTAGTGACACATGGTCTGTTAATGGGAAAAAGAAATCAACATATCAATAAATCATCATGATAAATTACTAATTGCAGTATGTATAATTCAGGTGAACCAACCGTAGACCATCATTTGATGAAGTAATAATTTTTCATAAATAGGCACTTAATATTTAGTGAAGGTTCATTTTTTAAATAGTCATTCTTAATAAGAATTAGAAAACGTTAGGGTTAATTTTAAAATCCATAGAAATGAATTACGGTTTTCACTTGTAAATTATTTGTAGTTCTGCATTTTAAAATTAACTTATTTATCATAATAAAAAGTAGTGCGTATAATCGGTCATGTTTGAATATTGTTAACCGTAATACGAAACCTGAAATATCTATACATTATGAATGTAACCATTTTTGACAAACATTTGAAGTATTCGTTTCATGAAGTTTAAATGAACAAGCCCACGTCGTTTGACTCAACAAATATCTATCGGCATTAAACGTATAAATATGAACAAGGTCTACTGCATCAATAAACCTTTATAATGGTTATTATTATTTTTGCATTTTAAATTTTGCTATAATACTATTCCACTTATTATGACTGAACACTTTACTGCTAATCATCTAGACCTTTATCTAATGACCTTTTAAAATTGCAAATATTAGAATTTGTATATATATATATATATATATATATATATATATATATATATATATATATCATAACAGATGCAAATGTGTACCAATGTTAACACTGGTACATTGTTACATTAATGCCATGCCTTATTTTTGGCCTTTCTAAAATATTAAAATTACGGACTTGTAACTGTTTAGTGTTATGATGAAGTTATTTTAAAACTATTGTTCACTAAAGTAATTTTTATTTTCGAATATTTTATGATAATTGTTAAGTGCTACAATGTGATTCTACGAGATCGGAGGTCAAAAGGAAGTAATTCCTAAATTATGTGACAATTTTAGAGATTAATGGAATTGAATAATGATAAGATCGGTTACGTAATAATAATTATATGAATTCTGAAATTAATATGATCTAGGAGTATCAGGTGTTCGAAATCTGTGAATAAACATTTCGTTTAAAGGGTAACCTCTGACCTGTTCTGGTATATATATATATATATATATATATATATATATAATGGCGCCACACATAGGACAGTGCACTGCTCGTACGTTCGGTGATGGGTCGTAGGCACAGAAGGTATGAAACATTGCTTCACATGTACAGAATACCCAAGCAACCACATCACCGATTTCACACGGCGGCTGGGCAAAATTACAGATGTCGCATAGTCGGTTCTTGTCATCCTCTTCTACATTTTGGATGTCCCGTTCAGTTAACTCTTCGGAGTTAATAGAAATTATTTCCTCCTCATCGTTACCGAGCGTTTCATCCAAATCAACAGTTTCTCGTTGCATAAAGGGCAGTGCAACGTTAGCCGAGGTTATTGAATGGATGTACGAATGCTGTTCTCCATGCGCAAGTTCAACGGCGTTGTCGGTAGTCTACCGTGAACTATGAAGCCATGAAGTGAACTGCATTGTTCCTCAGACATTCGCTTGACTAACGCTATCACTGCATTCTTCATGCTCGGCTGTGGCCGCACAGTTTCAACCTCAGCATTCGTTAACTTGCGCATCCATGAATTAGTTTGATACCTCAGGGAAGTGCACTCGTGATTGTGATGCACATTCCCACACATAACAGTCCAGTATCAGTCTATAATCTTACAACACATGAATGCCGGACATTGCGTGTTCATGGAAGCCCTTCGCGAAAAAAAATATAATTACATTAACCAAATTACCTTCTCCGTCTAATCCTCTGTGACAAACCGCTAGACCTTATACGCCCATTTCTCCATACACAAATTTAATATACGAATTCTGATCTCTGCCCGTATGCGAATCTCTCACTACATAATGACTGTAAGTCGATCTTTCGAAAGTTGCGATAGTGGCCTTTAACGCTTCAACTGATGGGAACGCAACGAAAAACAATGTTGTCAAAAACACTCCCTCCGTTTCTGTGACGTCAGAAACGCCAGCAAGTTACTCTCCTCCATAATGACGATTAAAATGTAACAATTTTCAAGCCATAACTAACCAATTAAAAGGAATTTTAAAACTAGCCATTTCATTGGACGAAACAAGGGATGAAAAATATTGTAATTTGGGAGTGGAAAAAAATTTCAGTGGGGGGATTTTCTTTAAAAAATTTCAAAAATTGCCGGGTGGATAATAAAAATCTAACAACACTATCAGTAATGATAGAAATGCTAGACCTAAACAATATAATGTGAGAAAATAGAATAAATTGACGAAAGAGGAACGTATAAAACAATTTTGAAACCCGAAATCTGAGGTAAAGAAAGGTCTCCATGGATCTCTTAATATAATAACCCGGATCTTTATCTGTCAGTCTGGATCTACCAGTACATTTCAGTTCAATAGTCGTTTAGTTCATGTCACATCTTCGTTTGATCGTATCTACCTTTGTTCAAACATACGTACACGCTAGTAAACATTGTTCTTTAAGGTAGGCAGTGGTTAGCGACAAGTAATAAATACTTCGTCCGCATATTACAAATATATTGTATGTATCTTGTATTCTTCTCGAAAGTTGTTCGGAACGTAGACTTTAGTGTGTTTCTATGCGCGCCTAACATGGATATCAAATGTTATCTATTGCTATTGTTGAACGTTGATCAAGCGATTTTGTCTTTGAAGATATCCGTTAGGCGAATAGTGAATTCTATTAGTGAACAATTGAAACTTCTTCTAACACAAGGCAACGAATCGGAACTTAAATAGGTCGGATTTCTGTCAAACACAACACTTGAATGTAAATAATCCGCGTACTAATAATTTAGATCGGAATTCCACGATAACTTTATATTTTACACAGAAGTCAAGAATCGGTAAGGTACAATGTTATTTATATTGGAAAATCCAACGACCTTTGAGTAACTAACAAAGTTAACGTAAAGTGTTAACAACCAATCAGATAGCAACAAAGGTTGTTGTGAAAATATGACAAAATATATCATCAAGTTTACATTTTAAAGAAAGAGTTACATACAGTAACAAAAAAAACTAGATAATTAAATTTCATCTGACATGAGATAAGATACGTAACTTTTCTCTCTTGAATACATATATTTCTGTAATCCAAATGGTTTACTCTGATTTGCCTTTGTTAATCTTTTTGTCCTATGAAGGTTCTTTATTGTTCTTGTTCCATACCAGTTTGGTTCTTGACAGAAAAATTGCACGCAATATGATATATTTAATTCAACTGGCTATCTGTCCAAACTCATTGGAGTCACGTAGTCATAGTACCGTAAAACACGTAAGTCTTTTTTAAAAAGAATTTAGATCAGTGTTACTCTTTGTGAGTTCTTTGAGATCATAAACGTATCGATGTTAGACAGCCACTAAACACCTGAAAACACTGGATGGCCGTGTTATCTCAGTTTTGGACTCTTCAGTTCTTATAACTTAGATCGTTTCATGATTACATTGAAGTTCAACAATCTCCACAATCATATACTGACAATCATCTGAGTACTATTTGATCTGAAAAAGATAGTGAGTGATAATGGTATAATTGAGAATTATGGTTTTAAAAACTGACTTAAAACACCATAGACCAATAATAAAATTCAATACTTAAAAGAAGTTTATGAATAAAAACCTTTGTCCGAATCCTATCGATTTCAGCTCATGTCATATATAATCCTTAACCACTGACTATTACAATTATTGTGTTCACATTAACTAGTTAGCTTGCAGATTCCGAAACTAAAGACGCGAACCAATCTGATAACAAGGCTTATGAATTGTCATGAAATCCTCAAATTCAATGCAACAGTTGTGCAATGTATTCTATGTCCAGTCGATGTTACCTCAAGATAAAAACTTTTTTTAAATGAATACATTCAGTGGTTTTACACCATAAACTAATCTTTGGTTAAACAACCCTTGAAAATCAAGAAACACTGGATAGTTTTTTTATCTTCAGTTTATCTGCTTATCGTGATTTGGTCAACTAGGTAGCATCATTACTCGGTTTATTATACCTTTGTATTCTTACACTCATAAGCCATAATGCGTAAACTATTGTTATGTATTGTACAATTCTTCTTCAGGTATGACTTAACCTTTAGTTCATTGTTACTGACTTATAAACTAAACAGTACAATCAAAGTTCTTATGCTTGCTGTTTTCGTAATTTATTCTGGTTATTGAGCGAAAAATGCTTAGGAAGCTATTTTTTGGACCATTGGTATTGATTATTAATGTCGGTCACTATTTCACTATAATATTATTGTTAATTACAGAAATATCATTGTAACATTTGCTAACAGAAGGTCATTAGTTGTATATAATCAATTCAGGTAGATTAATCAGTAATCGGACACAAGTATACAACTACTCCCATCATATTGACCATTTACACAGAACTCAATATAATTCAGACATTTGAGTTATTTGAAGATACATCACAATGGAGTTACATATAAAACATTTTGTTATTTTATGTTCATAACATGTTTTTTTTAAATTGTTTTGTTTAAATTTTTCTCTACTTCATTCTTTTTCTTTACTATTAAGTTACATGATGAACTTAAACGTTCAACTTATTCAGTTCAATCAACTGAAGTGAAATTATCACGAATTATTGCACGTTATTTAATACTCCCTAGGGATTCACAAATATCTACTTGTTCAGAGATAAGCTTAGATGAGAATATGTCGAATTATAATAATTCAAAGCGTACAGATTTACTTATTTCACCTTTATTCACACAATTCGTTCGTACATTTCTGTGCCGATGTCCTAAAAAAGCTATTCGTGATTCAACAGCACATATATTATCTACAATATTCAGGTAAATACTTTTTTTTGAGGTAAAGAAAAATCCTAATTTCCATCAACTATGACTCTTTTCGCCAGTCGATTTACGTATTAAATGATAATTATTATAGGGTGTTGTGGAATTTATTTATTTATTTGAACACATGAATATTGGTACAATGGGGCACCAAATACATATGCGCAGCACAGTAACAGTGAGGTCAATAGCAGTTATCATCGATTTCTGTGAGGGCTATGATACTGCCTATGTGTTCAAACCTAAGCAGGGTGTTGTGGAAATTGTTAGCTGATCTTACTTAGACAACTACTGAAAACCGGAAATCATCGGACGATTACTTCATCTTAGTTTTGGGACTTCTTGGTAGTGAGAATGAACCCTACACCTGAAATCAAACCCAGAATTTTCAGGTTTCGTCGCAGCGAGTACCTATCCTAAAATCACTGTGTTATCGTTAAGTAGTTCAGATGTCTAACTTTAATTAATTCTCTTTTTTTTGTTGGACTATCACTCTCCACTCAATACCAGGAAACGTCTTCAACAGGGTATTGTTAAACAGAATGAAGGACTCCGTGGACGCTCAACTTCGAGACCAGCAGACAGGATTCCATAAGGATAGATCGTGTAGAGACCAAATCTCAACTCTACGGATCATTGTGGAACAATCAGTTGAATGGAATTCATCACTCTACATCAACTTCATTGACTAAGAGAAAGCATTTGATAGCATGAACAGGACAACATTATGCAGGTTTATTCGACTCTACGGCTTGCTTGAGAAGATAGTCAACATCATACAGAATTCCTATGATGGATTAAACTGCAAAATCGTGCATACAAGACAGTTGACAGACTCGTTCGAAGTGAAGACCGGTGTCAAGCCAGATTGCTTACTCTCACCCTTTCTCTTTCTCCTGGTGATCGACTGGATTATGAAGACGTCAACATCTGGGAAGAAGAATGAGATACAGTGAACAGTAAGGATGGAGCTGGATGATCAAGACTTTGCAGATGATCTGGCTCTTCTATCGCACACGCAACAACAAATGCAGGAGAAGACGACCAGTGTGGCAGTAGCCTCAGCAGCAGTAGGTCTCAACATACACAAAAGGAAAAGAAAGATTCTCCGATACAACACTAGACGCACTAATCGAATCACACTTAACGGAGATTAGGAAGATGTAAAAACCTTTACATATCTGGGCAGCATCATTGATGAGCATGGTGAGTGTGATGCATATGTGAATGCACGGATCGGCAAAGCAAGAGCAGCATATTTACAATTGAAGAACATCTGGAACTCAAAACACCTGTCAACCAGCATCAAGGTCAGGATTTTCAATACAAATGTTGAGAGAGTTCTACTGTATGGGACGAAAACTTGGAGAATGATGAAAGCCATCATCCAGAAGATACAAGTGTTCATTAACAACTGTCTACGCTAAATACTTCGGATCCGTTGGTCAGACACTATTAGCAACAACCTACTATGTGAGAGAAGAAACCAGATCCCAGTGGAGGAAGAAATCAGGAAGAGTCGCTGGAAGTGGATATGACACACATTGAGGAAAGCACCAAACTGCGTAACAAGGCAAGCCCTCACATGGAATCCTAAAGGTCAAAGAAAATGAGGAAGACCAAAGAACACATTACGTCGAGAAATGGAGATAGACATGAGAAAAATGAACAAGAATTGGATGTGTGTGTTAGAACAGTCTAATTGGTAATGGTTGAATGTTATTAGGCTGCGTCAGTTTTAACTTCTGTTTTCTACTAACAATGGTACATACGGAAATTCGAAGAATATACTTCTCTTCCTGTTTAGAATGTTAACTTTTGCAAATCGTTGTCATGAAATACAAGATTATGCTTATGTGAAGTTATTTTCTTGATGGAACTATAATTGTTTTAATAACGTGACTAGTTTCTTCTTAGTTGTCACTACTGTTTAACACAAAAATAGAATATAAAAAATTATTAGCAGATAACAAAAATGGGAAATGTATACAATACTACAGCTATTACTTTTGAAGAATAAAACAACTTTACAAGAATTATGAATTTACTAGACTATAAACTATATTTATGTAAGAATACTTCATAAAACCGTTAAATAAATTTTTCTTGGGATCCATAGATTGATAATTTTTATGATCTGTTCTTTAAATCTTACTTTCTATTTATGAGCGTTCTTTCGATCTCTCCATAATGAATATGGAGCTTAGTCCACAACGTTCTCAACAAAGTGATGTCGATTTTTTTTTACTTCGATCTAAACACTTCATTTTAGCTGAGTTTCAGTCGATACTTGATTACACTGTAAGCTAACATTCTATGATTAATATTTAAAGTTAATTAACTTATGCTATACAATAACTGTCTTTTTCTCATTATTTATAATATAATTTTAGCTGTGTTTCTCGTGAAGCTCAACATCGTATACTTAGTTTAATAGCATCTCTATGGCCTGAATTATCTACATTTGTACCTTATTCCAATCAGTTTGTCCAGTTAAGTATTCATCTATTGAATTCTTATCCGAATTGGTCAGGTCGAGCAGAATTAATAGAACAAGTAATTTGGATTTTAATGCAACGTCTTGAAGCAATAAAACGTCATCCGAATCGTACGCTTTACTCAGTGCTTATGGTATGTGTTTGTTTTATTACTTTAAAATGTAGAATTTTTTTTAGTAAAAATGTTTTCAATCAAAATTAAGTATTTAAAATTAGCTTTTCAGCGTAACTTTGGTGTTTTTCTAAAGCGTTATTTTTTTCAATCTTGTTCTTTTTTTCAGCACTTTGCTCATTCCCAAAAAGGACTTCTACCCGGTGTATTCATTCCATTAGAATCCGTTGAACGAAGTGGATCATTGGATCGAGTCGTAAATGAATTCACATTTTTGCAACCCACTAAAACCACCACCACGACCACTGACTCATCGTCCACTTCTCGTTCATGGGCTTCGCTTGCAGCTCAAAAACAAAATACCACTCAAGTACCTTCAACTAGCAACAGTATTAGTGGTACACCTGAAACTGTAGTGACAGACATGAATTGTAATCTGTTTAACGATTTTTTCACATCAATTAATGCTTCGAATTCTCCATTCACCTTTGAATTGGAACCTTGTTTATTATGTCACGCTAAAGTGATCGATGAACCATTTTATGTTATTTTTCGTTGGGATTCGGAACCCAATGTATCCAGGCGTTCAATTCAATCTGTGGTTTCTACCATTTATAATAGTCGATTTACACATCAGTTTAGACAATCACCTATCGGAAATTTATTATCGCAAAATCCTCAACGTACTACAACGCAACAGTCAAACATTAGAGCTAATGGAACAGGTATTTGTTAATGTTTCGTTAATAAACGTATTTCATATCTACATCAAGTTTCACTAGATGAAAATTAATAGTGTAATTGCATTTGCCGATAGTCCTGTATTCGTGAATTCATTAAGGGTGTTTGACTTTATCTGAGTCTCGTCTAGAAAGAATGACATCAAAATATTATTTTCTTCTCTTCACTCATCATACACACCTAAAATTTGTGTACGAATCTTCATTACATCAATTAATTTTCGTCGGTTAGTTACGACATAGATCTCTTTTAGTTATATATATATATATATTAATCCGTTTATTTTATAGTTATTCATGTATTTAATCCGCACTATCTGTTACCTAATAGATATTCCATTAACATCTTCAAATACTGCAACTCCAAATGTTTCTGGTTTAGTCCAAACAAATTCGAATATACCGAAAAGTACCATTGCATCAACAAATCCCAGTACAACAACGACTACAACAACAGCTACTTCGGGTAGTGGTGGTGTTAATGCTAGTGGAGCTGCTGGAGCTCCACCAAATCCATTTTCACTTATGATTCCAGTTCAGTTAAAATCCCGTGCTACTTCTTCAGTTCACATTTTCGATCTTGAAGGTAGCTATTTAATTTCACAAATTACAGTCAAGGTATGTGGAAATGTAATGGTAATAATAATAATAATAATAATAATAATAATAATAATAATAATAATAATAATAAAAGTAATCACAATTTTAAAGTATTTCTCTCTATAAATATATTGTTATATTGTGCGGTCGTTCGAGTCTGTTATTAATATAAAAGCTTGCTAATGTACATCCTCAGTCAAGCTACTTGAGTGAGAAAACCGAAAATGAGCTTGAAGCTATCATTGGCTAACTGAATCCAGTATATATGCACAGCTCATGAGTGTAGATATGTGTCCCTCAGAAAATGAAGTCATATTTTTTACCAATAGAGTACAACCGACAAAATCTCTCATTTGATCTGTGTCTGATTGGTTTAACTTGTTAGATTTCTCTTGGAAATAAGTTTCAAACTATTCTTTGTAAGATAGAATGTTCTTGTTAAATTTTTTTAAAAATTGAATTCTCTTTTCGTCTTAAATAACTACTATTTCTTACCTGGTTGTTTTGTATCCTATCAGTTAAATAGAATAATTTAAATCAATGATTTATAAACTTATGTCTTAAATGTGAACTTGGGTGCTGCAAGTAAAAATGCCTTCGATCTGTTTATATTGATTATTAGTAGACTGCTCGCGGTCTTACTTTCACATTGTCGACAGTGTCATATGTTTGGTCACCTGAATATTTCACTTCTCATTAAAAATAAGTTGCTTTTCATATTTGAATAATCCATCTAAACGCAAGTTGATTTCATTACCCAATATATTATACTTTTTGTGAACTGTTGCAATGAGAAAGAATTTTTCTAAAAATCAACTCTTTTTTTTCCATTACAAAAACATTTAGTTTAACGTTTTATCGAAACGTCCTAGATATGTTAAAACACTAAATATTTATACATGTGATCTGACTGATCGTGCTTCAGCAAGACTAATTCACGAACCACAATTATGGCAACCAGTAGCATCAGTTAGATTTAGTCGAAATCAAACAGTGGCTAGAATTTGTTTTTCACATCCATCACCTATTCCAATCTGGTTAGCTTCAAATCAAGAATATGCTACAGATAAACGAATAACGATGAATCCAGACTTGGTAATTGATTCATTAAATTTAAAACAAACACCTGGTCTACCTATTCGAGCATCACGTTTAGTTTTTGAATATGCAGATTTCCATTCGACTGGTCAAGAAGAACGTCGTATTTGTCCACGATGTCATGCATCTGATTTACAAGGTAGTACATGCATAATGTGTCATAGTAATGTGAATGAATGCTTTCGCTGTCGCTCTTTGAATCTAAGTAATGAAGATGTATATTTATGCGCTAATTGTGGTACTTCAAGACATGGTAAAATTGAATTCAGTATAACTGCCAGGTTGGTTATTTTTGAATTGCTTCATTTGCTTATATTTTGCATCTTAATTTAAAAACTATTTTTTCTCAAGGAACTTCATATAAACTATGAAATTAGTAAGAACAGTGAATACTTATTGTTTCGGAATTATTTTTTTACAATTTGAGGTTGAATTTAGTAATGTACTAAGTTTTACCTAACACCTAATCAAATCTACTATGCAAAAATTTAGAAAGGTTCTAACCACAAAGCTGATCATTTACGCATATAAGCCATTTTTGTACATACTTGTATCTTCACTGACCCAAACTAGGACATGTAAGGTGTAACCTTTGCTTGATGCACAAATCACTTACTCCAACAGCACATTCACTTGCATATATTTTTATCTGTCGTATGACCTTGAGATAGCACATGATACATTTGGGTTTTACAACAGGATGTGACTTTTCTAAACTCATCCGGTTCATTACCATTTCTCCTGAATGATAAAATTGCCGAGTGAACAATGCTACTCCTAGATATAGATTATTCTAAGGAAAAGATGGAAATCACCTGATTAGAATTTTTTAGACATGGATTGACTGAGATGGTCTAGATATTCGGCTAATGTATGCTAGGTCACTGTTTACTCCAACTTGTCATAATAGCTCATCGTAATCAAACCGACACATTGTATTGATCCATTAAGTCACTGATTTTTTTGGTCTAATTTATTTAAGAAGACGTTAGTTTCTTATGCAATTTATGATTACTCCTATTTATACACATCTGTATGAATCGCATTCATTTTATCATAATCTATCTGACGTTGAATTTTTTATATACCTAATTTTATTTTTAACCATTTTTCATTTCAGTTGTTTAGCAGATCAAAATATTATGCTTTAAGTACTTGTTTCGTTTTAAGTTTATCTAATCCAAACACATTGTGAATAAGATCACTCTTCAGCAAAAAAATGTGTTCGATGTTCAGTGGTATCTACACACCCTTACGGCGTTTTTAATACACTTATGAGAAAGAAAACAATGTTACTTTTAGTGCTCATCTCTTCATATCATCATAAAACGTTTATCTTATACAGACGACGATTTTTCAGGGATTTAGCTTAGCCAGTCATCAAAACGTAGAACGCCACGTATGTACATCGGCCACAAGTGCCACACAACAGGAAAGTAACATGAAATATCGAAGACAAATACCATCGTAGTAGAAAAGATTACACATGCACAATATGATTTAAGAAAGATTGAAGATGTATCTGGGCTATTGCGACTGATTCTGGACCATGTAATACGTATCTAACCATTTGTTAAAAAAGTCACATCGATTCCAACTAGGTAGCGTGCACGTGCTTACAAAACTCAAAGTATTTAGCGAACCTGAATTTGTGTGTATCACTGCTTATAAGCTACACATACAGAAGTACTAAGTTTGATTTATATCTCTGTGAATTACATCTTAGCTTTCGATATGTTTTTCTCTCCCTGTCCCTGTTTTGAGGGAGCATATCAGCAAACCTTTGGATTCAGGTATTGTAGTATCACAGATCTTATTAAACATTATACACCTTTTGTCAATCACTCAGTAGTTGGTTACAGAATATTTCAAATCATCTTGTCTCTCGTGTATAAAATAGGTCCAACATATGTTTATTTCTATTCTTCCTATAAATTAACTGTGAATTTCTTTTTTTCCCCACACAGACCATACTATTCCGCAATCGAACCGTTACATGATCGAGATGATCGTGAATCTGCTTGTGGCCGCATTTTAAGTTTATCTAGGGAATTGAGTAAAACTTCTCAAATACTTTCACGTCTTATTCAAGTTGACGTAACTGAATGCTTATATCGACTATGTTCTTTAGATACTGGAGCTATTGATCTAATATATATACAAGACTCACTTCCTTCCAAGGATTCAACTGGAACATCGAATAATAACACTTCAGTAAGCGATAAAGCAAGAGATCTTCCACCGTCTACCGTACCAGGTTCTAATTATACTGGTTTTGTTAATCCTGCTATAATACGTTTAATTAGTACTGCTTTAAAGGCACGAGCTTTGAGTTTAGATTCAGCTGTAATCACACGACGTCTATGGGCTGCACGTCAGTCTGTTGTAGAATTCGATACAGAAGAGCAACATGAATCTACTGTGATAGGTAGTTTAAATAATCAATCTATTTTCAATGGAAATAGATGTATAACACCTGAAGTTTCAGATTGTGCTTCTGGTAATACACAATTAAATTATCTGGAATTAGATAAAATGTTTTGTAAGTTTTATTTTTCTTTGAAAATTTATGACTGTTTAATTTTTGAAATGCTCTCACAATTATGATAACATTAGAGGTAGCCTCTTTTTTAATAAATTAAAACAGAGCAATTTTCATATTACTATATTTATGCAAAGATTAATTTCAATGTTGATCATTATTGTAAGAAAAGATATCTAGTGAGTATTGAGATTGTTCAAAATAATTTCGTCTTCCACAACATGATGATTCATTGACGTACCCTATTTATCAACTAATGAATTGATGTTCAAACCTGAAATCTTACTGGCTGAATATCAAGTTCTTTAGCCACTAATCTACTGCTTTAGGGTTCATTGTTTTTTGTCTGATGTTGTTGAGTTCTTTGAAGTAGATGGTTAAGTAGTTAAGTTTTCATTATTATTCTAGACGACATCATCTGCGCTTCTAAATAATGTAACCGCCGATGATGTTGTCCAGAACGACAATAAAAATCACACAATTCAATCACTTCTGACTCAGAGAATTCAACAACAGCATCCGTCTGAGTTTTAATTCTTCTCTATCGTTTGAAAATTCATTTTATTGAACACTAAGCAAGCATTAACACCATCATTTAATCTATAAATCTTTATTCTTTAAAAGTGCTAATTTATCTATTTACTAATGTTATAATTCGTCGTATGCACAATTTTAAGATTTTTCAGCATTTATTTCATACTACTTAATGTTACACTTTCTATCAATCTACACAGCATAACTGTTAATAAATAATTTTATAATTGAAACCCGAACAATCAAAAACTAGTCACATTAGGCTTGTAGACACTGTTAGCTCGCAGTTACTTTTTACATAGTATTTCAAAAGTTTGTGTACATTTATTACTGTTTAATGTTGTTTTTCTGTTACTTTTTCTTCTTTTCTTCACAGATCCATCATTATCTGGATGTTATTGGTGCTTAATAAATACAATTTACCAATGTAGTTCTTTTCTACGAAATATTGCAGAGTTCACATCAATAACTATGCTGAAAAATTCCAGTAAAACAATATGGGATAATTCACATTGGTTATTTGGTTTAAATGCTACATGTGATAATGACCATACTTTCCGTTTGTTTAATGTTCCGTCGTCGTTATCCCAGGCTACAGCTCTACCACCACCACCAACAACACAATCGCCAGTCATTAATTCTATGGATATTGTACGCAGTTTAATCACAAAAGTCATTGAATCTGGTTTAAATATATATCCTCAACATTTACAACAAGAATTACGTACTTTGTTAATTTATTTAACCAAGGACTGTTATTCATTGGTTAGTTGCTCTCGTTAATTTATCACTTTCAAATTTACTTACCAGATTGTTTTCAATACAAGGAAGATAGGTGCTGGAATTGATAAGCTAGAAATCTCTGTAAAATGACATGTATTGGCAAAATAAAAAGGTTTTTTCTGTTTATCATGATGTTATACTATAATATGGTAATACAGTTTATTTATTTATTTATTTTAACACATAGATATTGGTACAAGGAGGCACCAAATACATATGCACCACACAAATCTCATTTGATATGTGTGAGGGCTGTGGTTCTGCCCGGTTGCCCAAACCGAAGCAGGTGGTTTTCTTAGGGGGCCACAATGGTCTGGTAATACAATCTGGTTACGAGATTATACAGTTATTGAGTAATTGATTTACTAGACTGGCTTTTATGATACACAGATACACGATTCACTAACATATGTAAAGAATCAGCCTATAAGTTAAATAATAGTGGTATGGCAACTGGGACTGATGTACGTACGTACGAAGTTCTACGTTGTTGCTGACTGACTGACTAGATAATAGTTTTAAATAGCACAATATAGTCAGTCTATACTCAGCTTTTTATGCATCTAGTTATTATAATTAAGAATTTATATGATTCTACACAGGTTTTATGAGTTATGCTTCATTCACGAGTATTCACTACGCCTACTGATTAATCTACCTGACTGGTTACAAATAGGTTGATGTATACTATACTGATCAATAATGAGTGTTATTAAGGTGTAGGGAATGACTCTAATCGTTTATCATCGGGGCTCTCCAGAGACTATGAAATTCAACTTCTTTAAAAGATTTTTAAATTGATTGGATTTAATAATTTCTGGTTTATTGTTCCGGTATACTTCCATTTGAGCTATTGTATTCATTTACTGGTGACTGTGTGACATATTTTAAACAATAAGGGCAAATATTTTTCCTTGAATAAAATTCTTTGAAAAATAAACATATTCTACAAACTTTTCTTTTTAATTTCTACCAATCCAAATGATTTTAAACCTCAACTAGATTTATCAAAGTTAATTAGGCAAGCACAATCACTGCGTGCGAATGTACTTACCATATCCTTGATAAAATAACGTATTGAAACACCAACAAACCAATCAGAGGAAAGTATTTTCGACAACAGCAAGACTCGAAGACACATAAAAGATGGTGATTTTAAAGTGTAGCAAACTACAAATTATAAACTGTTATGAAGAAGTCAAGCATCCTAAGTAGTTATCTGGTATCTGTAGACTTGAGTCTTTTAGTCACAAAAAATTCCTCAATCTTATTATTATTAATCTTGCTAATGGTATTACTAATCATCATTACTTATATGTTTGTATTCGAGACCCTATCTGTATTGTCAAATTGTTGACTGTATATTTATGTATGCATTCTTCTTACAGTACATTGAATATGATTGAGATAATAGTTTTCTGTCCATGCGCTTGTACTATCTCCTATTTCGGTATTTACATAATACACTTATCATAAATTCATTAAATTTTACATTATGATATTTTTTCTCTATTTCTTTTTTTAAAAAGATATCTCATCTCGGTGATATTCTCAGTGATCGATTAATCCGAACAGCTAATACTCACGGTAATCAAGCTCATTTACTTGGACCTTTATCATACAATGATGTTTGTCTCTTACAAGGAAGTGTTGAATCAATCCTTCCAAGAAGATCACAACACAATAGTCAATTAAGTAAACAACAACAACAACCATTAGATGCTAGTACTAAAAATTGGGAGGCTCGTTTACGTCCTATATTTAAAATTCTATTGAAACTATCCAGTGGTAATATTAGTATTCATAATAACTCTAATAATACCTCTAATCCATCTGTTCCTGTTGTACAAAATATTTTGTTACCACTTGTGGAATTATTGTATGAGCTAGTTTCATATCAACCTAATCCAAATAGTTTAGTATTTACAAAACGATCACTTCTATCAATTTTCACCACTAATAATCAATCAAATATTGCCAACAATAATATTTCTTCATTACTACCTGTTACGCAACAAATTGAAACAGATGTTGAAAGTTTTGATCATCATCGATTCAACCAAACTACTCCATTTTATAATAATCAATATTCACCAGCTTCAATTTCTTTATCATTATCTGGCAGTGTTTCTCGTTCAAATATGATTACATCATTTCAAGCATGGTTGACTAATCAACCTTACGCTTCATTTATGGTATGTTCTACTTTGAGTATGTGAATTATTCACTGTCGAATACGAACTGGATTAGTTTTGGTCGTATTCATTTATCCAGGTACAGATTCGTAAGTCCTAGCTATATCATTCGGTTGCCCAAACCGAAGTAGGTGTGTCAGGGTTCAAATCTGGGATCTAGTAGTTGAAAGTTGAATCTATTAACCATTATGTCATTGCTTTACATTGGTCTAATCGGTTAATTATAAAAATTCGTTGTGTTGTAAAGATAAGAATTATGCAATGGATTATGAAGGTTTCGCGTAATTTGTAAAATTAATCATATGTAATTCATAAAATCAATACAAACAAAATTAGGTAATCAGATTATTATGATGAATAGATCATGTAAATTGAAGTTACAAACAGAAATTGAGTAAATTGCAAAAGTTTTAAAATTGAATAGAACAAAAAGTTTCTAGAAACATATTTACCATCGAAAAGAATCTTATTATGAATTAAGAGAATAAACAAACTTCTTCTGTACATAAAACCCAGTTTATTTCCATGTATACGTACGAAGTTTAGAAATATGGAGTAAGTTCTATTCGATTCTATCAATAATTTTGAAAGCTAAATTTGTACGGGCTAAATGTACCAAAACAGAACTTCATATTGTTCTCTTCACTCCTTTAATTGATCAAGAGCGGTGATATTCAGAAATAAGACAATGTATTCGCCTTGTTGTATGTCCATTATTACACACATATGCGACGGAATTAGCCAGTTTATACTTATTTTGTGAATTTACTACTACTACTATATATACATATATATCTCATATTTCCAATTTAATTAGGCTTGGAGAGAACGTATGTCGATACAAACGTATGCAGCATCTATGTCACAACGTCAACACATTCAAGTAGACAGCTCTAATTCATCTGATCAACAAATAATAATATGGGAAGAATTAAACGCTAAACAAATTAATTTAGTTGTACGTTTTGCAACACGTTGGAAAAGCGTTATTGAAATGAAACGTTGGGCAAAATATTGGGGTATATCCACAACAAATTGTAAGTGAGAAGTGTCTTTTTCACGAAACAAAAACCATATTTGCGAAAATTTCCAATTTAAAGTAAGATTTATGTTTTCTACCATGCAGTTGATAAGTAGCACGGTTGCAGTTACTTACTGATAAGTCTTCTTATTAAACACCTAATCTGATTCGCCAGTCGCTTCTTATAAACCCAAACTAAATCTACATAGCAATTTCAAGGCAAGAGAAAAGGCGCGAAGTGCGAAAGGAATGCTTTACTCTGAGGTTAGTTTAGTTGCAGAAAACACGAGGGTGTTTATAGAGTTACAGACAACCCTGGGTTTCTGGAGCCATACTAAATATAGTGGCACTATTATTAAATATTCAGTTGGAAATCTGATACGTAACTCTTCGCTTTCCAAATGTTTCTGAGAAGCTTCTATCCAACTCTGATTGGATAAAATTTTCCCAGGCGTTTTCTGAGCCCCTAAGAAGTTTTACGATGAATGCTTTGAAACAGGGTAAATACATTTGTGCTAATACAAACGATTTGGAGCCAGATCATTCGGTCTCTACTTATTGGTCACGTTAATCACGCGAACCCCAATCAGGTAATTTGAACCTAACTACATGGCTTAGTTCAACAGTCAGTGTCTTCATAGACTGATTCCATGTTTTGATCTAGCCACCTCCATCTTACCTCTGCACTAGCCATCATCGCGCATTAAGGTAGTCGGTGGGTTGACATGCGTAATATATGTCCCAACTAACTAAATTAAGGAAGATTCAATACCTCTTCAATCGGCTTACCATTTTTACCATTTTACTTAGTACTCTATTGATGAGGTACTAATGAGATTATTAATTTCTCACTGTTCATTCTTTTGTTTTGAAACCGGTGAGTAAATCCACTTATTCCTGAATCCCACTAAATAAATGTCTTCCTAAATCTTTTCCAGCTATTCTGGTCATATAGTACTGATATGGATAGCATTATGATACATCAACTAGTAAAAACTAGTACCCAATTCGTTATGACGACAGAACTGTAAGATTATTGATTGCTTCACAATCTTGATTAGGTGAATAACTTACTGGCACATTCGTTTAGCATGTTACTCAACCTCGAAACACTTGGTTTGTTCAATATATCACAAATATGAAATGCCAGGTGACTCAAATCGATTATAATTTAAATCTGAACTAACAAGTGAGAATGAATTAGGGTTAGTGAATTGACATACTGATCATTGAGTAACACCACTTCTAGTTATATACACATGTAATTGACTACCATTACGCTTTATGTATTCGTAATCTAAAAGTAAACACTCATATGTTATCTTTTCTCTTAGTACTTACCCTGTTTTGTTTTACTTGTTTATTAGCTTTCATCAAGGCTGACCGTATATCTTCCGATAATTGGCTTACTAAAATTCTGTTTTCACCACCAGATTCAAATGCACGAGGAGTATATGACTGTATGAAATTGTTGCTAGCTATTACATCAAATATTGTACCAAAACAGATTTTTGAAGAAAATGCCAATGGTAGCAGTATTAGTAACATTAATAATGATAATGGTAGTGGTAATCCGTCCGTCAATACAAACTGTAATAATAGTTTAAACATTTTGTTTAATAAGCGTCGATGTGCTGTATTACTATATCTTACTGAAATTTGTGTTCCTCGATTGGATGAATTAGCATCGACACGTGATGCATATTTATTACTTACTGAACGTGCAACGACGCCTTCAGCATCAGTATCATCAGCGGCGTCAGCAGCAGCAACCGCAGCGCGAAACAGTTCTTTTACACATTATTCTACCACAACTGCTGGAGATATCTTTGTCACAGAATTTCGTCAGTTAACGACATTAGAATCATCAGAACACGGTTCAACTGGACGTAAACAAAAACACCATACAAATAGTACTACCACTACTAGTAGTAATATATCTACTTCTGGGCCGAATGGAATTATTATATCGAATTCACCGTACATACCTTATTTATTAATTAAGGGGAACTTCCTAGGTTAGTTTAACTTTGGCTATTTAAATGATTTCATTATTCATTACAGTATCAAAAAAGGTGGAGTCTTTTAGTCGTTAATTGGTTTCATTGAGATTTATTCATATTTCATCATATTAATAATCATTTTAATGGACTGATATATATATTCGATGGTTGTTTCCATTTTTCAGTTCGATAACTTCATTTTTTGTGGTAAAATGTGAAGTTAGTGCTCAGCACAAAACAATATGTTGTTTTCGTATTAATCTGCTACTAGATTTAGCTACTGTATTTTGATAATAACAAAAGGATAATGGCAACTATTTTGATGTCGATACTCGCTCTCGAGAGATAGCTGCATTCCTGTGTGGATTCAATTGGTAGATTAGTATCATTATATATCGTTATGCAATGGAAATAAAATCAATAAATCATTCATCATTCCAATTCCTTAGTAGTTATTTAAATAAATGTAGTTTCAAATAAATGGCTTAATTAAGAAACTTTCATTGTCTTCCAAAACAATCTGCATCATATATCTATTATCCATCTTAATTTACGTTTCCTGTGGGATTTACACCTATGCCTCGCAGTGTCGCAGTCAGAGACTTACCGTATATTTTGATAGAGTTTCGTTCGCCGATGTAGGTGATTTAATCGTAAAACCTTCATTGGTCTTACAGAAAACATTAGCAGAAAATTTATATGGAAGCGAGCTATTTTATGAAATTATACAATGACTAACTAAATTCCTATAAGAATGACATCTTTATTAATCACTGGGTAGTAACCAAGTTAGTATTCTTCTGTTCCTTAATGTTTATTGAATTCTGTCGATCAATTGGTGACGTTTCAAAGCAGTGTGGGTAGTTTTAGGTTTACTTTAGGAAATTTCTAAGTAAAGGAGATTAATCGTTTTTATTATTTTTCGTCAACTTGAAATATTTGTCCATGTGTTATTCAGTATCATTTTTCATCTAACATGAATTCGGATGTTAGGAAGAAAAATTGAGTTTTAGTGTATTTACAGCAGGGACTGTTGATATCTAACTGTATGTTTATTAAACACATTTATAAAAGTGACAGAAATGGATATATTTAAAGAGTCTAATATCTTAAATTCATTAATCTTACTCTTCAATCTTTAATATATGTATATCTCACACTTTCACCCCTTCATTCACCAGTCGAGTATTTTAATTTACATGGATTATTTACTTCATATATAAATATATTATAGAATATGTAAGAATTTTAATGCGAAAATTACTACTTCAAATAACTCGTATTGAATCGGTACCTGTCGGATATTGGAATGAATTAATGTCTGCTACATTAAGTTCGATTAGTGGTTCTGGCTCATGTAATGGAGGTGCTCCTGGTTATGCAATCGCTCTAGTCGCAGAGTTATTAAGTGTACTCAAACCACTCGTAAGTTATTATTATTATAAGTAATGAGTTAAATTTGATGTATTTCAATCAGTAATTCGGAGACAACCACTCTGTATTTTTTTCAAAGGATATAATTGTGATGTTGACAAATTTTGTATTGAACATACCGAGTTTTTCCATTGATTTATCATTAAATCCTGGTTTTACTGATGGGAAGTATCATATGATTGTGCTTAACTATTGTATTAATAAATAGTAATAATATATTATTATTACCTCATTGTGTAGAAAATTGCATTTTGACATTTCATTATTTAGAACAACATATATAAGCGAACAATATTGTTTTCGATTAGATCCTCATCAGGCTTTACTCTAATATACAGTAATATTTATATGCATATACGAAATTATTAAACCAATACGCAGCTCGGTTCTATCACACTTGATCGATAGCGGTCATATAGTGGACAGAAACAAGTCGTTCAAAGTTATTTATCGGATTCCCACTAGTTTTCCTTATGGTGTTCGATCTCGTCTCTTACACATAGCAGAAGCTATAGGAATCCGAGCCAACAAGCCAAGTCTTTGTGTCCAGAAGAAATTTGTAACTCCCTTATCTCTCCCTTGGCCTTAAGTAATAAATGAATTTATTTATTTATTCTCTTCGTTTATTATTTTTCTTCACACCCTCCTACCACTTTATTTTCTCTCAACTATACGTTTCATGGTCCAATTATCTGAACATTTCTTATTACGTCATCTTATAATTTTATAATTGTTATCTCAGTTTCTATATTTCTCTAATCATTGACTTATTTCAGATTATGTAACATTGATTTGAACCTTTATTATTATTGCTTATCAAAAACTAATGCACCTGTTGTCACACCATCAATTTGTACTTTTCACATTTTACTTATTATGTAATCCTTTCCATTGTTATCATTAACTTATAAACTACCTTGATTGGTTTAATAATTTCGTATATGCATATAAATATTACTGTATATTAGAGTAAAGCCTGATGAGGATCTAATCGAAAACAATATTGTTCGCTTATATATGTTGTTCTAAATTTACAATATGGGAATATTTCAAATTTCATTATTTACCATAAATCGCTTCTTCAGAGGATACATAAGTAACTGCAATTAAATTAGTACAAATAGTACAGAAGAACAACTATGAAAATATTACAATCTCCACAAGTCCCCCATACTTATAACAATCATGCAATTACTAATGATTAGCTTCATGATTCAACTGTTAGGTTTCTAGTGAGAAGCTGTGACTCGTGGAGTTCAATTAGTGCTGAGGGTGAGACAGTTGCCTGCTGCAGGCAGTGGATGTGGGCTGCTTAAGATTATGGGTTGTTTGAAGTTAGACATTGGCACCTTTGGACGTCGGCTCGATGGTTTTGCGGTTAAGCATTCTTTCACGAGACCAAAGATTCTGTGTTTGGCTCCCGCGTGTGGGTTCGTGGGTGCGTATTGCTGAGGAGTACCATGTCAAGACGAATTACCGTCCTGGTGCTCCCAAGTTTTCATTGAGGATCTAGCTGAAATCAGTTAGTGATTTCAATTGTGAAATAGAAAAATATTTAGCACAAGCAAAGTAAATCTGATTATACTAATGACAACGCTTTTCAGATCAAAGGTGTATCCTTAATTTGGTGTAAAAAACATAACATTTGTAATGTGAAGTCGTCTAGGTCAATTTTTCTGTGTTAATGTTGTGAACAGAATAGATTTAGATGTTTGAACAGGCAGTTCAAGTTTGGGTGATAGATAGTCAATCTTAAAGTTGTTCCGTTCTCGAACATATACCTTTATTAATAATAGTTAGTTATTATTACTAAGTGAATTTTTCATAACTCGCCACATTCATAATAAAATTTTATTTTTAGAAGCAATTGACAAGATCACAACAAAATCAGTTGCTGCATGTTTTATTACCAGCTTGTGCTCAATTAAGATATTTAGTATTTCAGCGTGCTGATTGTACTGTTAAAGCTCAAACTGTATTTGACTCTATGCTTGCTGAATTGACTGGTGTTTCTGGTATACAAATTAAAGAATTTCTATCTGTAAGTTCATGATTGTGTTTTCTTAGTTGGTAAAAAATACTCACTATTCTTTTGCTTTTTAAGAAAGGTTATTATTGTATTGACAAAATGATAAAATTTTATAAATGATTGTTCTTCTGTAAAGGTTCTTTATCAAATTAATCATGAAACATACGAATGGAATATCTTACCATATATAAAAGATGTATCATGGGTAAAATCCAGATTGATGTGGCTTTTAAAAATAAATAATCAATAAACGTACTTAAATCAACTCGTCTTATATACATCAATTAGATAACCTTCCGATCACGAGTGATTCAAACGAACAACAAGGGCTAATTTGAGTGAATGGGACAAATGCTTTTGACAAAATGAACTCGTTGTTGAACGATCTCACGAAATCTGAATGAAGATGTAAGATCGGAAAAGCTCTAAACTAATTTTTCGTCAAGAGAAAAGGAACATTAGGGATTAGTTGCACCAGCCATTTCTGGGCTTTTTTAACTTACTGAATCAAACGCACTACAACTCTACTCCAAGTTCACATTCCAGAACTTTCTCTTCTCCTGGTTTTGTCTCTGTATAATTCTCCATACCATAAAACTGGAATGTGGTTGGTCTGATTCTCGTAACTTCTCTGAATATTATCAGAAACAATAAAGGCTCTTTTGATTTCACCTTTTTATGGTACATGTGAACTCAAGGAAGCTCTAAGAAGCTCAGAAAGAGCCGAAGACATTCCAGAATCTCGACATGTAGCTTCCCTATTGGACAAATTCTAGAAACCACTGTATGCGGATTGGTTGACTGTAATGATGATTTCGTTTTTACTAAAAACTGTAAATTCCTGAGAGTTTTGTACCACATTTGACACTGTTTGGAATAACTTTCCTTCTCACTCGTTTCCTGTCTTCTCATTTGGAACCTGGAGGGTACTAACCTTCGAGTGCTCAACTAGTTTGCGGTATATCAAGAATCTGAACTGTAGATATAACAGTATAGAACATGAATTTGGACGGGAAACTTATGGTATCTCTAGACTTTACTTCTTTATTCAACAATGTACGGTTAATTGAGAAGATTGACAATAGGAAAATAAACAAAATACAAGAGAATGTTCGGAAGTATACAAAACGGAACACGTGTCGTCGATTTCGCTACTAGTCAAAAAACATTTTCCTAGAATGTTGTGATAATTATTTTAAACTCAAAAAATATCTAATAGTTGTCGGCTTTATTTGTTTTGTTTTCTTAATTATTTACCTTGAGAACATATGTATAGTCTCACAATATATACTGGATTTCCTTTTTTCTGTTACCCCCTTTATATCAGACTGTATTAGATGTCTTATCTGAATATCCGATTGATGATCATCGATCTGCCACTTATTTATTACAACGTCTGTGTACACCAGTCTGTCCTTTAGATACTGACCAATCAGTTTTCCAAATTAAATTAGAAGTATGGCGTCCACATGAAGATTACTTATTAGCTAGATCAAGAATTGAAATTTTGCCGTAAGTTATTGTCGTCATTTTGTTTTTGCTTCATTGTGTATATCGTGAACCCATTAGATATTTTTGGGATGATTTCTTATGAAGTCGATTGAGTTTTGTGAGTTTTTTCTTTATTTAAGTTTCAGTTTAGATGTTATTTATCAGATGATCTTTTCATTGTTTGCCAAACCTATGTTGACGCTGGAAAATTGAATTTGCCTGAGAATTATAATAATGGTGGCTCGACTCATCAAATAGACATTTGCTTACCGGACTTTGAACTGCACTTTATACGTGAGGGATAGTAATACTACCTGGCTGCCTAAGCCTAAGCAAATAGACGGAGCTCGAACATGCGACCTAGTAGGTGAAAGTCGAACACCTTAACCAATAAACTCAATATTGGAGTAGTTGAAGATCTCATCGCAATTTTTTACCACTACCTTTTTAGTTCTTCCCTTTAATATAGATTTTTTGATGTGACTTTATTGTTTCATTTATTTCAGTCTGTGTTTATGCTAATACTAAAGAGAGCTCAAGTTATCTAATTTTTTGTTCGTTCTTTCTTTGAAGGATAACCTCTGACAATTATGTAGCTCATATTTCTTCGATGACCTTTACTGTTATTCGACTGGTTGTTGTCATTTTTAGTTCCCTAATTTTGCTGTGTCCCAAGATCATCTCATATAACTATCTCAACAAAATTATTCCCTTTCAATTTTCGATTTCTGTTCGTAATACAAGACTATCCTGAAAGACCCATTTTTGTTTCCCATTAGTGTGTGGATTATTAACAGTGAAGAGTTATTGTGTGCCAAGTTCACAGAAGCCCTTCATATCAAAATAAGCTCAATCGTTCGGTGATTAACAATTTCCGTAACCCCTTACCTAATTTCAATCACAAGATATTTCAGATAAGGTAGAGAATTAGTTGTCCATTATATTCTATTTGATAACGACTTTGTTACTTTCCATGCATGTCATCTCTTCCGGTTATTCTGTTTTATTTTATCTGTTTGTAAAGGTCTGATACTCGAGGTTTAGGTCCACGTATACACAATCTGATTGATTTTATATGCGATTCTAATAATCTTACAACGGATATGCGACTAGAAATAGTGTGTGAGGGACAAATACTTATGCCTCAATTACGTCTTCATGATGTCTACACCCAAATATGGTGCGCTAATCGAAATAATGTAAGTGAATGCTTTTTACTGGCTTCTATAAGCATTCATTCCAGATTGTTGTTTAGCATTATTATTGTAAACTCATTATCCGGATAAGGTAAAAAAAATCTAAATTGACTGTAGTTGGACTTCTGAATTCAACTTCAGTCTGCTAACTTAACATGGTCATCAGTTTATTTAGTCTTTTAATGACAAGTCTGCTTACACCAATAATACTAGTGACCGCTTTACCTGTTGTGTTTACTAAATATACTGACGCCAACTGCCCATCCTAATTTCTTTCTGCCTCCAGCCTACTCAATCAAAACGAAAGAAACGCCAATCGATATATATTAGAATAGTCATCGAAATCCCACCTTTGCCATCTATTCCTTATTTAACATAATTGATTGGATTTCAACAAAGTAGTTTAAAGGTAACCCGCTTCTCATGAGACCTGAAGATTCTGGGTTCGATCGATATTGATTTCGTGGTTGCACACTGTTTGGAGGGAGTCCTAAACGAGGACAAATCAGTGTTTCAGTACTTCCTAATCCTCGTTAGTTGCCTCAGCTTAAATTGGTCCGTGATGTGAACAAGACAATCCTGTATACTTTTAGAGATGCTCATGTAGGCGTTACTTTCCTATTGTTCATACTGTGGAAGAATACTCCTGCTTGAATTATCTGAAAGAGAAACTGAATTGAGACTAAAGTTGATGATTTGGGAGCCGGTCAAATACTGTCTTTTTTTCTTTATGTGATGGCTTTGTACTTTTAAGACCTTGTCGTTAGTAGTGTGACGTAGCTCGGAATCGCTTTCAGTGGTGCAATTGCAGTCACTTTGTTTTCTCTTAGTTCCGGAGTTTTAAAGTTATCGCTATTTAGTTCACAAATTCGTCTTTTTTTTTCTTGAACCACATTGTCGATGTGTGATGTTCTCTACTATTCTTACTACTGTGCTATTTATCCTGATAGTTTCATCCAGCTGTGCTGATATGTTATGGTAACTTAAACTAATGCACATACGTGCCAGATTATAAGTTGCGCTTATGGCTACCTGTCTGAGTGACAGTTCATGATGTGAACTATCTCGGAAATTAAAAAAACGTTGACCATTAAAATATCGCTGGCATTAAAAAATTCTTTATCGTAATGTCATTTTAGCCACTTCTTTGCAAGTGTTTATGTAAATTATGATATTTTTTCCAGGTTAATAAACCTATGCGTTTACGATATCGTATACCTGGACTAGAAGCTGACAATTTACCATATGTCGAAAATTTATCTTCAGAACAAATCCCACCTGAACGATATTCTCATCTCTCCGTACTGGTTACACATCCACATGGATTAGGTGATTTATTAAAACGATTGGCTAGTTCACAGAATGCATTGCATGATCGTGATTTGATTGATGTGATTGTTCATATACTGGAGTATTGTTTAAAAACGCCAGCTTGCATAGAACGTCTTACTGATCCTGACATTAAGTAAGTTGGGTTTTTTTTTGGCTTCCGTTCCTCATCATTTTGTTTCACTGATTTTGTTGAACGATTTCAACTTTACACAGTCATTAATTATAAAAATCTTAGCGATTAAAATTCAAATAATTTTAGCATTTGCCTGGCAAACTGGTCTGAGCTTCTTCAAGGAAAAAGAAATGGAAAGATGATATAAATATATAGCCCCCAGTTCCTGTCACAATGTTCGTTCAGATTTTAACGCTCTTACATAGAACTATTGTGTCTTTCTACCAACTACCGGTATTTTTATATCCACTGGAAAAATCTTATTTTTATTTCTTGTTTCTGCAGGATATCTGAATATTGATCCTTTCTCCTAAGCTCTTGAGGACCCTGAGTAATTAATTTCGTACAAAATTTCAGTTAAAAGATACTGTGAAACCTTACGGGGTATTTCACATATAATTGATAACCTTATTTTTTTCTGGTTGATACGATCTTGACTTTTCAAATTATCAACTTACTTTAATAAATCCACTTGTCACTCTACTACTGTTATACAACCAATACACTTTAATTGTTTTTTCCCCAATACCACCCAATAAAAGAAAATGGAAAATGGGTATTTTGGAAGAACTCTTTTACTTATCGTTGTGCAAAGACTAAAACTCCATACAGCTAGTGTGTACATGATGTTTGCGCATGATAACCATAGAGAACAGACAATAAATTAGCATTAAAATGGTTATGGAATAAATGAGAGAATAGTAAAGGGTCATTCTAAGGAATATAGATTTTCGGTTCGTGATTCCAGATTGAAAACGCAAACGTTTGTATTTTAAATCAATGAAACAGAAGTTTTAGAACCAAATTGAATACTTACCGATTTCCTTCTTAGTTTAGCATGCTTATAGACTCTCAAGGCCACATGTTAACCTACAAATGCCCTATTTTTTAGTTCATTGGCTAACCCTTAAAACAAGGTTTTTTTCATATCTGGGTTTTTTTTCAAGAACTAAGATGTTATTAGAAAGTCGATGTCCATACGTTGAACCAAAAATCTTGTCACTACTGTGTTGTATCATTTCGTTAATCAAGAAAGAGAATAAAATATGTTTTGCCTCAAACCTTTTACTGACTTTTTTTCATTTTCTCTCATTGATTGTAGAGCTGTACCTAGATTACTCCATACTCTTATCATTTGTCTTCAATCAAACCAACAGAAGTTTCGTCATCCTCAACAATCAACAGATATTGTTGAAGATATAACCAAACGTTTACTTACTGTATTGAAATCATTCCTTGAATTAGTCGATAACAAATTAAATGTTATGAGTTCTTCTTGTGAACTGTTTCAATCAGGTTAGTGAATTTACAGTAATTATTTATGGTTAATAATAATAACGATATGGAAATCAGTTTGGTTTCATTCACTGATCGGTCTCTATCTTCACTAAATTAAACAAAACAAGCAAGTTGTGACTGGCGAAATCTAACCATGTCAATAATGAATTAGTTCTTTACTCATTGTATCGGAAATCAAATGTCGTGAGTAATGTGGATTATTGAATTTAAACCACTACTGATTCTTTGTAAACAAGAATGTCATAGATACCCACCCATCTCTCTGTCTTTTTAATGTACTTTGCATTTATCGTCTGTAGTTTTTCACAAGTCGTTCATATTCACTATACCTTATTATATAGATTACAGATTGTAATTAGTTTATCAAAAGTGGGAATGAGATGCTAACCAAATTATGCTGATCGTGGCTAATTGACCAATCATCTTATTTGTAGATTCTAAATCCAATCTTCGTACTCTTAAGAGTCCACAACAAGATCCTTACTAGCATCTATTCTAAGACATTTCTGAGAACATTGTAAACCACTGAGTTACTCCATCTCTAGTACTGAAACTGGGTGATCGTGATGGATCTACAGTTGCCAATCCTACCCAGCATAAGTCCTTAGCATAAACTGACCACGTCTCTGCTTTTTCTAACCAGTCCTGGCATCGGTAAATAATGCAGAGTTTGGAAGCCACTGAAACAACATTCACAAAACTTGTCTGAACCACCGAAGTTACCGTTTCAAAATAGTGATACTTACCTTCACCCGAATATATGTCACTGGACGTTGAAATTACTTGCATGGTTTTGTCAGTATCTGTCAGGATTTACTATAAGACAACGACAACATAACACAAAAAGTATCCTGTCATTCTTAGCCCAGGGTCAGGTTTCACAAATTTAAGGCAGATATGCTCTCATTGACCCATTGTAAACTCAAACTTTTACAGATACACGAACATCTTGTTGTCTCTAAGGGTGGTACACTTTGGGATAAGTTACTCTAGCTTTCACTATATGTAAATTGATCTTAACTGTCACGCCACTGAAAGAACTTGTACAAATGACGAAATACATGAACTTTTAAGCGATTGTTAACAGTAAAACACAAGAAGAGAATGCATGTAGAAACTTATTTGTGTCATTCTTTCAGAAGTACTCTGATTGACTCCTAGATCAATCTGCTTGTATTTATATTTTATTATCGTAAATGTTATTGCAATAACTATCCTTTTATCTGCTTGCACAACTTTTTAAACATGCCATTCTCTTCTATTTTTCTCTCGAAATTCTTTTATTTTCAAAGATTTTATGAATTCAGTTGATTTGAATTCAATTAAATTCCTTTTGAATTTTATCACAACTCACCCGAATATACCAAATATTAGTGTGGATGTCGCACGTCTACTTGGTCTGATGACATTTTCTGATGAAGAGAAAATGGATGCAATAATTGACTTTTTAAAAATTAATTTAGATCAATTAAAGTGAGTGTGTGTTCAATGATTTGATTCAATAATAGTAGTCCAACAGATAAATGTTTACTAAGGTCGTGATAAAACGCAAAACTATGTTCTAATTCATTGTGATATTCGTCCAGTAATTATATATGCGATATTGTGGTTTATCTGAATGTTAGTGACAATAAGCTTGACTGTGTAATATATCTCATCTATAACTGTTTCCAACCTTTGTTTAAACCTTGTGCATTTAGACTCTCTTTTGTGTGATAGCGTCGTGTAGATATTTTCCCTCTGGACGACAAGAAGAACGAGTCAACATATATAAAAGTTATTTGTTCATGGTTTCGTATTTTAGCCGTTAGATGGGGAGTTTTAAAAAATGCGAATTCCAACGTCTGAGATGACTAAATGAACTTCAACAAATAGCTGGATATTTTTCCTCAGCAGTTGAATACTTTCCACACTTTTTTTCACTTTACGATTTTTCTTCCAAATAACTTTTCGATAGAATTTTATATGTTATAATTGTTCATGCATGTCTTATCTGCAGATTTGTAACATGGTATGATATATGCGGTTTTCAAGCGCTGAGGGTAAGTACCTGTATGTAGAGAGAAATAGAGAGATTAAACGATTTTAGATCCACCATATTTATATAGAAAGGATGATATTCCGTCTACTGCATGACTTTTCGAAACCTTTAGGGAGTTTATAGCCAACTAATTCTTAAGTAAAAGAAATAAATTTTATTGACTTACTAGTCATATACATGACTTTTGAAACAGCGCCATCTAGGACTTCATTGTCGTTCGCAAAAATACCGCCGGAAAGGTTTGTAATGGTTTTAGAGTTGTTAATAAAAGTGCCCTTATGCAGGATGCATGGTATATCTCTGTTTTGAGTTTCTCTAACGCGTTTATTGAAAAGGAGAATTACGTTTTGTATTTTTGAGATATTATTTAGCGCTAACGACCGCTCATCAATGGTTTTAACCTATGTTTTTCTTTACTTTGGTTAAAAAATTATATTTACTCGTGCAAGTGCCGTGAAATTGTTTGACTTAAAGTAACATTTCTGTAGGCGTCTTAATTTATTACGATATTTTATTGGTATAAGTAATTCATTAGGTTTACTAAACCTGTACGGTTTAAGATGTGCGCACGAATCTAAACGAGAGTTAGTGATCAAATAGAATATGTCAATGACATCCATGAGATTATTGCTTGAGAAGGTATCCCAGTCTGAGAATCTTACCAAAGAGTAATGTTTTTACTTGTTTTCTGTTTTTTAGACCATCAGCTCAATTTAATACATTTGAAGTGGCTCTATTGGACTGTTGTTGTTCATTATTATTTGCTATACCAAAATCTAGTTATAATGGTGCATTATTTAAACGAAAAGTAAAACAGAATGCAATGCTTTTACAAACTAGTCTACATTTCTTATGGTCTACGTATCCATTATCTTGTATAGATAATACTAATAATAATTTTGATGAATCATTATCTACAACCACTACTAGTTCAATGTCCAAGTATGTTATTTTTTGTCATGTTAATTTTGTAAAATACATTGAAATGTTAATTATAACAAATGCTTTGGGTAGAAATTAGATCATTGAATTTTACTTAAGGAGGGTAATTATGAATCGTCCTTTTATTAAATAAATCTACTGTGCTTTTTTAATTACAGATTCATATTCTTCAAAGTTTGAAGTTGTCTATCACTCTGTATATTTTTTTTGAAATTTAACTTTGTGTAATTGCACTACCATTTCTGTATGTGAATTTAAATCAAATATGTTTTTTATCTTCCAGTAATCCGGTTTATGTACGAAACACAGTTCAATTATGTAATAGTAGTTGGTATAACTACAAAACATTATTTACTTTGGTGTAAGAGTAGGTTGGAAGAAAGCTAAGGGCGGCCAGACCAAAACATGGCACAAATCCATGAAGTCACTGACAAGTAAACTGAGACATGTTGGTAGATGTAGACTACCTGGTTGGGATCCGCGAGACGATAGAAACCGATGGTTAGAGACCTTGAATGACATGGCTCAAAATCGTTTGCAATGGTGGGGGCAGGTGTATCCACTCTTTGTGTTCTCTCAAGTTCTAATCATCTGAATTCTTCATGTCCATTTCTTTTTTTCCCTTTCCAAACTTATTTCACTGGATTATACTTGTTGAATAACATCTTCAAACCCTAATTTTTCCGATTACAGCTTATAATTTTACTACATCTAGCACTACGGGATTTGAATCGACAACTGCATCTTTGTGCTAATGTGATATGGCAATTCGAACTGATGTACGTACGTACGAAGTTCTACATTGTTGCTGACTGACTGACTTTGACCTATGAGAGGTTTATAGTTGAATAGTATAATTTTTAGTGTTTCTCTCTCTCTCTCTCACACACACAGAGGACTGTATTGTTAGTTACAGAGCTAGATAGTTGTGAATCATTCGCTGAACAAATGGAGTTTGAATCAAAGAAGACTTTCATACTGCATCGTAAATTGACTGCAGTTGAAAATCATTAACCATTTAACCTCATATCACAGTTCTAATTAACATAATACATGTAAACTCTTTCATTATATATAAACTATTGATAGAATGATTTATGAAGTGCTCATATATTCTTTTATCATATTATTTTCTTTATTAGTACAACTGATCCTGAAGTTACTAAATTCTTATCTGAGCCTTCATTACCATATGTATTACAATTATTACACGTTTGTGTTGATGGAGATCAAGAGGCAACAATTTTAAGTCAACCTGAATGTTTGGTTGAGTCAGGTCGACGCCGAATTGAAGCATATCAGTTACTTTGTTTGTTCCATCAATTAGAAACTAGTAAATTATCTGGGCGTGTTGGTCTTTTAGCTGAAGATATGTTAAGTGATTGGGCCAATAAAGAAGACAATAATAAAATTAATGTATCTATGAAAAACTCTACTACTACAATTGGTCAAGTTATTCATAGCCTTCGTGATGCAACACTTCGACGTACACGTTCATTAGCACAGAATATGCGTGAAAAACGTTTACGTAGTCTCAACATGCGTGTTAATGAAAAAGGACAAGTAAGTTTGTTCTTTTGTTTTTAATTTTTATTCTAATATATCTACAAATAAAAGAAATATAAGAAGTAATTCTTGATGTCCACCAAGATGCATTACAATTGTATCTTCTGTACTTTGGGGACCACTAAGAAAGCATTGCTCAGGTTAGACATAGAGTATGTGACTGGAGGTGACAGTTCGACTGACAAGGTAGTGAATCTTCATCGAATAAAGTAGTTGGGGCGCGCATTATTTACGCTCAATGGGCGATGTTGTCTGATGTAGAAATAAGTTGGAAGAAAGCTAGGAGTTTCCAAATCAAGATACGGAACCACTACATGAAGTCACTGACAACCTGACTGAACTATGTAAATAGATCTAGAATACTTGGTCGTGATCCACGTGATAATCACCACCAATGATTAGAAACCGTACGAAATGGTTTAAAATCGTCTGCAATGCGTAGTTGCATTCAGGCTTTGTCTACCCTTGGAACCTGAGTCCCGAAATATCGTTATACTTTTTTTGTATGCCTTGTCTTTTTCACTACTATTAATAATAATAATACTCCTTTTTTCATGATAATCCCATCCCACTATGTCATTATGGTGTCGTAGTTTTATTCGAAACGCATGTGCTAAGTTCTACGTTGCTTATTCTCGATGTTTATCTTGTTTTTCGGCTTTACAAAGCAAACGTTCAGCAATTACATTTTATCAGTCAATCATTTACTTTTTTTAATAGTCTATTAGTACTATGACCAAATAAAATCATTTAAAGAATAATTTGGCTTTTGATTACCGAGTTCTATTTCAAAATCATATAAAGTTATGATAAGCACGGAAAATCCATAAATTACAACAAATGGAGTAGGACTAAAATCTTCAATGCACGTAGCCATAACTCTGCAGTAGGCCCCTTGAAATAAGATCTAGTTATTTGAATGTGTACATTTACTAATAGGAAGATTGATCATAAATTTAATGTCATCATTGAATTTGCTGTTAGTTCCCTGATTCTGTTGAAAAATTATTAAGTACATCTACGTTTTAATGTTCACACTATTCTTGAACCAATTATTTCTACTGAGATAGCCTGATCTCGCGAATAGGATATGTATAAAGTAACTGTTTGAAATGATGATGTTTCATTTACAAACATCCATAAAAACAATATGCCGGGGTTCAAAATTAAATCAAATTGTTATCTGACTTTTTTTCAGATTGTACGTTTCTGATCATGAGAAAATAATTTTAATGAGTGTTTTTAAAGGAGTTTCATAGAGATTGATTAAATTCGTAGCTGATATTCGTCACAGATTTACTCTAGTTGAGATAACATAAAAAACAAGCTGTATTGAACAACCGTCTCGTCTTAATATTAAGTTCCTCAACAGTTCACGTCCATGACGTCTCCAGAAATCGAACTAAGAGTCTTCAGGTATCTCAGGGATTGCACCAAATAACACATATTTCCAAGATATTTTTTACCATAAGGGTCTTTGACCTAGTGCTAAGACAGTGGGATTTTGGTTGATCATAATACTGTAGTAATACAATCCCTCACCTGATTGTTGAACACAATATTTATTGTGCAGCTGTAATGATTTCATAAGTCTTCAGATTTTCAACGGACACTAAATGTACTTTTTGTTGTTTAAATATTTGCCTTTTTAACATTTTCGTTTCATTTGTAGGTTGCCATGGTGGAAACAGATAGACTTAATAAAATGACTGCAGTTGTTCAAGAAGAAACAGGTTTATCATGTGTTATCTGTCATGAAGGGCTACGTATTGCTCCAAATGAAGCATTAGGTATCTATGTATATGTTCGTCGGTGTGTGTTAGAAGAAAATATTTATATGACAGGTTGCGAACCGGCGATTAATTTCACCAATCCACCATCAAACATTCCTGATGGTTATTCAACTTTATCAAATTTCGTAACTGTACATTTTTCATGTCATACAAAGGTAAGTGGACGTAAACAATATTTTACGAATTTCACCATTTATTGTTTGCCGACGCTATGAGTGGATAAAAAAAGGGAAAGGGTTTGTCAGTTTAGAATATGTTCCTGTGGTATAACAGACAACTTTAGAGCAGGACTAGCACTTGTTGTTTCATCATGATCTCCCAGTTGAACCCCCTAACAATAGAACAATTCAGCAGCTTGAGATTGTGTCCGTAACAGTTTGGAATAGAAGCCAATAGCGATCCGTCCGTTTAGTATTGAGTAGTTATATTTCTTTCTCATATAAAATCAGTTGATGACATAGTTATAAATTATTCAATTGACACGGTTTCTTATATAGATTTGATTAGTTTGGAAATGAATTTCATCACGAATCGATACTAGCTAACAAACCATTGCAAACTATGCAGTTGATGTGGTGTAGAACTGATAACACTGAACTATAACCATCACGTATAATAAATTAATTGAAATAGGAAGTTATTAACCATTGTACCATTGACCACTACTCTATGTGTGAGATTCGATCATATGTGTGTAGGGTTTTCGGTGACTTTATTTAGACAACTTTTGAAAGTAACGCGACACTAGTGAGTTGTTTCGTTCTACTATGGGGTTCCTCAGTAGTGCATGTCCACGACCGTATTTGGAACTGAACTTAAAACCTCCTATAGCCTCCCAACGTGTCACTTGAATTTCACTAGATACGTTGTGTGAGCTAAACGTTGGAACGTTTTTTTTTTCGTACTTATCATTCTACATATATGTGTACATTGATGAGCTGAAGGCTTTTGTTAGCATGTAATCCGAATAAGTGTATATCAACAGTTCTAGTTAATAAAATAAATCTATCAGGAGTAATATTGTAAATTACGAATTGTATTTTGATTTATCTCATATTATTATTTTTCTAGTCATATAAAGCTTCATCAGAGAATGAATGGACAGTAGCTCAACGACATAATTGGGATGTTGGCTGTAATAACATTTTACCAATATTAAACCCACCAACCAGTAGTTTTGCTGCTCCAAGTTCTACTTCTAGTAGTACCACAACATCATCGTCTGATAGCAAGGCGGCTTCATTAAAAACTGTAAAACAACAACAACAAGCTCCCGACACTGTTTATGCTGGACATTTAGCCAATTTCATGGATTTCATTATGGTAAGCATTTGTTTGCTCCCCTTTACATTATTGTTAGAGTATTACTATTACCTAATTACATAATACATTCATACTCAATTATCTGACCATTAGTCTAAGAACCAGATAATGACCGAAACAGGAGTATGTTGTGACAGATGTACAAATGACAATGAAGATATGCTATTTGACAAACATGTTTGTTTTCACTCACGAACTATTCAGAGGTCATCTGGGAGGAATTTATCAGTCACCTTTCTCAGTCCTTTACTGATTTGAATTTCTTCCTATACGATATTTGTTTCTCAGTTAATTATGCGATTGCTTTTGTTTCATGTGTACCTCGGTTGAGAAAAATAAGATGTTTCACAGTGTAGCGTACTACTTAAGCAACTTTCAGTTATTCACTTTAACATGCGGTGACACCATTTTCCAAAATTTCAGCTACATATAAAGTAAACAAAACAGGACTACACTAAACAAATTTGCGCTAAATATTCGTTGTACTCTAATGAAAGATTTTTACGATAACAGTTATTCAACTTTTTAATATTTTATATCAATATCAGGAAACCATCGATTAGCGTTTGTTTCACTGCATTATCTGAGTGACTGAATAGTGATTTAGGTAAACAGAAATCCGTGCATTTGAAGCCAGCGAATCTTTTAAAGTGGTAAATGGTTGGTGATAGTCAACAGGAGATCCTGTTTGACCTTGGTTCCGTGCTAGTTGATATTCATTAGCAAGGTATAACTGCAATCTGAAGGGGACTAGTGCTCCCTGGTATATCCAATTCCGCGTCACCTAGCTTCACAGTCTAATGCGTTACTACTGATCTATAGCTATTCGGGTCGCGACTAACTTGTAAGACTGAGATATTTACTGTTGATCGACCAATAAGTATTGACCAATATCATTTTTGTTTAGATTTTTAGTGCTGATTAGATTCTATCGATTAAGTTCCAGGTTAAAAACATCTGTTCCTCCAAGATTATAGATATACTTTGCTGACGAGTGCCAATTAGTACAAAGTTTAGGTTCAGGGTTTCTCACTAACATCTCAACATAGTGCATTCGATATTGAATAAATTAGATTATTTGCCACATTCCAGATTGGTAAACACCAAAGGACTGTATGAGTATAATATTCATCACTACTCACTGATCAATCAATTGTGAATCCTTTGGGTATGCGTGTGTAGTAAAATAATTTGCAAAGATTAGTGTAATTTTAAGACAGTTTTTTTGTCTCAGATTGACTTCAGCTGAAAAATCCTTAAACGTTTAGGAGCACAAAGTAATTGTTTCCCTCTAGTTTGAGACTCCTCACCAATGTGGGTCAATGACCACCAAACCTAGGAGTATCACATCATGTTGCAAGCATGAAACTTTTTAGACCATTAATTTGAGCTGTTTTCATAATGTGATTTTTATTATTATGCGTTTGCTCCATTTAATATTATTCGTTTCTGATTCTCCTTACAGCATAAACTCAGTATATGTCCTGGTTATGTAATGGCTTTACATGATATAAAATTGCTTCTATTACGTTTCGCCTGTAATCGAACATTCACTGTTGAAACTGGTGGGGGTGGCAAAGAAAGCAATATCCAATTACTGCCACATTTGATGCAAGTAAGTAAATACATTTCGTATTTTTATTAATTGTATTAATGTCAGAGTATTCATTAAGTCCAGTGATCGTGAGGTGTTATGCTTAATTTCGTAACTTAAAGATGTGATTATCTCGACCATTTCTGGCATTTCAACGTCTGTATACGGTATCCAATTTTCATTCGTAGCTCTCATTGGTATAAATGAGACTCTCCAACATTTCTTCGAACTACACTTTTCTCAACACAAATATTAGTCAGTGTTCAACAAAGTGTCACCTATATAGTGAACCAAAAGAACACTTTGATCAGAATGTATTGTTATTAAACTCCCTTTCATTTTGTATCATAATAATAGTTTTATTCAATGATAGTAAAGAGTGCTCTCTTATATTGATTTGATATACGAGTATTAGAAAGCGTTTTAAATCAACAAGCGCTAGCTGCTATTCATTTTCATTCCCCAAACGTTTACTACCAGTTTAACTACCATGTTATTTTTCTTGCCGAACAATAATACATGTGATCCATAAATCTCAATGTAATTGGTCATTTTTGCGAAGGAGAGACAGGGAGGAAAATATTACCAGTCACCATTCTAGTTCCTCTTTCATTTCTCAGTAGAGTGTGAACAAACAGGCTCACCTAACTTCTGACTGTTAAATATGTTATTTCGTTTTGCTTTATTGATTTCTACTCTGAATTCACTGAGAGTAACTTTTTAATTTAGTGGAATCGAGTGTTGCTTAGCTTTTCTGTGGTTCTCTATTTTTGGCTGTGAATAGTATGTTTGGGATATCATTAAACGCTTGGTCATTTTTGTATTTTTAACGGTTGTCCACTTCTGGCCATCGTGATAGTAAAATTACCAGAAGGGAACAGTTGGTTTGTAAACTGGAATAGTTGCTAAAGAAAATAAACCAAGACATTTTAATGTATTGGTTTTTAGTCTTAAACTGTTCTCATACAAAAATGAACGAAAGTTGGAGTAGTTTAGGAATAACGAGATCTATGACATGTGTTTGATTTGGATGGAGTTTTATTTTCGGTAGAAATCCTATTGCATGTTTTATGGATTCCTTCAAAATGCACTGATCTGAGACAGTCATATGATGTTCTGGTTAATGGGTTGACTATTTTTGTCCATCTGTATTCTACAGAGTTGAGTCTTTTTTTGCTGTAAACTTGGACTAAGTTTCCATTTTTGTTTATTTCAAAAATATGTATTTTTCATAGTTCTTATTTGAAGTTCCAGATAAATGACATAAATTGTTATTGTATATAGGTTTATTTACATTCATTGTTAATGAGCTCTCATGTTGAACAAGAATTGGAGGCTTTAAAACAGTTTACTGAAGTCCCTAGCTCTTAGTAAGTTATCCTTATTTCATGCTTTCATGCGCTTTGCTTACTTGATAAATGATTCCTTACTTTTTGTGTCACCAAATATTGTATGATATTTCATGCTATAAGATCTAGGCTTTACTGTAATGTTACATTTGATCTTATAACAATTAGTAAAGCGATATTGAAATTCACATTACTTTGTAAAACACAAAAGTAAAATCATGGTATTTATTTTACTATACCATTCTGTATTTCATGAGAGAATTCAGTAAATTAATTGGTTGGTCGCCTTTTAAAGTATCCTTTCACAGTCGTTATATAAATAGTATGATGATATTCCTCATAAGTTTATTAAGATCATTAGTTTAAACATCCAATCTGTATCACTAACCTATCACGTATAAAACAGGAAATATGGCTCTTTGAGTGGTACTATTCTGATGTTAAGAGTATGTAGCCGCTGCATCAGTTAGCTTCAACATACATAAGGGAAAAAGCAAGATCCTTAAATACAACAAGGAGAACACCAATCCAATCACACTTGATGGAGAAGCTCTGGAACAGGTGGAAGCATTCATGTATCTGAACAGCATCATCAACGGACGAGGAGGATCGGATACAGACGTAAAAGCAATGATCGGCAAAGCAAGGGCCGCATTCCTACAATTAAAGAATATATGGAACTCAAAACAACTCTCAACCAATATCAAGGTCAGAATCTTCAATACGAACGTCAAAACAGTCCTACTGTACGGAGCTGAGACTTCGAGAACTACCACAACTATCATCAAACGGGCACAAATATTTATAAATAGTTGTCTACGCAAGATCCTCAATATCCGTTGGCCGGATACCATCAGCAGCAGCCTACTGTGGGAGAGGATAAACCAGCTTCCAGCTGAAGAGGAAATTAGAAAAAGACATTAGAAGTGAGTAGGACATTACGGAAATCACCAACCTGCATCACAAGGCAAGCGCTAACTTGAAATACTGAAGGGAGACGGAAAAGAGGAAGGCCGAAGGATACTACTCCGGGAATCGGAAGCAAACATGAAAAGAACGAATAGCATCTGGAAAGAACTGGAAAGGATTGCCCAGAACAGGGCTGGATGGAGAGTGATGCCGGGCGGTCTATGCTCTTCCGTGAGGGGTGACAGGAGTAATTAAGAGTATGTAAATATCACCTCAACTAACGGTACAATTAAATGGAAAAGTCTAACCACTAAACTTACGTATCCGTGTATGATTACTGAACAAACTAATGATTAATTATTTTCGGCCACCCTAACTTGGTAATCTCACAAGGTTATATTGGATGGAAAACGGAAACCCATGACGATATTAGCAGAGTCCAACTAGGTCTGTTGGATTTACCAGCTTTTAAGTTCTTAGTTGCTTAATTATTATACGACGGCCATTGTTGGGATAAACAATCCAACGTTTGATCATCAGTTGAGTTACACCTTGAACATGACTTAATGATTTGACTTGAGTTCTATGTTAATTTCACTGACTCGACAGCTTCATAGGTGTCTTCATATGAATCCTAGATTGGGTCGATGCACAAAAAAAGCTAAATGCCTTGTTTGTTCTCAAAATAATCATTCTCCTATTATTTTATTTTTCGAACACAAATAGTTGGGCGAAATCGGATAAGTGTTGGATTACTACCGGGCCCCTGTATCGTCTAGTGGCGGCTTTACATCTATGGTCACGTGATGAATGGAATAATCATCGGGCGACTTTATTACATAGTCTATTGTATATGGCTGTGGGACGTTCAAATAATGCAACATGTTCAACCAGTACTGTCGATAGTCAATTTACGCTGATTAAACCATATTTAATCTACTTTGGTCTAATCGATTCTATTTATGAATATTTATTTAAGGTAGGTTTTTTTTCGAAATCACTTCACGTTGTGTATGTATTTGTAGTTACTGTTGTCTTTTTCTTGTCAATTGTGTTCACTTTTACTGACTGAAACATTTTGATGTTATGATACAATGATGGTATTTTAGAGTATATACAAATTAGTATATATCTTAATGAGTGAATGGAGAGTTCTTCACATTGATCCAACTTTTTGGTATTGGTTTATTATTAGTATTATGACGGGCGATAAGCTTAACGCTAAATGCCTTCTAACTTTCAAATATTAATCTATCGATGAGGGTGAAATTGACCTTCATTAGGCTTTGTTTTTAATGTGTAAGAAGACAGGAAATTCCATACTTTTATCGCTTCTAAATGGTGTAAACTGAGGAAACCATAATCCTTTGCCAAAGATTCTTTTTAAACATCTCCGAGACGTAACACGACTGATTTGTTTAGAAAAAAAGAAATACTGTGATTTAAATTAAGAAATTTCGATGGTTGATTTCTGTTTACTTCGAATGGCTATTATTTGGTGGAGCTGACATATCGTTAGGTGTAATTCAGTGTTTTTGTAAAATGTGGTGTTTACATTTCTTTATCTCACTGATGAATAATGATTCTAAATTAAAACGGTATATGGAACATTGAGTTGATAAAAGCTAAATTTTTTTACATAAACGATGATCATCAAAGACACTCACATCTTACAGAGTCACATATTTCTCAATTATTTATTAGCATGACAGGTCATTGGTCAGTGCAGTCATATACTTTCATGAATAAATAAACGATAGGATTATGCATATTTCACAAGTATCCAGGTGTGACTTAAGCGTAATTATAACCGATTATATCAATGTCTTAGATAAAGTATATTTAATATTTTTATTCCAGGTAAATTGTGTTAATTTGTAAAGCTAATCTGAACCAAACAAAATGTCTCATTTTTATCCAATTTTCTTTAATGTTGGATGTCATTACTACTTCCTCGTATAAAACCCAGAGATCTCTATATGTCTCATGATAAACAAATTCACGTTATTCATTATTATATCCCACACCTTATTGTTCACCAACATTAGTATAGATCTAATAGTGTGAGCCAATCAGACATACTAGTTTAAGGTCAAATAAAATGAGAAAGATGCTGCTGAGTGTGTGGTAACATAATCTCGGTCACCGATCTAATTATCGCATGCTATAGCATGGCGAACGAAGAAATATTTTTATTCTCCTGCTATATCCAGTGGTATCATAAAATAAACTGAGTGTTGGATTTTCATTTCTACTCTCTCTCTATATATATATAGAATGTTCCATTGGCAAGTTCAATAGAAACTAAATTGAAGTCAGTTACATCAAGTAGTAGTGGTAGTGTTAGTCAGACATCACCATCATGGTCTGTTTCTTTATCGCAGTACATTCGTACATCAGATGAAGCTTTGATGAAGGCAGCTCCAAAACTACTTGCTTATTTTGAAGAGAATCTTTTAACAATTTCAAGTGTAGAGGAATTTCTAGATGTTACAGGTAAATTGTTTGTTATTATTATCTTGTTTATTAAATCCGAATTGAAGATTTAACTGAACTATAAGTTATGGACGAATCAATCAGATTTAGGCTCAAAATTCATTTATTCATATAGCTGAATAACATTTTGACCATTATAGAGAATGTTATTTCATGGTAAAAACCTTAACCCGAACTTTTAACTCTTAATCCCAATCCTTATTCCTCATATTGGTTTTACTCTAGCAAGTGGTCGAATCTTTTTCAGGGTCAGTTTAGTATCACCCAAAAGTCGTCTACAAATAATAGTCTCATCAAATATTTTTATGTGAATGATTAATCTTCATTAAATTTTATATTATTCATGCTATTACAAGAGCATTTTTGTCAGTTAACAAATTATAATGTGTTGTGAAATGAAGGAGCTATTGAAAGAGATGTTCAATAAATTTCTGGATAGCTTTCACTATATGACACATGAAATAAACATTGAGAGATTTATGAAGTATTTAGTGACAATATGCAAGCGAGATTTTTCTTGCATAAAACATTTGTAAAATGGAGCGCAAAATAGTTTGTTCATAATAGCTTAACTCATCCATAGTTACCCTGTTTGTGCTTTAATCTACATTAATATTTAGATAATTGTTTCTGTTGCGTTACTTCAAAATGAATATACACCACTATCGTACAAATTAATTACTAAATATTTCTGGTATATGGGGAATCTCGGAGATTGTAGAATTTTCACCGTTCAAATCCCGAACTGATCTTAGACTTAAAACATAGAAGGGCGTTTCGTCCTAGTTCGGGACTATTCAGTAGTACGCATTCACGACCCCACAGCCCAGGACCTTTAGCCATGCTCGTGAACACTTAACCTCTGGATCATACTAGGACGAGAAGGTTGCCCAGCGCTTCCAGGTTTTCACTGGCGACCCAAATAAAAGCAGTTTGTGATTAAAACTATGAAAATTCTAGTCTCCACAAATACCCCATACTAATAATAATTATGTGCTCGCCGGTGACTATCTTCGAGATGTAACTACTGGATTTCTTATAAAAAGCCCGTGACGAGTATGGTTCAATCATGTTGGGTTTGACAGTTATTCATCACAGGCAATGGATAGGAGTCGCGTAATACTAAGAATTGATTGAAGTTAGACACGCACACCTTTGGATCCTGACTCTGATTTGGCATTAAGCGTTTGCGTGCGAAACCAAATAACATTTCCCTAGACAGTTTACTGTCGTCCATAATCTACTACCTCAGGTGATTGGAAGTAGTTATTAGGATACTCCGGACCTAGGTTTCGTGCTAGTCAGCATTCGCCAACAAGGCGTACTTGAAATCTTAAGGGAAATAGTGTTTTCTGGTGGATTCATGCCACTGTCATTCAACAAAGTAACATCATAGTTCATGCGATATCGATTCACGTGAACCAGTAGCCGGACTCCAGATTGATTATTAAAGCCCAACTAGCACTAACGATGAACACGACATTGACTATAACTGTACTGTCACTAGGCCAGTGTTCTGGATAATCCTATGGAAAAAGCTTTTATGAATCCCTCCATTCATGATTTATTCTGAAGCTAAAAGTTATTGAAATCGAGATTTTACATCAGCTGAAGAATCAATAAAAGCCACATAGCACTGAATATATGTTCTTTCCTTGTATGGTACTTATTCATTATAAGGTTTCAAAACAACCACATTCAGATTACTCAATCAGAATAAAAACATCAATAACATTTTTGACTTCAGTCAGTTTGAGATATTTTTTTACAATATTTAAGTTAAGGATTTTGCCCTATTCATCTTATAAAATAATATTTTTCTCTTGCCCTCTAATTTTAATTAAACTTTAGGCTTGTTAGAAAATGTTAGTTTAAATGAAATCGAAAGTATCATGGAGACAATGTGCAACAAATAATCTAATTCCACTGATTAAGTTTCTATTAACAAAGAATGACTAATATATATATTTATATATATAGAGAGAGATTGTACCTGTTGTTCAAGTTGAGAATTTACTGTAATTCTGAAATTCGAATTGATGTTGCCTGTTATTGACGGTGTTATCGTCCCGCGCCGCATATCTATCATACTTATAAAGAATAAATAACAAAGATGTAGCTACTCCCATCATTTGTTCCATATATATATAACTATTATTGTTGGTCACACGATGTCCTAACTGTTTCAGTTGAGTTTTTTGTTCCAAACATTATTATTATTCTGGCGAACACAATTATTCTCTTATATATGCATTGTATTAATTGTAATGAATAAGATTAGAGTAGAATTGTCTATTACTCAATATAGAATTTTTCTGATTTAAATATATTTATGCACGCATTTAGCAGTTTTTCCTTATTAACTACCTTTCTCAAAATTCCATCATGTATATACATGTAAGCGTAAGCGTACTTTTCTATGACAATAGGTGGAAAGCAGTTTTATTTTGTGATAGAAACTAAATGTATGTCATAGCCCCGCCATAACTGAGACTGTTGATACGTATGAGAACAGATTCCGAGATTCTTGTTAATAGTAATGTTTTTTTCAGTTAGTTACTTTGATTAGCTTTACTACATTGTTCTACTCAACAGTGATATTTAGTTATTCATAAGTAATGCTAGAGCCTAGTACAAACGTGCACCGGATCAAGTCGCTGCATCACGACAGTATGAGGTAAGGAAATTAATAAAATGAGTACCAAAACAGTATCAGTACTAGTGATGTTAAGAACGAGTTTAAAGATAGAAAACATGCTGCAAAATAATGAAGTCGCTGGATAAAAGGTGTGAACTTTAGAACTTAGGATCTAAAGGTAGAAAACTTATCTACCTACGACCTAGCCAAAATCGCACTTTGTGGTTATAGTAGCCGAACACAATACGTGTCACGGCCACCACAGTTGACAACTCACAATCCTATCAACCAACTTGGTACTTTAATCTACTATTCTCCCTCTAATCTTAGCATCAATCACTCGTTAATGCCCACATTCCTGAGGAGTCTTTAAAAGACATCTATAGTCAAAAACATTCATGTCTTCTAGTTCCATCTACCGTGTTTCGGAACCATAGAACGGACCGGTGAGGAGCACACCAGCCCTTTGTTTGACAGATGAGAACCCTGGCCACGCCCCCATATTGACTAAGCGAAGTCGAATTAATGGCGATACTTCAAGCTGTATGACAATTCAGAGACAGAACATGTGTTAGATCCTAGTTTTAGCTAATGAAGCCTGTTGTCCAATTTGACATAAGGTTTGAACACTAGAAGTCCTTATATGTAATTCGGGGCGCATTTTTAGGAGTAGGATTTCGCGAACTTAGATCGTTAGCATCGGTTCGTGGAAAGAGCGATGAGGCTAGAAGAGAAGAGTTGGGTAGTTTTTGATGCCTTAGATTCGTACTTCTCAGACATTAACATTGATGAAAATCCGTGGGGTAAGGCGGTGTTATTTGTAGGTTCAACCTTTTCCAACTCCCCTTCCGTTGTAATGATCTACCGTCCCCCGGAGATGCCGGCTATGACAGAAAAATTGTACTCTCGTCAAACCCCCAGTACATTCAGCAGTGTACTTCATCTTCGGGTCCCAAGTTCCTACTTCTAATCATACTACTCTCCAATCGACCTTCCTAGCATGGTAAGACCTAAGGGAACGAGTGTTTCAACCAATATAGTTCTACTAAGTCCTCACCACATCAAGATAATAGCTACAGTTAGATATGGTGTATCTTTCGAATGTGTCCTCTGTTAGTGTTTAACTCTTTATTCATAATCTGAATGAAATGAAAAACTGAGACTTTCAAAGACAACTTATAAATATATGTCTTACATTCCAACCTACGATGTCTAAAATCATGATAATTTAGGACATTGCGTACTGTCGAAAACTACGGGTTTCACATTTTATGACATGTCGTCCACTACAGCTGCCCTACATACTTGGAAACCCAACCATTTCGAAATCGGCCTATATATATCTATACCAGTAATTATGAGAACTGTCATCGTGACCTGAAGTTAGTTGAGTAATAACGTTTTAAAAACTAGGTCTACTAGTAAATATTATGAAATACTGTGATGTTTGTTTGCTCCATTGGTAAGTATTAGTGGCATGTGAAGAACAAAAATTAATCAAAGGAAATTATTTTCATCGTGTATTATATATATTACAAAAGAATATCCAGATATGCAAATGACTAGTCAGTTGATTTTACGATAATTGTATAAAATAGGATAAACATTATTTAATGCTTCATACAGATGTTCACGTGATTTGGCACCTATAAAATTAATATAAAAAAGTATTACTGTGATGAAATTACTTGGTGAAAATGTCAGAAATTATTATTCCATATTATAAAAGATGGATTTTGAGCCAAATAGAGATCTCAAGTTCGCAAAACGCCGACGTAATCCAATCGAGGTAACCAATGAGTATTTTATAAGAAGTTGATGTCGTTTTTAAACAGAACAAGCTAATTGAACAACCTTATGAAGGAAATTCTGCATATTGAGTTATAAATGCTTAACATCAACTCAAAGTTCTATGGAAACTTGCCGGTCAGAGTAACTTTGTGACTATTTATTGTAACTAAATTACTTACGAGTAGCTAATTTTTGTATTGAATAATTTCTCGTATTCCACTAGGTAATCCTAGACTAATTATTCTTTTCGTACGGATTAATATTAAGGTTTAACTTGATAATTTAAAATAAATTGAGGATTTAGATTCTTGCCCATTGGGATATCACAAATGTATTATTACTTAATTGTTCCCTTATTAGCTGATACAATTTTAATTTGTCCCGCCATAACGAAGTGGTCATTTGCACTCTTGCCCGTGGGAAGAGTTGACAGTGTAGCTAGGTTGATAATTATTATAGTACCGTTTGCTACTAATATATACTAGCATATAAGTATTTCGAAAAGTTATGATAATCTTTAGTCTATAATCGACCTCTGGTGCGTTATTTCGGTGGACCTAACAACTTGAAACAGTGAAAAAAGATTAGCATTTAGAAAATCACTAGTGGCTTAAAGAGATCCTCAAATTCTTATTGTTTAAATCATGAACTGGTTTTAGGTAGACTACTGGACAGTTGTTTTATTTTAATACGAGAAATTTACACCATTGGATATCGGCTCATTGCTCTAGAGGTCAAATAATTGCGCACTAGATCAGTTCTGGGTTCAACCCCCTGTGGTGGGGTCATAGATCCGCATTGCTGTGGAATGATCTTAAGTATTATTCAATGATACAGCTGGGAATTAATCTCAGTAATCCATCTCTTATTTTGCACTACGGCGAATGATCCCCTATTTTTGTATCTACTTTTCTGATTTTTTTAGTAAAGCGAAGGGTTCCCATTTAAACGCTTATAAAAAAAGGATTCAATAGACAAATCTCACGTACAGATTCTTGTCATCTATTCTCTGCTACGGTTTATCAACTGATAACGATATCTATATCGTTCACATAAAAGATTGGTAGTTTCATATTAAAGGGTCCTGCTGATAGCAGATTTGGGATTGTAGATTTTATGCAAATATCATTTCCAAGTAAACGTACAACACAGCATCTGTTCAGAGTATAATGTATGAAGAATGCAGAGTTCTTACAATCAGTCACTAAATTATAGCTTGGCACAAACTTGTACTAGGTCAAAGTGCCGTACATGACGTGATTACATTAAAAAACGCATAGCAAAAGGTATCGATATAATGTAGTAGCAATGATAATTACAAAGACTAAACATTCAGAATATGGTTCAAAAAGACAGAATAGGAGTTTATGTATGAAGGAATTTACTACACCTCATAATATGGAGAGATAAAAAGTAAACGGATCTGTGTCACCTACAAAGTAAAACAAAAAAATGAATCCAACAACCTAGAGCTAAAAGTTATCTACTACGACTATTGTGTGAAAGCTACATGGATTCCCAAATCTTATTAGGTAGACAGAAGTCTCAAATTATAACTTTCTAAGTAAAGTTTTGTATAATTGAGAATACAGTTCACTTACCTGTCATAACAATCTTTCCATTCACAAAAATAAGCATTACTAAACGGGGTTTTATTATACGATAAATTAAGGCTGGAAATATTTCCGGTTCATATCTGGAAAAAATGAAGCCAAATACAAGAATACCAGATACATATTTGATTATCCATACAACGGTAAAAAATATATTGAACAACATAACTTGGTCTCCATATATGGATAACGGTTATCTTACATATCCAAGGAAACTGCATTGCCCTTTACGAAATCAGCAGTGAATGACTTTATCAACAGATTCTGTATAGGTTTGGCTACATTTAGGCTCCTGTCAATCTGCTGCTATTTTAAACAAAATGGTTAAGCCCATTTATCACCAACCTTAGTGAGAATTTATGGCCTCATCAATTGATCTCCTTTATTTAACAAATACCTCATTTAGGTCATGTCTCCGGAGCGTTAAGTATAATAAGACAAAATCTTGTACAGCAGACGCCCTCCGACAGACAAACGTGAGTATTATCTGTTCTAAAAAGATCGTTGGCTGGGAGTAATTAATCTTTGTACCTATACTCCGGTTAATGAGGGTCCAAAGATAAATGAGGCAGTCGAAGTGTTCAACTACTCCATTTCATAATGACAAACCAGATATCAATGTAGAGTGACTATAAGTCAACATTTTACATCCAAGTGAGAAGTATATTCTCAATAATACTCATTTGTCGCTCCAGGCATTCAGAAAACTGAATTTTGTATGCTTCTTTACCAAACATAAATATATTTTCATTTCAAGTCAATAAGAGTCTTCAAGTGGGAAATCAAGTTATAATCATTATAACAAGTAAAATGTTCTTTTAGAACCGAATACTGTTCTCAATTAGGAAATAACGGATAAGTGAATTGAAATACA